TTTGTATGTAGTTCTTGAATGATTAAAAAAAATAACAAGGGCTCGGGCAAGCTTTATCCTCTGAATATAAATCATACCTCATGGTCTATGAATAAGACGTGAAACACGGAGTTGAAACTTGAAACCGTTCTGTTATATAAACCAAAGCGTTTACAAGTTCTGCCGTTACAGCATCGAGCACCAGGTAAAGATCGTCAAAAGACCTACGAAAACATATTGCAAATTTGCACTTCACCTAAGCATTCGTCGCGTGCTGTATCATAATTCAACTCCCCCTGGTCAACCTCAACTCCCCCTGGTCATAAAACCACTATACATTTGACTGTAGACTGAAGCGAAGGAACTCCCCCTGGTTTGGTCGGTATTCTTTGATGTTTTGGATTTTGAAATCCATGGGTTCTCGCGCCAAAGTTTAGAACCCCTCGACCTGGCACCGTGATTGGCTAGATTCACTTCCACGGGTGCAGAAACTCGTATAATTTACAGGCCACGGGTTCCTCAAGTGGCTGGTTATAAAGCCCCGTTCAAACGCTCTCGACTTTTCACTCGACTACTCTAGATTTTTGTCGAGAGTAAAAGTCGAGAGCGTTTGAACACCTTGTTGAGAGCAGTCGAGCGAAGTCGAGAGCAGTCGAGAGCAGTCGAGCGAAGTTTGAACACGTTTAAAAAAGTCGAGTGGAGTCACACAACATTCCTATTGTTCAAGGTGTTGTTCAGCGTTGTCGAGAGCGTTTGAACACCTTGCTCAACAAAGTCGAGCGTGCGCATGCGTTTTTCTGATTTTCTGATTTTGCCCGCCAAAACACAAAACAGCGAAGTTCGTATTGTTGCAATCGAAATAGAGGACGAATCATTCACAGTTTACAGCATTGTCTTTCTGCCTTCTCAAGAATTCGGTTTAGGAGAAAGTGAAAAATTGACTCACGAAGAAATGGACTCAACGAAGCGCCAAGTTGTCAGTATGCTTTCACAGCATCTTGCCACTTCGCAGGAGGGATTTTGTAATCAAACAGAAATCGAGTGAAAAGTCGAGAGCGTTTGAACACCCCCCGCTCGACTACACTCAACACTGCTCGACAACGCTCGACAAAAATCGAGAGTAGTCGAGTGAAAGTCGAGAGCGTTTGAACAAGGCTTAAGAGGAGACAATGCATTCCGAGTCTGTAGAATGCTATACAGTACAACCAGGGGGAGTTTGATAACACTTCAATGCATGGATTGAAATAACAATGTTGAACAGTTGTGAGACGGGGCATTGAAGCGGATATAACAATTTCAGGAGATGTGCATACTTCTCGGTAAAAGAGATAATAAATGGTTTCAATAATTATAAACAAAATTGCGATAGAATAAGCTTTAATCCCCAAAAAGTTTTTCCTCAAATCTGAGGGGTGCTCGAGCCCCCTTCGCACTCCTCTGGATCCGCCCCTGATTATGGTCAAAACCATCTGTTTTTGTAGTTAACACCGTAGTTAGCAGCATGAACGAGCTTACAGTTGGCAAATGCAAGTAAGCTTGTTCATACTGTACAGGTTATTCTCGTACAGTGTTGAGGAGAGGGGGGGTGGGGGGTCAGTGGGCCCATAAATAATAACTCAATTGAACAAAATTTCTAAGTAATAATCCAGCCTCCCCATCAACATTAACAAAACATAATATATGAGACAATAATAACAAAGGTCCATGAAGTCGTGAAGAAATTTTTGTTAAGAATCTCTCATCTTTGTTGGCTAGGGCTAAAGAAGTTCAAAAGCTTCTGAATGTTACAAAATTTCCATCCTCCCTTCCATCCTCCCCTGTCTTTGGGATCCAACGAGATATATACAAAATCTGAGCACAAACACCTGGGACTAACTCTTGACTCTAAATTAAATTTTGAAAGCCATATTCGAGAAGCTAGTTTAAAAGCAAGAAGGGGTATCGGTATGATAAAATACCTTTCCAAATATGTTTCTAGGAATGTGCTCGATCAGATATATAAGCTCTATGTGAGGCCCCACCTAGATTATGGAGACATCATATATCATAGATATGATCCTGAAATGCAATCTGCTTTCACACAAAGACTGGAGCATATTCAATATTCAGCTTGCAGTCACTGGAGCATGGAGAGGTACGAGTAGACAAAGACTCTACGAGGAATTAGGTTGGGAAAACTTGTATCAGAGAAGATGGTATCGACGTTTGTGTCATTTTTTCAACGTGAAAAAATCACAATCCCCTCATTACTTGTTTGCGGAAATTCCAGATGAACGCGAACTTACCTACAAACTCAGAGCAACACGCGCTTACAACCAAAATTTTGGGCGAACTGTCCGTTTTTCGAATACGTATTTCCAAAATACTCTTTTGGAATGGAATCTTCTTTATGATGATATAAAACATTCTGTAAGCATTGCTGAATTCAAACGTAAACTTCTTGTAATCATACGACCATTAGGAAACTCTACATATAACATTCATGACATTGACGATGTTAGATCTTTAACAAAACTTCGATTGAATTTTAGTATATTAAACGAACATAGATTCCGGCATAACTTTGACTGCCTAAACCCGATTTGTAGTTGTGGAACTGGAAAAGAGGACAATGAACACTATCTCCTGCACTGCCCACAGTTTGATTTGATGCGTACAGATCTCTTTGGTCAGCTTTCAGAAATCTCTGCCCTTGACATTAATGATATGGATACAACAGCCTTGTGCGATCTCCTTTTATATGGCAGTTCACGATTGAATATAATTAGCAATAGGATGATCATGGATGCCACTATATCATACATTAAGACTACTCAACGCTTTAGGTGAAACCCCAAACAGCAGTTACCCCCCCCCCTCCCTTTTAGTTTGTTGTATATATTCTTTGTAAGGGATTGTTTATTGTAAGTGTCCCTCGTAGTGGGAACACGATGACCTTGGGTCTTTTCCCGCTATGAGGGGCACAGTTGAATGTAAATATTAGAGTTGTAGTTGTTTTAAGTTGATAGGAAAAAAAAATGTTACGAAATGTGATTGCAGGGTAATATACAGGGCAATATGTATGTCATACAGATTTACACTATGGCGTTCGCATCTATTTGCAACAGTGTGTCGGTTGTGGTCCAATTTAGTTAATGAATGGAACGTTTTTCATTTTCTAGCCTTTAAGAATTTCTAAGAAAATTTCCTTTTCATGCATTATGGTGCTAAGACATCAGTTAAGCTCAAATTATCAGGTATCAGATATCAGTTATCAGGTATGGTATCAGGTAAAGCTTTCTCATAAATTTCAACATAACATAACGACATCAGAACTGAAAAAAAAATCATTTGATATATTGAATATTCTTATGTTTATTTAGATTCAAATTTTTTCCATCAAAACATAGCATTTAGATAAACATAGAACCATGTTAAATTTTTGAAAAGAGCAGAGGTTTTCCGACAAAATAGCAGTTCAGCTCTATAGTAGTGTTTTTGCTCCCTCTGGCACCCTCTATCTACACCATTGCCACCGGCGCAGTTTAGCCACCATGACAATTTTAGCAACCAAAATAGCCACCCTAGCAGTTTAAGCAACCATAATTTTCAAAAATTTCTGGGAGCATTCCCCATACCTCCTAGAAGCGTCTGCCTTAGGCATGCTTCATAATTTAATTTTTGTCCTGACCTGGGGCCCATTAATTCTCTCCGCGGCCCTGTTCTCGTATACAGGTTTTGAATAGTTAATGACGTCATCCCTTTATAATTTTTGTACTTTACTTTCTTACATCAGGTTGAAATCAATAATTTTATGAAAAACATTTCAGCTATTTAAGCTTTGTAAACGCGTTAAAAATAAAACAGTGGTAGCGCCAGCTGTAGCAGAGTGGGAGGGTAATGGGCGTGACCCAGGAGACTAGGCCTTTACTGTCTCATTTTAATTGATTTTTATGCCAGGTGCATTTTCATAGACAAATCTTGAAAAATATGACCTGCCCCTACCCAGTGCATTTTTCATCAATTTTAGGAGAATATCTGGACAATGTTTTGCAAGAGGGGAGGGGGGGATAACCGTCCATACTACCCCTTGGTGTCGCTACTGGAAAGCAAGAATGTCCAGGAATGTTTAAGCTAAAAAGGCTGGTTCAGTCACCAAACTCATACTTCATGGATGTCAAATGTCCAGGATGCTTCAAAATCACAACAGTATTCAGCCATGCCCAAACAGTTGTATTGTGTGTCAGTTGTTCAACTGTACTCTGCCAACCAACAGGTGGTAGAGCAAGGCTAACTGAAGGCTGTTCATTTAGGAAGAGGCCGCAATAAGTACATATAATCATAAAATGAAGAAAATTTGAAGCTAAAACAATTGGTGTCGCTACTGGAAGGCAATAATATCAAGAATGTATCAAACAACGACCCATTTGTTTAGCCGCCCGCCATGTTTATTTTCAAGCAATTGGTACTTAGGTATTACCCGGACTGTGATATAGGGCCGAGAATAATTAAGCAATATCGGCTTTCGGCATTCCACGTTATACACCTTAAACGCGGGAATGGTGAAGTTTGAAGCTGAATTTCAAGAGAATTGCAGGTTTTTACAGTTGACAACAAGAGGATTCGTAATCAGCAAGAAAAAACACACAGGAAAATGCTTATTAAACGTAGTGCCGGAATGGGGGCAGCGAGACCAAATAAAAATCTGACACAGCTTACGGCCTATAAAATCAAATTTCCATAATTGATTTTCATTTCATTTTTTCATTTGAATTCAAAATATAAATAATCAAAGTGTAAATTGGGTAATAACTAATAGATAATCTAAAGTATAATTTCATAAAGGGAAAGTTTCCTAGTTTTCCAAAAACTAACGAGAAGAGAGCATCCCCATCAACTAGTTGAGCTCAAGAACTAAATTTAATTTATAAATCAGCAGAATATGAGCATCCATACCTTGGCTGTGGATGATAAAACTATAAACCTGCTCTCCACCTCCATTCTAAACAGAATATTAAAAAACATTACAATAAATGACTTACTTTTCTCCAAATTCTCCCAGTGCTACAAGAAGTTGTTTTCGCGCTAGTTCGACGTCCGCCATGACACTTTCCTCTCTGGACAAAACAAAACAAAAAAGAGGCTCACAACAGGACTGAGGCTGAAAATTCTCCCAACAAACTCTTTTCGGCAAATGATGTCAGTCCACTGAAGGAATCCATTTCTCTATTAATTTGAACTTTCTGCAAATCTTAAGAGAAAAGATGGCTGTTCAAGTACTGCAGTTAATTAAATCTTCATTAGACATATTATGTTCTTTCAATAATTTTTGGTGAGACAAGACGAGTAGCTTCGAGGAATCTTCGCCTAATCTCGTTCCGCACATTCAGTAGGATGTGTTTTTGTGTGTGTAATCTTATTTTAAACCCGAAATCAAATTATTTCAGTTTCTAATTACCAAATAAGTAAAAAACCAATCTAATTCGTGTAACAAAGTGATCAAAAAGTTATATATAAAGATATCCATAACACACAATTTACAAATATAATTATATATATGACTATTCCAGCCCCCACCTCATAAGGCTAATGTATTCCAACCCCCCCCCCCTCCCATGCTAGTGAGCAAACTGAACTGAATTGTTAGACGATGCTGAATTCTTTTCAATCATCAGTCTCAAGGGTCTTCATATCTAAACTCATTACAACTTACATTGAATGCCAGACCATTGCTTTATCAATCGTTTGAATATGTTATCAGCTTCCAAGGATTTGAACTCAATTGGTTAACTATTTCTAACCTTTGGACCCAACGATCTGAGACTTTCTGTGCCAAACCAAATGTAACAGGTCTATGGTGTAGGTTTAGAGGGCTTTGCAAAGAATGATTAGGGTTGGAAATTGATCTGAAATGAAAGATGCATAAAACCTGGATTTTGTTTTCGTAGATGAAAGATAAATATAATAATTGTCTTTCTAAAGAAATCTCAATGCTCTCTCCTTTATTTTTTCAATTTTTTGTGCTCATTCAGCTGACGAAAAATGCCGAACCAAAGGACAATAGTTATGACATGAATATATAAAATTTTCTCTATTGCAGCCAATAGCATGTCTTCAGTAAGGACTTGGAATTCGTTGACAACTTGAATATAGATCCAAGCATGCATCTTAACCGCAGCAGGCTTCACCTTAATGACCGTGGAAACATGCTTCTAGCTAACAATTTTATTCATAACCTAGGATACTGACTAGAAATCGAGGGGGTAAAACAATACAAAGAACTTCCAATCGGTATGGAACCTGGGAGGCCTGATCTATTCAGGGCCTTTATTTGTAACGCCTCACCAGTGAAGGTTACTGCTGGAACTATTGCGTCGGACCTACATGACACCACCGATGACAGTGACGCAAAATCAGCATTGACAAATCTGCGTTTAAAGCATAGTTTTGGTGCAGGATGTTCGACACTTGGATTGACATGAAGAGAGTGTGTATTTTTCTTTGCAATATTTTACTTTTTGCTGTTCATTTTGAATTAAAACGGTGCTTTTTTAACGAGTGTTGTCTATTTTGCTCTTGTAGCTACGGAGGAGCAACGTCTCAAGCTAAAGTAGAAGAAAAACGTTGCGATTAATCCATCGCGGGGACCTCTTAGTTATGATAAACAAAGTCCTAATCTCGGAGAAAATGTTTGGGATTTTGGTGCATCAGCCATTGTCTTGCCTGAGCAAAGACGCTACTTTATGGTCGGTGTTTATTGGTCATATGAACGAGGCAGAAAGAACAAATTCTGCCATAGGTGATGCTCTAGTAGATGGGGGAACAATAAACTGGGACAAACATAAATTATTTGATGGGTTGACGGAAGCCGAGATAGCAAACTCGACTCTATATCTGTTTGAGGAACCTCAAATAGAATTTATGAAACGAAATGCTTTGGATGTGACAGAGGAAGCAGGAAGTTTTTCATGAAATTTACGGTGCCCCGGCACTTGGAAAGTTTTAAGATGCTCGGAAATCTTCCCTAGAAGATGATCAGTTTTTCTTCAATAAAGAGTACATACAGAACAGAAATGCCAATACTCCTGGTGCTGCATATTTTCAAAAAGTGTGTGACTTTTATGATAGTCATTATGCTAAAGGGAACTGTACATGCTGTACGTAAAGGATTGCTGTTTCGCCAGGACAGGGCAAGAATGCCAATATTGTCAAAGAAATCCTTGGATAAGCACTGAGAAGTTCATGGGAATTTCTGCTCCATATCCAGATACTACGAAACTGCTGAAGTTCAAATACAAGGACGTATTTGAAACACTACTCTACTACATAAAGATGAAGTCAACAAAATATTGCGTACCGTAGACGACTTCTTTCCAAAAGCCCAATTGAAAAAAGAGTTTTCTGCTGGCACTGTTTGTCTAGACAGTGGCGTACCCAGGGCTGCAGTAGTAGGGGGGGGGGTCTAGGGCACAGCCCCCAGAATTTTTGGGGACCACGCCCTTCAAACACTCGCGAATGCTGGGAAACGCCCTTTTTGCAAAATTTTCCCTATTATTTGATTCACGTTAGCTACGGTAAATAGCAAAGCATTTTACCATTGTTAAATCGTTATAAAACAATAAAACAGTGAATAAAAGTTGGCGTACCTTGTACCAAAGCCAAGGGAATCTTCTTCCACTTTTTACTTCTACACGATCAATCGACTACAATGCCTGCCAAATGTCTTGGAACACTGACATCAATTTCCAAGGTCAAAATCAATCATCCCCCTCTCCCCTATAGAACAATGTTGGTTTCCACCCCTCTCCAGTTGTTATCAAACGGGTTAGGATTATAGGAAGCATTTTTGCGCTTCTTGTATGATACTTCTTTAAATCATCAACATTGCTTTAGGGGGAAAGGGGCGGAAGTAGCAATTTTTTTCATGAAAGGAGAGAAAGATATCAAATGCAACGTAAATTGCTGGGGATTCCAAGTACTTTTGGCAGGCATTGTACTTCATGAAGAAGGTTATGTCGGAAAAGGGAAAGGGGAATCAGCAACGGGATTTGTTTTATAGTAGTCTGATGTGAAATGTAGACTGCACATGACGATGAAAAATGAAGGATGTTTGAAGTCTCGTCTTGTCACCTGGACGAACTTCGTCCTCAGTTTGCGTATGTTCTCATCCTTAGGAAATTTGTGAAGCGATAGACAATTACTGTTCACGGCCCCACATTTTCCAACTACGCATCGTTATGGCATCAAGAGCTCAAAAGTCTTTGGTGAAAGTTTAGAACGATGCGAAATAGCATGAAATCAGCTGATACGAAGTTAGGCCAGGAGCAATGAGGTGGCCAGGAGGGCCAGGAGTGATGTGTTCATCCCGTGACGTCACGAGCAAGTGGCGTTCCGCGCGAAATGTTCCGGCCTTGACTGAACTTTAGAATTTAATTTCACTGTTAAGACCTGTGTTTTACGAAACAAAGTTGATCAACGTACTTACAACGGTCATTTCAAATGTTAGAAAGGTAAAACAGATCGTGTTACGCGCTATTGTTAAGTCAGTACATTTGGCAGCCCAGCCTCCCTGCTCCGCGGTGCCCAAGCATCTCCCTTCTAGTATCTTTTCCCAAATTACGCAATAAATATCATGTTGCCACAGAAATCATGGACGATACGCGTGAGAGTACCGAAGTTTATTATTTGCACCCGACAGATTTGGATCACATGTTAAGCAAGCGAGGCCTCACTGTTATGCAACAAACAAAATAGTCGACTGCAGAGAGATCGCTTTGCGTTTCGTTAAATATTTTCTTTTCATATGATTAATTCATTACATGTAATATTATATTATGTTGTATATTATTGATAAATTATAGGTGATATGAAAATGACTTGAAACATGAGAAGCAAATGTAAGTAAGATCTTTGAAAGGCTCAAATCAAATATCGGGTACAATAGGAGAAATGGAGGAATCTCCATTCTAGCAGTTAATCTAGATATCCCCTAACTACTTGCAACTATATAAAAAGCTTGCAGGGCAAAGTTTGACAGAGTTGAAGTTAACAGGGTAGGACCACAACATACTCGAGGTGAGTCTACTGAGAGTAAGTTTGATTGAATATATGGTCTTATTGGACAACGCTTAATTTAGTTTACTGTTACTTGATGCAAATATTGATTTATATATTTCTTTAGTCTGTAGTATAAATCTAATCAGGAGTTACATAATACCAAGATTGTGATTTCTCCTCAAGTTTCGCAGGTTTGTCGTGGTATTCGATCTACCGAGTGTTGATTCTAAAAAGTCGTGAATATATTTACACTTACTTAGGCTAGCCCTTACCAGACCTGTCAACCTTAAATTTTAATACCTTGGGATTTTAGATTTTTCCTAAAGAAAAACAGGGAGATTTGGTCAAAAACAGGGAGATCATAGAAATTTGTTAAGGGAATAAATATACCTTTTAAAGTGTTGTGCTCCGCAAATAGTCTATGACAAAAGTGTTCATGAGAAGTATCTTTATAATAACTTTTATTGCTTTTTTGTTAATCAGTAAGCACTAACAAATAATTGCTGTCATGAGGAAGTCAATGTGACCAGTATATCTTAATTATACCTCTGCAAAAAGAAAACATGCACAATGGACCTGTCTTTAAAGCATGAGATGCGCAGTTCATTCAAAATATTCGGTGAAGAATCTTCCTAGACATTCTGCTAGACACTTTTGAAACCGGGAGAAAAATTTTAAAAAACGGGAGACCGGAAGAAAGCAGTCAAAACCGGGAATTTTCCCGGCTGAACCGGGAGGGTTGACAGGTCTGCCTTACTTTTCTTGCATGTTCTTTAGCTTACCCGAGCGCACATTGCTGTTAGGATACAGGCCACACTGTTTTTCGAATGCTAGACCACGAAGAAACAGGTCAGAAGAATCAAGTACATTACAAACAAAAAATTTCGTCAGATATTTTTTCGGCGGATAAACTTCGTCGACAAAAATTGCGGACAACTTTTCAGAAGTCCGTCGTGACAAAACATCGTCGTGGATTTCAACACAAACAAAGCAACATATTACCAAAATCTTAAGAGGCAAAACCATACAGGTAGTTTTATATTCGATCCCATTGGTACCGGCTTTGTGGAGACTTGGGGGCTTGAGCACCCTTTAGGAATGGCTTATTTAAAAAGGGCGTGGCTTAATTTGTTTGGTTTGTCCCCCCCCCCCAGAGCTTAGTGGCTGGCGCCGCCAATGCACATGTTGATGTAACTGTGACTGCAGGGATGGTGCCATTTTATCATCTGTGAATCAGTGCTGCAAACATGTCGCTACGCAGACGATGCACGGTGATGGAAATGTTGGGTGAAATGTTGGATGAAATGTTGGGTGAAATGTTGGATGCGTTTGACCACCCGCTTAAAAATAACCACGAACTTTCTAATTTTTTGGGAATAAATATTGGATAAAATGTTGGATGCGTTTGACCGGGGCTTAAGAAACTGGCTATAAGAAAAGAGTACTGGACAGTCAGAAAAAATTAAGAAACTTCAGTACTCGAAGGAAAAAAATTTTCCTATGATTTTCAAACTGCCAATTTTCAAACAAAAGTTAGTCATAGGCGTTCCCTTCGGATAAAATTGGCGTTTTTGCGCCATTGTTGCGAACGATAGATGGTCGAAATTATATTATAGCGATTTATTAATGTATGTTTTGAGACCCTACAGTGGCTCTAAAGCTTACATTAACTACAAAAAATTTCGTTTTAAAAAAATTCGGACAAATATTTTGATGAAATTTTCTTCGGCTAAATTCTAAAGGAGACGAAATTTTGTCACGACGAAATTTTTTGCATTTAAGATTTTGAGAATTCGCATAGAAAACCTATTACATGAGGTCAAGAATCAAATTTATCCGTTTGATGTATCCGTTTAATCCATTCAATGTCAATTACGTCATGCTACTCATTTACACCATCTTCATTATTATCTTTATTGTAGGCATCATAATCATCATTGTCAGTTTCTGAACTAACTTCTTTTCACCATCGTTCGATAAAAATAGTTCTAACTCAGTGACGTAGCGAGGGGGCGGACACCACCCCCAATGGCGAAAAATCTCTTTGGTTTGGTTGAAAAAGTGCGTTATCTTGTGTCCAAAAGGGTGAGGACCCCAATGTTCCTTGCACAAATAGCCCTTGTCCAACCCACCCCCCCCCCAATTTTACTTCTCTAGCTACGCTAGTGTTCTAACTGTGTTTTCTCCACGGTTTCAAAGGATTTCACCTTTGTCTTTTTATACTTAAACTGTGCATTTTCTTTCATTCTTTCAAGGTATTTGCACTTTTCAGCCCAAATTTTGAACCTACAGGAAGCACAATTACGAGAACAACTTCTCGTGCTGGTCTTATGCTTTCTGAATCTTATACTTTTATTCACACTTATACTTTTAATTATACTCTTTGAATGTTAAAAGCACCATTATTTACCCCAACCTTCATAGCCTATTCCAAGGTAAATAAGCTGCGGGGGCAAACCTCTGTTTACTTTAGGAGCAGTGGCGGCGCCAGGCACTATGCTCTAGGGGGAGGGGGGGGGGGGCAAAACAAAACATTTTAGGCCACGCCCTTTTAAGTATCAGAAAACGCCCTTTTACTAACAAGGTAAGCTAATTATATCTGAAGAGAACGCCTATGACTACCTTTTCGCTATGAAAATCATAGGATTACATCATAAAAAGTACTTTGCCAAAATATTACCCCTCCGCCCTCCCCCAAAATTGTCTCATCGGAACTGACGAATACAAAATTGATTCTGTTGAGAACTGGGGGGACGTGTCCCCCAATCCCCCCAATTGCCCCCCCCCCGTGGTGCCGCTAATGGCCGCAAAATACTTCCCCAGCAAATTTTGACAAGTGATTTTGACAACCCTGTTTCATTTTGACTATGTACCATGATTGTATCTCAGTCGACCTACAAAACTGGAGCAAGGCAATCTTTACCTTTCAGCTGTAAAATGTCAGGGAAATTAAAGTAAATCTTGAAACTGCCACATCCAAAATAAAAGGCTGACCATAGTCTTTGAAAATATTTAAAAATTAATGACAACACGATGCACAAACACATAATATTATATCTTGGCATCAAAGGCTAACATTTTCCTTGTTTTTGTGCTAGAATCGAATCATTATTATACTCTTCAAATGAAGCATATCCCAAACACAGTTATATTGAATAATATCCAGGAATTAAACTGCAAAACAAAGTATTTTATCAAACCTGTTATTCCTAGGTATTATCTATTGTATTGTACAACACACAAGCTTGTATTGTATTTTTTTTACAGTCTTTCAAAAAGAAAAGGAAAAATGAGATTGATCTTTTTCACTTTACTGGCCTCGCTAGCTTTGGTCAAAGGAGACATATTTGGAATCAGCAAAAACATTTTGGGCAACATATTAAATACTGCAAACAAGCTTTTGGAAGGCTTTAAAGATGAAAAGCTATTGGATTCTATTTGCGGAAAATATGAATGCCCAACATACACTGTGAAGTTTAAAAAGCCAAAGTATGAATTGAGGTGCTATGAAAATGCCCATTGGGTGTCAGTTAAAAGTGACCACAGTCTCTCAAGAGGTAAGCAAGCTAGTTCTATGAAATGGTCAACAGCCCCTGTTGATTGATGAAACAAAACACAAATGTCTGTCTAATTACTTTATTTTATACTTTTCATACCAAAGTGATGCAAGATCAGGGGCGTAACTTGGCCAATAGTTTTGGGGGGGTGAAAAGGGTTTCTGCCCTGCAAAAATGAGTGGTGCAGGTCTTTACACTGGTCTTTACCAAGGACAAACTTCTAAGCAATAAAAACAAACTTGAAACTTCATTGCCTATGAAATTTTTATTTCTCTACGTGAGCGTAAATTGTTTTTTTATATTCACTTCATTTAATGTTGGTTTGCAAAATTAAGCTAATAAACAGCTAATTGGGGGGGGGGGGGTACATGATGTAGACAGCGCAACGAAATTTAGCCCAATGGAGCTAAGAGTCGAGTTTAGTGAGGTAGGAGGACCCACCATGGTTGGGTCCGACGTGAAGAAATTTTTTGAAATTATATGTTGTAAAAGGGCTAAAAAGCATCTTTCAGACAAAAATTTACCAAATTACTATTGTGCTAAAAGAAGTGATTGTTTATTGAAAATATTATTGTTTATTGGGAAAAATAGGGAGGGGGATGTCATGCTAAAACTCTAGTGTTAGACGTTGGGGAAGGAAAGAAACGGCAACCTTTCGTTTCAGATTGCACGTAGTTGTGAATGAAAGAGGAAGATGTTGTTTTGATTGGGAGAATATTTTTTCCTGAACAGAAATGTGCAGTTTCTTGTATCAAGAAGGCCATTTTTACACACCCAAAATTATAACATTGCAATGATACAGAAAATGATTTACTGAATTAATGCAAATAAAAGAAAAATAATAAAAATATACGTGAAAAAGTTAGCAATTAGATGAAACAAAATCGGTATCTTAACGATTTATTATGTTTTTTAGTTCATGCACTGTTAAAAAGTGATAGAAAAAATGATAAAAATTTCCTATCTTGACCAAAGTGAGGGACTTCAGCCCCTTATTCCCCCCCCCCAGTGACGCCGTGCTTGTTATGAAAATAATTTACAACATTAATTTGCATGACTCAACCTTGCCCTCATAAACATTTGCATCAATCATTGCATCCATTGGCTATGACTTTCGGTAAGAAATGCTTTCGCTTTGCAAATAACGGAGCTTTTCCTTACATACCTGTTCCGTTCTCTAAAATGCAATGTCAGGAAGGGAGGTTCATAACAAATACGATATTTCCATTTCAAAATTCCTAAACGGCTCTTTACGAACTTCAGAGGTGGCATTTCTGCGTGGCAATAAAGCTCTTCTTGGCGCCCTGCGAAATCTTCGATTGCCCTGCGAAATCGATTATTTTTTGGATTGGGGGGGTGTCACACCCCCCCACACCCCCCCCGGTAGTTTCGCCCCTGTGCAAGATCTAGGGAAAATCTTACCCACGAGGTTATATGGCCAGCTATTAGGATGGCTTGGGATGTGCAATGCAGTTTAAAACTTAGTTCTTCTGATATGATATAAAAATAGACCATTCTTGAAATGTTCTATGTAAAAAAGTTTTTCTTTTTTATTACAACAATAGACATTTGCTTTACATTCAAAACAGTGTAAATTTACTATCTTACTTTTTGAAGGTGCTACACTTTTTGGAGGTGGCAGAAAAATGTTTAAACAGTTGTTTTCATACATTGATGGAGCAAACAGCTTGGGTGCAAAAATTAACATGACGGTCCCAGTTCTGCAGCAAATAAAGGATGATGGCACATCCTTTAAATTGAAAATGAGTTTCTACATTCCAAGAAAGTTTCAGACCAAGCCACCCAGCCCTACAAACCCAAATGTGATTGTAGAGTCAAACAAGTTTTGTGCATATGTTCACTCTTTTGGTGGCTATACCATACTGTATTCTCAGGTAGAGAAACATGTTGAAATGCTTGTGAAAGCTCTCAAAGAAGATGGATTGCAGGACACATATCAAAGCGGAACATACATATATGCAGGTTACAACAAGCCTACTACATTCTTCAGGAGACACAATGAAGTCATGCTTTTAAGAAAATAAGACATGAATTGAAGTTGTTCCTTGAAAAAGTTAATGAAACTGGATTATTTTTTAAAAATACTTTTGTAAGAATATAGTATGAACAGAAGTTTCACCTTTAAAAGTTATAAAAGTTTTGTGATTTATTTTTTGTACATTTGACAATACTTTATTTGGCTGAATTCTTACTTTTTTAAATGTGATCAATTTATGGGAGTTTGGCTGATTTTAATTTCAATGGCACGATGTTAGAATATCCGTGTCGCAGCATTTTATGTGAAACTATATGTTACGTAAATGCCAAAATGCAAAAAACCAATCATAGGCAGAGGGAGCCCGATTCATAAGGCTTAAGGGTGAAATATAATATTTTAGTCTATACCATTTATATTGTAGAAGATAGCCTTTCACCAACAACAAATGTCAGTCTTTCAAACAAGAATCACTAGGGCAAACTTTCAGTTGTAAATATGGAGATTCAAAATCATAGTATTTCATAACAAAAGGACTTTCCCAAATAATACTCCTACCCAAGTATTTTCTCATCAAATTTTAAACAAAATAAACCATGTCAAGAACTTGAGGATGTGTCCTCCCCGCATTCCTGTGAGGTAGTCCTTGATCACTGGTTATAGCTTGCAACTTATTTTCAAGTAATTTTGGTTGATATCAGTGCTTGACAGGGGGCTATTACAAGGGCCTAGAGGTGGATACCAAATGTCACTGATTGCATGAATGAATAGTCCTTATATTAGATACAACTCTCATTAGGTGTACATGCTCTTCCTTAAACAATTATTTCAATATTTCTAAAACATTATTAATCAAAGTGAAATTGATCGCACATTTTCCTTAGTGTGATAAAGAAGGCTTGCTTTGCCCTGAAAAAGTTTGATCTTGTTCAAAATTCTGATAGTCATTCAACATTTTAGCCAAAGAACACTTGCAACACGTGTTGTGCTCATGATGCACAACAGGAAAGAAGAAAAATGCAAAACAAATGACAAGGTAAATCAAACGTTCCAGCGTCCCTGGCTGAGACTCTTGAGTTGGGGTAAAAACGTTTAGGAGGGCAAGGTCTAAATCACCATTTAGCACCAGTCCTTAAAGGCGAATGAACTCAATGCAACTGCAAAATATAAATTTATATAAAGTGATTTTGATAATTAATTATCATTTTAATTAAAAGATCACAGAAACCGTAATTTGAAATGTTATAAGCAACAAAATCAATACCTATTGACTGCTACTGCTTGCCTGTTTGAAAATCTTTTAGTTACTTGATTTTCATATTTAAAGGTTTTTCTTTGGCTATGTCAATAACACATTTATTGTTTTAAGGTTTAACTGTGCCCCGTTCCGGCAATAAGACGTCTGAATCCATCAGCAGCTAACTACATAGTGACCAACTTTTCATGGCTTGAAATCAGTTTCACCTTCTGTGTTTTGGGTGCATGGTTTAATGAACAATCTGTCAACATCAGCAAACTTGCGCGCCAAAACGATAAAATTTGAAGCCTCGTTTCCATTGAGGATATAATCTCGACACAAATCTCGAGTACTCTACAACCCAGCACAAATATACTGGAACTGCAATTACTTTCAAGATAAGACAAAATTCTTTATATTTATTGCTTGATTCGGTTTATTTTTTCAGTGAAAAGTCTACCCCAGCCCCGGTGACTGCCCATTGCTTTAATAAATAGGGTATTTCCCCCCTCTTTATATAAACAAAGACTTGCCTCTGCAGCTAATTTACTTTCGAAATGCTATGACTGTTTAGCATAAAATGCTGGTTTGTGCTACTGACATGCAAATTTCAAATCCTGAAAAATATTTTACTTGAAAATGACAGGGAGTATATTTATTTTTATGGAAAGCTCCTCCGATATTTGCAGGCGTGAATTTCCCATCGGTTATGGTCACAAAACATTTTCATGCAAACTTTTCAATGTCCAACTTTTTCCTATCAAGAGACATCAAGAGACATTAAAATTTGTCTACCCATTGCCAAAGCCAGATAAACAGTTCTCTATTTTTCTCGAGATTCCTCTTTATGCTTTAGATCATCGAGGCAGATCTTTGTGACTATTCCAAATTCTTTTTGATTCACTTTATAGGTTCTAATACAAAACATCGTGCCCTTTCCCACCCAATGCAAAGATTCATGTCGCGCCCCTGTATCGAAAATGACATTCTTAGGAAATCTACTATTCTGTTTGTCGAATTAAATATATCAAATCGAATATCGGTTTTCTTACAAGCTGTATTCTCATAAAATAATGTTATAGCAAAAATTTCGTAATTTCAATAAATCTTTAAAAAAAGCACAACAAGATAGCGTTTTGAATAGAGTCAATAGGAGTTGTTGTATTCAGAAACCTCATCTTACTGATAAATTTGAAAGAATGGTCTGGAGGTGTTTGGCTATCATAAAATAAATAATCCTGAACATTTTTCAACATGTCCTTTGCTTCAAACTTCAAAACATTGACTGCTAACAAAGCATGCTGTAAACTTTTCTACCGGACCAGGTCTTTGTTTATATAGGTCTTTTCAAAACAACCAAAGATTCAAGACAAATGATTTTCTTGCTCAGCCTCCAGAAACTTTTTTAAGCGATAACACCACACGAGCCGTTTAAATACAAGCGTTAAACTTTTGTGACATCCTGGACATGACGAACAGCCTGGTCTATCTTTGACATCAGTATGGACAACTGGATGTTGACACCATCCCAATCAGGGTCAATCCCTTTGTATGCCCTGTAAATTGATTCTTTCAAGCCTGGAAATTTGTTGCTACCAACAATATAGAAGGCAGTTGTTCCAAGAATCATGTGTCTAGTAAAGATAAAGAAAAGATTCACTACTGCAATACAAATCTACAAACCAAACATTATTATACTAAAATTGACTGATAGCAAACCAAGACAAAACGTTGTTTCAAATTAGATTCAATTTAAAGCCAAATTGAAATAAAAACAGTTCGCTATTTTCCAACTAACCTGACATGTTTGTTTCCATGGTGACCAGGATCATGCAGAAACATTCTCTCAAAGTTCATCAGCTGGTCGTTGTAAATTCGAAGTTTCATAGCACTGCAATAGCAACATCATCTATTTAGCATGGCAATTTCGTAAAAATGCCCTTTATTGGGCAGCTAAAAGATTGGCACCAATACAAATTGTCAAAGCAGTCAAGTAATCTAGAGTGCTGGCCAATGTAGCGATTATGATTGTTATAATGATCATGTGATTAAATATAGCTTTCAGACAGTTCATTAATTGTTACATTCAATCATCTCAATTAGCTCGGATGAGACTCGAATGATGAACTAAGGTGTGCTCTTGTCTCTCTCTCCGTTGTATCCACGCAAACCGCATCTACACTTATTTTTTGAAAGAAACAAATATCGAAGTTGAGTATAACAATTTCTTGACGCTGTGGAAATTTCAATACTTGTTTTTTCTTAAGACTTTCTTAAACTTGACGTCATTAATTTTGACACTGACTCCCTACTTTCAATTTTTCACGCTAAGAAATTTCCCAAAAAATATGCTTGAAGGATTTTCGTCGCTGCAAATCGTCAATTTTTCTATTGTTTTCAAAGATATTCGCTTCCGTTCTTATGAACCCTGGGTACCCTGCATTCTTATTTCTGGTCTAGTGCGCCCCATTCTCGTTCGGGTGTGCTGATATTAACCAATCAGGAGCGAGTGTCAGATTTCTGTACGTTCAAAGGTCACAGCGAAACAATAAACGTAGCTCTGGTGTAAAGTTCTTTCAAATAAGTTCACCAGAACAAGAATGGGGCGCATTAGACCAAACTCTCTATTATATTACATAGTGAGTCTGGTACCCAGGGTAGTTCTTATGCTGCACATATATGAGGGAAGTGTATTTTTAGTCTCTGAGTCTCAAATTTTTTGCCAGCCAACCAATTATGATGATAAAATTTCACAAATTTACTTAAATTCTGGACTTTTTCACATTCCAATAGTTTGGTTTTTTTCGCATCGAGTATTGAAGTTTCTTAATTTTTTTCAGATTGCTCAGTACTTGTTTCTTTTAGTGAGTTTCTTATAGCGAGTTTCTTTAAAAGAAAATAAGTGCAAACACCACAGGTCTATTTTTATCGCTGGCATTTTGATAAGGTGGCATTTCAAAGAGAAAATACGATACTCGAGGGTTTTCGTCCCTATTTTCTACAGAAGGGAATTACCATCACGTGCATTGAATCGGAACTCGTGATCCCCATTCCCGCCATTTCTCTTGTGTAGCGCACAGCTCTTGGTTACATGAAACATAAAACCATATATCGTGACAGTATAGAAAATCGAGACAATGACGTCAAGACTATAAACATTCATGCTGCAGACTTACTCTGAGGTATCCAGGTTATCAAGACGTTTGTGGAAGTCCTTTGTGGCACTAACAAGCTGCTTGACTTTTTTTATAAGAAGATCTACAAAGATATTTTGGTATTTCAATGCAAATGTTCTTTATCAATATTCTAGTATTTTGCATAATTTGAGGGAAGGATGTTCTTAATATTGTTCTTATTTTAACATTAATTTCTAAATCTACATACTATTAATCGTTTATTAGAACTTTTCTTAACGCTCCGCGGTGCCTGCACTTCATAGCAGATTCGCATGTCATTTTTAGTAGCACGGATTATAAGCTGATAAAGTCTGTTCTGTGTTTTTTTTACTGGTTAGACAAATTTGAAACAACGTTGCTGTTTCCTCAAACTTTTCATTTTTATGTCTGGGTATGTTTCTACGTGTCATTGTGTCGGGGCATGTTTTAGCAAATCATTACTCTGTGATCTTCTAAAAGATATTCTTATAAGTTAACGACTGTTTTTGCAACGTGACGTACAAGGACAAGCATGACCAGGCAGATTATTCTCTACGTGGCAAAATGATTCTTATCCATACAACAAAGACCGCTATTTGACTAAAATAGTCATATAGAATTGCATAACGTGAAATTCAATAGTAGTAAGACACATAAATTTGTTTATATTGCATATTGCATAACTATAATCGGAAGCCCCCGTAAAAGTGATGTAACAATTATTCAGTCGAAAGCCGCAATGTCACCGACCAATCTGTTAACCATTGCCAAAAAAGATTTGTTTGAATTGAAAAAGGTGAAGTCGTTGGGAAATAGAAAATGATTTCCAAATGTTACCGCTGTTCCCTACGTACCGAGATGCATGTGCATGCGTGTTACAAAATAAAAGAAAATGCAACGATGAAGTGGCATAAATCTAATATATTCAAGTAGCAAAACTATAGATGAAAAAGGATTTGTTGTGAAACATGTAGGGGCCATATATGCATTCTTCAGATTTGTGCCGAAAAGTTTTGGCGTTAAATCTTCAAACAAAAAGACGACCTATTAGCTGCAATCGTCAAAATGCTCTGTTTTTTACTCATTTGCTTTAGGCCTAACAAGAGATCATATGACTCATCTATGGAACAAAGGCGAGTTAGAGAGAGACTGAAATCTCCTCAGCTTGCTCGTGAAGGTTAAAGAGAAACGATTAACAATAATTTTTTCATCGTGTTTCAAATTGATTTTCAGTCTTCATCAACATGGAAAATATTGACTTTCCTCGTGCATATAGTTATAAAGAGACACTTGAAACGTTGATCTTATTATCATCTAAATATTGATATGATTTAATATAACTCGGAAATCAATTTCTTTAAAAAGGCACTTGCTGCCCCCTTGTCGCCCCCGCACCAACTACAATCCTTACAAAAATTGTTGGAACACGTGCCCAAAGCTGATACCTTTTAAAAAAAATCCTGCCCTACCCCCCATTACAATGTTGTTCAATTGGGCTGTTTTGGTCCTGAAGGTAAAAATTTCTTCGCTGAAAGCTGTATGAAAGTATTGAGAAAATAAATCAACATTGTACGGGGGGAGGGGTCGAAATTTTTTAAGCGGCATTGATATTTTGGTAAGGTAGTTTTAGACTTGCTTTGTTTATTTGCATCCTGCAATGGGTGTTTCAAATTGATTTTCAGTCTTCATCAACATGGAAAATATTGACTTTCCTCGTGCATATAGTTATAAAGAGACACTTGAAACGTTGATCTTATTATCATCTAAATATTGATATGATTTAATATAACTCGGAAATCAATTTCTTTAAAAAGGCACTTGCTGCCCCCTTGTCGCCCCCGCACCAACTACAATCCTTACAAAAATTGTTGGAACACGTGCCCAAAGCTGATACCTTTTAAAAAAAATCCTGCCCTACCCCCCATTACAATGTTGTTCAATTGGGCTGTTTTGGTCCTGAAGGTAAAAATTTCTTCGCTGAAAGCTGTATGAAAGTATTGAGAAAATAAATCAACATTGTACGGGGGGAGGGGTCGAAATTTTTTAAGCGGCATTGATATTTTGGTAAGGTAGTTTTAGACTTGCTTTGTTTATTTGCATCCTGCAATGGGAAGGCGTTCCAGTTATTTTTGGCAAGGATTGTAGGGCAACGGGGGCAGCTGTCTGTGGCTCCGGCGCCCCTGAGATACCTCCAAATACGTATTCGGCAAATTGTGAACAAATTAGCAGAAATTTTTATGCAGAAAATAGTTTTTTGCCAAAACAAAACCAGAAAGTTTTCAAATCATACCAAAACTGATTCCATGGGGATCCGTAATTGATGCGTGTGACTTCTTGAAAAATTTAGCAAATCCTAAAATTTTTTTTGCATAACGGTGGAGATTGAAAGGTACAACTGTCGCATCAGCTAGCTTTAAGGCCATTTTTGCCCACATTCTTGCCACTGCCAAATGGTACTTGAAGTCTGGATCGATCCAAGTTGACATCAAATGGAAGTTATCGTGAATGGAATGGTAGGAAGAATATTGGTCGGCTGTCATTTTTACCTAAAGTCAAACAATACTGTCATCTGTCAAAAGAGGTAATGCACTAAATCTTTGCATATAGAACCAAAGAAAATACAAGAATCTAAAAGGTGTTTTTCTTAATTTATATTCATTTAATCAAGGGACTGTTCCGTTTAATGAAACACAATTTTCTTATTTCAATGGTTATGAAATCTTTTTTATGATCCTTATGGTCTCCCAAGCTCTTGCACAACAAAGAAAAATCAGGATAAAAGTTCAGTTGTACATATCAACATGATGCACGCACAGTTCAACTTCCAAATATTCTCTTAAGTAAATCCTAAGTTTAGTAAGAAATTAAAGCCAAGGAAACATTTATAAGCTGGAGGTAACAAAGAGCGTTATTTCACGGAGGGCACACCGGTAAGACATCTAAAGAGGGAACTTCTATGAAAAGGGGCATTTTGTCAAATTTTTATGGTACATGCTTCTAGTTCCCTCTCGTACATATGTCCTTGTAAAAGACAATACCTAAAGCAACAATTCATGTACTTTTTGTAATGTATATCTCCCTTTAAAAACGTGTTCTATACCCAGCACTGATCCTACTTGCTCTAATACAGTATGCTCTTATTGCCTATTTCCTAGTGTCCTTTTTTTGGAGAAAATACCAAATCAACGAATTAATCAACGTTTCAAGTCGTCGCCCCGACATACCTGGGACAAGCCTTTTGCTTACAAGCTAATCTTAAGATTCAACATTCTACTTTAGTTAGTTACCTATATTATGCTAACCGCTTGTCCCCCGCGTTTCTATAGACCTGGCAAGAAAATGTATAAAGAACGAGGTATTTTTTGAATTGCGCGGGAATATGAACACTCTTCTTGAGTTCCAAGCATTTTGAAACTATCGTAAAGTGCGGGAGCTTGTACTTATAAGTATCTTTTGTGAAGATACTTGAATTTAAATTTTATGGAAAAGACTGTTTAGGTTGGTTTACGTTTGTTATCAATTTAGTTGAGGGGTTTTCCCGAGAAGGGACGAGAAGGCTGTTTCTATGACAAAATCGGCATTTATCGGAAAAAAGATTGGAAATATAAGAAATTCTTTGCAAGCTTAATTACTTTCATACTTAATTTTATAAAGATTATGTGCATTTAAAGTCATCTGCTTGAACAAACATTTGAAACTGTCATTTATACGAACAGAAACAACAAAATACCATACGAAGAGAAACAATTCAGAGAATTTATTCAGAGATTACTGAAAAACAAGATTTTAGCCTGAGATGTGCAATGCCTTTTAGATAAAGATGTGATTTCACCATGCTAGCTAAAAATGACCCATCTTCCTTCCAAGCCACTATTGAGCTTCAAACGCACCAAATCTATTTAATGAGCAGGGAAATCGAAATCCCTTTTTTGTTGTCGCAGCCTCGTCGAAAATTGATAAGGTCATTCAAAAATAAGGACTTGTGGCCAGTGGTGTAGTGCTATCAAAATATCAAGGGGCTCTTGCACAAATGCCAAAAACAATAGTAAAAAGTAGAAATTTGCCAATTTCCTGTATTAACAAGGAGACTCGGCCCCCTGGGCCCCCTGAGCCCCCTGAGCTCCCTGCGCCCTTTAGCACTACTCTCCTGCTTGTGGCAAGTTTCATGACAAACAGGTTGGCTGCATGGCAAGCGTGCTTACCTTATCATAGAGGTATCGAATATCCAAGCATGGCACTCCCAGCATTTGCATGAATGGCTTGTAGTCACTTCCAGTCTGTACAACCGTGACGCTGTAAAACAGAATATAGACTGGTTTTTATTCAGAGTATCTCTTTAAGAGATTGATAATCAATTTAAAAAATCTTGGAAAAAACGAAGAATGATAACTCTGTACTGCAAAAGTATAAAAGCTTGACTATATGCACTGTAAAGAATATGAGATTTGGTTCTTAAAATCTTTACAAAAATTCAGAGATTTGTAGAAAATAGCAAGAAATCCTACTTAAGAAATCTACTACCGAATAAAAAATCTCGAAGGAAAAATCCATATGAAAAAATATCCTAAGCAGAAATGAGTAGCTAATACCAATACAAAAAGCAGAATGTATTTGTATCTACTTACATCTGCTCAGGCATGGACAATAAATCAAAGCAATTTAAAGGTGTTGCTAAAATCTATCACCCCAAGTTTCGCTTTTGGCATTGTGATTGCGTACATATACTTAATGGAAAAAATATAAATTTGATCTTCAAGCAACTGGGGCGAGATCAAAACAGACTGCTTATCATCGACTACCGTAGATCCTCGAATTGTCCCCCCCTCAAAAAAGCCCTCCCCTCGAATAAGCCCCCACCCTAGAACTACAAATTGTCAATAAGCCCCCCCCCTCGAATAAGCCGTCACTGCTACTGTAAATTCTCGAACTGGACCCCTCCATTTGATGATTTTTGCCATCTGAGGTTGCTTATGGCGTTTTTATTGAATTACCACAACATATGCATACTTCTGGTAGTAATTATTTAAATGCTCATAAAGAAACTCCTACTAAAATATACGAGGTCTTTCAATAATGTCTTCTTGATGTCTACTATAATTTTACTTGCCCCCCTCGTATAAGCACCCCCCCCCCTTCGAATAACCACCATCCAATAACATCAAAAGAAATAAATAAGAACTCAAGGGGCTTTTTCAAGGATTTACGGTATACCAACACAGCTACCCTGGGCGCCAGAGTCTCATGAATCCGGGGATAAAGTATTATAAACGGCTGCGGTGGCAAATTGATCCCCGCTCAAATATAATTTCAATAACTATTTTAAAACTTTATTTCTGTGGCTATATGATGGAGACGTAAAAACAAGTTCAGCCACATATGAAGAATAAAAGAAAATTTTTCTCTACGTTAGCAAATTTTATCATCAAATTAGCGGTGCCACTAACGGTGTCATGTCGTTCTGTTTTTGTAGCTATATAAAAATAAATTTTAAGATAAGTGTGCGAAATTGAGAACAATCGAGATCAAATTATTCAAAAAATAAAGCAATTCTGCCCAGACAGAAGCTATCTTGCTATCATAAAAACAAATCTGTAATAAATAGGTTCAGCGGATAGTATGAAAAAAATCAATGAACGCTTAAATGTATTAATTAAGAAAGGGTAGCTTTTTCAAATATAGAGAATGTATCAGAGTATTTTAGGGCTAGAAATGATTGCATAGAAAAGATATGATTGTGTGATTGTCACCTCACAGAATATCCTGCCCTATATTAAAAAATCAACAGAAAAATTGTCTCTTTGGTTATACAAAGTGTTACAGTAGAATGGAAAAGCCGTAACATCGCATCCTACAGTACCACCCATACGATACAATCAGCAATTGATAAAATTACCACCAAATCGACGTGAAATATAAAAATTAGAACTGATTTTTTGCGCGGGATGATCTCATTCTCGTGCTCATTTGCCAAACCATAGCTTTCAAACATAGTCTGAAGTTAATTTGAAGGGTTTCTCAATCTCTTTCTGATCGATGGCTGTCAACATTAAACAATCAGTAGAACAATAACGAAGAAAAATCTTTCTTGGATCTCTGGACCAAGATACCTGACCATGTTTGAGCTAAATTTTTATGAGAATGATTTCCTCAGATATGAATTTCAATTTTCATTATGAGACTTAATAAGGAATAAAGAAAACGATGCTAAGTAAAAGACTGTTCTTTTTTTCCAGGAAAGATCACAAGATTCCAACATCTAATTCTAGGAAGAAAAGATAAGAGGAAGACACGAAACAATCCTTGATTGTCTTAAATGCTTCAATGGTTGATATTTCATACTGATCCTTTGTCCAATTATTTGTGGTTCTGCGCACCGTCATTTAATATTGAAGACTTGTTATAAGATCTTGAAGAATGTTCAAGATCTCATATAGACTTGCCTTTTCTGCCATCATTAGCAATAATAGTACAGCAATTGTTTTCAGAGACCCAGGTTACTTTTTAAAATGTTTATAATGACCTTCTGATTCTTATTCTCATCCCTCTCTTTCATTTGCGGAAGTCGTTGAATAAAAATTCTAATTATTTTTGCGATCTATATATTCAATATTTAAACTTGATGAAACTCCATTAGCTATTAGCACCCCTACTTATTAAAGCACACTTAACAATGAGCCATCCCTTCCTCTTATGCCTAACCTCCAAGCAAATCAGAATTTTCCTAGCAAAATTTACCAAATAACATACAAACAATTAAGTGCCTGAAATCACGGCCTTGAAGGAAAAGGTTATGTGTCTGGTTGATATCCACAGGCATCCCTATGCGTCGAAGCAACATATAGGCTATAGGCCAATGAATATTCCACATTAGTCGATTAAATTTCAGAACTAAGATAGGTTGACTTTATTACTTATCTCAAAGCATAATGTGTAAGGCTTTTTCATAGATTTTATGCCATTCTATCACTATCACATTTTTATTATGCTTTTTCTTTCGGCATAAGAATGTTACGTGTTATCTTGGCGATGTGGTTTTCTCTTTTGCGTGTGATTGTGTCATTGGCGTGGCGTGGAGTCAATTTGTTGTCTTGACGCCTTTATCCAATAATTCTATAATTTAATTTAGTAATGTTTTGGCATTGAATGATTTAGATCAAGCTTGAGTCCATAAAAGTGTTATTCCTCTGCTCTAAGGCCTTGGGGCCTAAGCAAATGTATCTTGACGTGAAGAACCTGTACACGTTACAGAGCTAAAGAAGATTGAATCAACTTACTTGGGTTCGGAAGGATTAGTAAAACTTGGAAGTTTCTTTGTCCAGTCTGCATACAAGTCAAGTTCACTGTCTGGTGCAGGAAGCTGTAATGTCAGAATATTTGGTTAGATAAAATTAAGGTCTAAGAGCTATGCTTCTTTAAGAAACACGGAAGTATGGTTTCTCGCAGGGCACTTGCTATTTAACTGTTAGAGTAAAATAGCATTGGCAAGACGGATACAGATAACTCTTCTCTTCCTATCATATTGACGTAATCTACAGATATTACATATGCTTATGTTTCGTGAATATTCACAGGACGCAGTTCCTAGGTTACAATCCATAAAATCAACGAGTTTAATAATATTGTGGCAGAGAAAGCATAGAAGGCATAGAAGGCAAAGCATTGAAGGCATAGTGGCAGAGAAAGTTTAAGCAGAGCAGTTACGTGGAATTGATTTTTATCCCAGTAAAAGCAAAAGAGCAAGCGTATTTCAAAATTTGAATAGATTAATAAAGATTCACAATTTTGGCAGGCTACGCGTTTTGATTAACAAAATATGTGAGAAAATTATAAATCGTGTAAAAGAATACTTCATACCTGTTTGGTGACGTCAAAAAAGGCATCTTCCATTTGAGGTGTGGTTTTGAATCGTACAGTGTAATTTCCTATCAAGAAGAAATAGGATTCAGTAAATGAACTACCTCATTCCCAAATTTACACGTACAATGAAGTAATCGCTTAGAGAAATTCTCCAACTCTCAAACAAGAAGCATTTTTAAATTTCAGAATGCTATAAAAAAGATTCAAACAAATTTTTTATGTAATGTGAAATGTTGCTCTTTAATTGATGTTCACTTCTACTGACTTTCAATTCATTATTTTGCTCTTTGTAACTTGTACCATGGCTATTTCAAGACCTTCTATGTCTTCAACAGGCTGATAGTTTAACTAACACATGTCTTTCAACGAATGTAAATAAGGTTTTCCCTATATTTTAAGAATCAGAAATTTTATAAAAAGACGCTATTTACTAAACGAAACGTTGCCCAAATTATTTGATTAGTCAGATCCGGATCCTATCGTTCTTATCCAAGGATCCTACTAACCAGCATGTTATCACCAAAGAGTTGGACAGAGACCAAAATTTAACTAAAACCTGCAATTCAGATACCCTCTATCAAATATTTTTTGCAAAAATAGCCTCTAGCCCTAAATGAGCAATCCCCCACCCCACCACCCAGTACACTCTAATTAGGGGTTTTACAAAAAGAACTAGTCCTTGATAAAATCTATTTCTTTTTATGATTAAATTCCTTCTGGTTTCTCGAAGACTTTTTAGAGGACTTGCTGTATTCACAAACATGCTAACCTGAATATATATGTAAAGGACTTTGACTGCTGCAGAACCTTAACTGGGCTGGGGCTTTCGCGCAAGTTGAATAGGGTGCATGGGCAAATTAAAAGCTCTTGCGAGAAGCTCATTCTTTGTAAAAAAGGGTTGGGAACATTGCATGAACTTACGAGCTTGAGGCACAAGGGACAAGTATCCCCCTCAATTTAAAAACAGGGGTAATGTACCCATTTGTACCAGTGGTGGCGCCAGGGGAGGGTCAGGAGGGCCTACAGCCCCTCCGTCGGAAGCATCTAGCCCCCCCCCCCATCGGATGAAATTTTAGGTTATTGTCGGAGCAAATTTGACAAAATAACGTACGAAAACTGCTTATTTTAGTCATTTTAGTCCCCCTGTCGGAAGCTCCAACCCCTCTGTCGGAAGATTTCTGGCGCCACCACTGATTTGTACCTCATATTGGTGTCCTTTTTAGCCTACAAATCGCCCTCAACTATTAGCATAGAATGCCACCCTTTCTATAGCTAGGTGGGCCAGGATACGGTACTGGATTGCTGGTTCTATATTTCATGACTGGGTGTAGAATTAGGGATTTCGCTTTCGACAATCACCCTGCCGATTCATAGTCAGAGGTATATTTGTGCCATTCGAAAATTTTGCAATAAACAAAAGATGTAAACATCTCTTTATGAAATATAAAAATCGTAACATACCTTCAACAGCAATATCTACGTTCAGATAGGCAATTGCTCTTTCTTTGATCATTTTCGCGTGATCCTAAAAAAAGTCAGGCCATATCAACACCGGTATCAGATCCCTAGAGGCTAGAATGTTTTCCATTTAAACCCTATCCCGATGTTTAACCATAGCATCAGCAAGGTCGGCATGGCATCGTACGTAGACATCAGACCATTGCGCCGAAAACACGTAAGCCACTAAGCTGATACGGGAGATAACTTTACGCCAAAGGTATTCGGGCCTAGGTACATGGAACGTACACTAACCTACTGGGCATATGTGCACAGAAAGAACACACAGGTTAGCTTGAAATTTTTAAAGATTTATCGCAAAAACCTAGCACTTAGAGAGTTTTGTCGCTGAAAGACTCTTAATTTTCATGATGGAATGTTTAAAATAATATGGAAAAAGAGATAATCATGGTTAAAGCTGCCTTTTCTGCCTTTTGATCGAAAAAGCAAAAGAACAAACAAAAAATATTTAAATCTGTCAGAATGCCCGTCACCATATGGCTGTCGGCAAAAAGCTATGTCAAAGTCTTACCTATTTTACGAAATAAGAAGGAATTAGAGCGAGCTTGATTTAGGGGACATGCAATACTCATGTATAAGTTTTCAATTACCTCTACCCACTCCCATGATCCCATCAGACCGTATTCTTCAGCATCCCAACTGCAAAGCATGATGGTTCTTCGTGGCCGCCAACCTATATGAATAGTAATTCAGCTGAATAATACTTGCAACATGCTGCAACATTTTGCTGCAACATGCTGCAACAACATGCTAATTCAGCTGCAACATGTTAGTAGTTTTCGATACTTCAAGTATAATAACATACCTTACATTAAATGTTGATCCAGATACAAGCTAACTAGATTTAGCAGAAAGTGTTTCTTTGAGACTGGAATACATATCTATTGAAAAGCTAATTTTCTAGCTGATAGCTAAGCATATCAAAAATGACGCTTACATGAAGTAATTCTGTTTTGCTTGAAAACAAGCTTTCCAGGCATAAGGTTCAGTTTTGAGATTTATATTACATCTCAGGCCTGAGGTAGGTTCCAGGGGCTGCTAAATGCAGCAGTAAAATTTAGAAGTAATTAATAAGTCAATTCTATATACGTCTGAAACATTCCGTTAAAACATATGAATGACCTCTTTTCAGCAAATCACCAAAGGCCCTTCCAATTTCCATCAGTGCAGCGCTACCGCTTGTGGCATCAGCAGCACCGAAATTCCATGAATCCCTGTGATTTCCCAGAATGACCAGACGGTCTGCAACAGAACAGTTTTTAATTAATGTTCCAATCATGAGGTTGCTCCAGCATTCTATCCAGACATATTACCTCTAATTAGCCCCCTGAGGGCTTATTTATTTTTGATATTTTTGGACGGGGGCTTATTCGAGAGGGAGGCTTATACGAGGGGGAAGGCTTATGAAATTATTGTAGACAATAAGAAAATATTATTAAGAGAACTTGTTTATTTTAGTAGGAATTTCTTTATGAGCATTTAATTAATTACTACCAAAAGTACGAATTTGTCGTGGTTATTCAATAAAACGCCATAGGCAACCTCAGATGGCAAAAACCGTCAAACTTATGGGTCCAATTCGAAAATATACGGTAGCAGTTGGGGCTTATTCGAGGAAGGGGATTATAGACAGTTTGTAGTTTTAGAGTGGGGGCTTATTCGAAGGGAGGGCTTTTTGACGGGGGGGGGAGGGGGGCAGCAATTCGAGGATTTACGGTATAGAAATAATGATTTCCTTTTTTTACAATGGGTTGAAATAAAAGGTTGCTGTTGATACGTTGATGGAAAGCTTTTTCTTTAAATTGGCAATAAGTGTTTATTATGATAATACGTATCATGCCGTTACGAGTATTGTAGTGACATATGTTAACTATCATTATGTGTTACCATAACAATATTCGAAAGCAATAATGCTTGACAACAAAGAAGCAATGAGCAATGAGATGAAATATCAAAAAAACTATACCAGGCTCAACATTTCCATAAATTTTTCCGCATACATTGAAAACTGGTTTTGTTACAAGTTTTGTGTGAACACTTAGTCTTACTCTCCTGAAACAAGGAAATTTAGGTGAGCTTAGTTAATCTGAAGGGTTTTGAGGAAAAATGGTTTGTAAATCATAAAAGCATATGGAGGAAAAAGATGGGGAAAAATATGGAGGCCATCTGCAAGTAGAAACGAGAAAAGCTAAGATGATGATTACAATAATAACACAAACAACAAAACTTACGAGTTATGGTATGAAGTTATTTTGTCTTGAAAAGGGTCCTTGTGTTAAGGATCCTTTAGAACTGTTATCGTTACATGGAAACTACTTAGTGAAACTCACTTTGTTCCGTTTATGTTGTATTTGAAGTCAAATGATCCTTGCCATTCTTTAGGGGCAGCAACCCCATCCATTTCCCTAATAAAGATTTTAAAGAAGGTCACTTTGAAGACAATTTCAAACTGTTTTTTCCAATAAAGTGTTTAAAGCCTGCAAAGAGTTTCAAGGCAGGTTATTTGCTTAGAAACAGGATCAATATTGTGAATGTTTGAAAGGTGCTTCAGTCATATTGCATAGTACTATCTATGGTATCAGGATGCTAATAACATTTTGTATGTTTTCAAAGTCATAAAAAATGCCGAAGCAAAATCTTTAAGAGTACGCATCAAGTTGAGAGGAACCCCAAAATGTTATAACAAAAATTTCCGCAACTATCTCAGTTGTAATGACGTCATCTTGTGCTCCATCTTTCTTCTTGTTCCCACCAAAAAGGCATTAGAAATGCTCAGCAAGCTTGAAGAGAAAATCTTGGTTTAGCAGGGAAAAACTAAATGTTTGCTTATAGTTTTACGTAAAATTCAACATACCCAAGAATCTTTTTTGCATAGTTGAAAGGAATTGGTTGCGAGGGGATCTTTGGCAAAACCGTCGCTTTTGAAACGTTCATACGGAAGTAGCCCTCTGCAAATTATAAGAATCATGGTATAGGCTCATTTTCTTAGATATACTAAATGACAAGACGTAAGGATGAATGGCCATTTCGAAGGTTTGCGAAAAACTGAACATAGAATTAGAGTTTAATGAGTTGAGATAGATAATTACAGAGTATTGAAGATGGCTGTTTAACTGTCTGTCGCAGGCTGCACAATGCTGTGTAAACAGAGCTACAAGTAACTTTGATGTGCATAGCAGGTCTGTTCAACTTATGGATACCAATATTCCCCACCAAAAAATGGAATCAAATCAGAGGTTCCGAGGCTCGAACTAAGACAAATACTAAAAGTAGGATAAGAATCAAGCTGTTAGAACGTCACCCATTTTTCCCACATGAAGTGCTTTATACGGATTTTCCACTCCTAAACATACTAAACTATATTAATATTATAAGTATTTTTGCCAAAGCAGAAATGTTCATCTAAAATTTTTACTGCTGTCATGCTCTTTACACCTAACAGTGTAAAGTTCTGACCATGCAGTTATCTTTATTATATCCTCGCTAAATGCAGCATCTACTTAAATAAGAACAGCAAACTGTACCTTTAGAGGGATACTCTTCTGACAAGACATCCCCTTGATACCTAATGATAGTTCCGATCTGCAATCCGGTTCCGGGCAATTCCCAACCTTTAGGGTAAAACGCCTTGAACGGACTCCAGTCAACAGGGTCCGAATACAGGATCGCACCGAGAGCACCTCGCTGTTGAGCTCTTTCCACCTTGAAAATAGGTGCAAAAACTGACATATCTCATCAGACAGGTATTTTACATGGCACGTCCTAGAAGAGGCAGGGGCGGGGACCTTGCCCCAAACCATTTCGCTAAATATAAGGAATCAATAAGGCGAAAATTTTATATGGATAAATCTGTAGATTATTACAAATACAATGAACCAGGACTCGTACGTAAACAGTGTCAGTAAAAACTAAGCAACAGCGGGAACCAATAGAACAGATGAAAATTTATCTACACTGCTGGCACCAAGTTTAGAATCAGTGACCTGGGCCTAGCTTGATTTTGCAACTGGTTTTCAGTCAGAAAAGTTGACTATTTTTGTATAGCAAATGGGACCATCTCTAAAAGAAGAAAACCTCCTAAGAAATTTCATGATTTGGTTAAACATTAATTGGTGGACTTGAAATAATGAGAAAGTTTCCTGATGATCGCATTTCGCGTGAAACTCGGAGTTGCAACTTAGAATGACTTTCTTCTACACACCAAAACAAATACCCGCATATGTATTTTCAAAGATATCTAGCAAAAGTATTTTGTAATGTATCGAAATCTATCTTTTACTAAAGGTTTTCTTTAGATATGCTCGTTTTCAAAATGCCACTAGATATATTTTGAAACTGTATAATGCATCATGTTTGTTTGAATCAAGTTTGAAATTATTTTTTTTTACATCAAGCATGTTATAACGATAGTAAAAATAAATTTCTCAGTTGGATTTAACAGATAGATGCAATTCATTTTTGTAGAAAACAAAGTAGAAAACAAAAAACTAGAAGCCGCACACGATCTCATTATAAAGTCTAGCATTTTTCCTTATATGCATTAGCCACTTTGTTTCGGTAGAAAAGCTTTGTTACCTCTTGCTCCGATTTTTCTTGCAGGATACAAATAATTCAACATTGTTTCACCTAGTTAATAAATGTGAATAGCCAGGTAGCATAGAATGATAACAAATAACATCTTCTATACCTTACACTACATAATGCTGAATGTTTTTACCTTGGAGGATCGTGAGACTTTCGAATACCGCATGATTACAATAGCTCCGCTTACACTTATACCCATTTTCTCAAGTAGGCCATAGTCCTCTTCGCGGCCATAATTGACATAGACCAATGGACCCTAGTACAAAAAGTTGAACAATTTTCATTATGGACGCTTAAGATTTATCCGATGGACGCTAAAAAACATTTACCGGCAAGTTTTGGAAATAAAACACTTTTATCTTTATTCATTCACAATCTTAATGGCCTTTTACAATTATTTAAGATAAGCTAGTCATGATATTTCAGTTTATGTTTCGAAATTTCTTTATTATTGATGCCCTGAATTTGACACATAAACTGGATTTTAAGTTTTAATGCAACTTATTTATGAGATAATAGGGGGACAGTAAAGTTGGTAATATGAATGCACAAATTTGGATATAACATAGCATTATAAGAACATGCTTTCAATATGCAAAATGTTTGCAATAAAAAGTCACGAATTTGTCACCAAAATGCTTGCTGTCATCCTCTCGAAGTAAGTGTACTCAGTTGACAAGTCTTTGCAAAAAGGTAAACTTCGAGTATTTTATGTTGGTCTAAAACTTCAGAGAGTGTATTTTTTCAGATTTGAAGGGTCTGGTCAGGATTGTTAAGGTTTTACCAGTTAAGTTAGTCGATAGAAAGGAAATGTCCCTAGATCGGCCAAACAGTGGGTATTGTGATCTCAGCACTAGTTGTGCTGAGAATTTTCATATATATTGCAAGAAGGACGGCTAAGGTGAAATCAAAATCGATTACTTTTACTACGCAAAAAAGGAGTATTCTATCGACATAAATCATGACATCAGATTTATAGAAAATGTGTTAAGAGCTCACCTCAACTGTCCCCCCTGGTGAATATGCATTAAAAGGCAAAACAGTTCTTGGGTCCTTTGGATCTCCGTTTAAAAGAGGCTCTCTGTCTATTTCGAATTTTTTCACTCTGTCCCCCTCTTTGTCATACAAAGAAATTGTTCCAGGTTTCTTTGGAAGAGATAAGAGCACATCATAATCGTATCTCTTCACTTTGTCAAATCCAAAGTCTTGCCACATCTTTTTGGTCCATTCAGCTTGAATTTTCGCTTCTTTCAAACCGGCGGTTGATGGCATACTCGTTAGGAATCTATAAAGCAATGAAAATTGTACTGGACACCGCAGAACATAATTCCGATGTTAGTTAGACCAATGCTAGCAGGGGCGAAGCCAAGAAAATTGTTTGGAGGGGTGAAGAGGCGATTTTTGCCGAAGAAATAGGATGTGTCTCACTCTTTAAGGGTGTGGTTAAGAGATAAATACTCTTACATGCTGCTGTTATGCGTGTCTGTGTCAAAGTTTATACTCAGTGGCATACTCTGAAAGTTCAACTACTCAGAAATGTTAATATGTTACAATTGTTGCAAAAAGGTTACAGAATGAGCACAAAAATTCCATTTTGCCCGGCAAAAATCCTTAATGTGCCGACGAACAAGATGTTGGGGGGGGGGGGGGTACCACACGAGCCCTTTGGCGACGCCCCTGAATCCTAATAGTATCTGTTATTTGCAGTCTTTGAGTAAATATGTATCGGGAACATCAAAATTAATCGATGGCATGATGAACTCATACACTGGCGTCAGTTTGGTTTAAGGTTCAGTGTACCGTGAAACCTCTGGCAAAATTTCTCCAGAAGAATTTCCTTGATTTGATCAAATTCAGGACCCGATTTAGTTTTGGATAAATCGTCGCGGTCGCTGGTTGGTAAAAAGCAAAAGAACCAATCAATCGCGTCTATCTTCATCTCACGTTACTTTCGATCCAACCCTGGATATAAATTTTCAACTTTACCCTACGTTTATACTCTAAACAATTTCGGATAATAAGAACAAAGCGGTACCAAGAATGTATTTAGTAAAAAAATATCCTAGGGGAGCAGGAGTGTTTCCAAAAAACATGGAAAAATTGTGAGACTAAAATAAAAAATTATGAATTCTCCTAGTTCGGAACGGGTCTTTTGTGTAGAATTGTTTGGTTGTAAAAAAACAATCAAAACAATAACAAATTACATTTTATAAGTTTCTGCGTTAAAAGCGATATATTTTAGATCATGTTTAAAAATATCTTGTCTCCAGAAGACAAGAAAGTAATAACTGTAGTTTTTGGAAAAGCTTTCAACAATTTGGATACTTCAAATCAGTCTTTCCATTAATTTCTCACTAATCAAAAATATTAAAGAACGTAAACAAGAAAGGTGATTTTCGACAATAGAGTTGACAAGCTAGAGAGCCCTTTGGCAATCAGCAAAGATAGTTAAAGTACAATGTATAACATCAATCCCTTTTAGGCCAGTTTATGGAAGTCTGCAAAACACGGCCAACGGTGCTGCTAGATTACAAATTAATTACTAAAACCCATGGATGCTGTCCTAAAATGATAGTAGTGTATAAGGAACACAGCAACGCGACGAGAATAACAACAACAAACACACAAACCAGTGATGGCTAATATTTTGCCCCGGCATACGGGGCTTCATCAGAGCAAAAGTAAACCAACTAAAAATTTACAAATTTCAAAGAGGCGATGGTGGTGTCGGATTGGTTGATGTGGAATGGCTTGAATGCAGCGCAGCGGAGAGGAATAGGTAATAGGTGTGAAAGAGGGAAGGATGGCGAGTGCGAGAGTGTGGGTGATTGTGGTGAAATGAAAGTGTAATGAGGGTGGGTAGTGGTGATAACAATAAAAAGTTATGAAAGTATTAAATAATGGTGATGATAGTGACAATGGGGAATGTAGAGAGTAATGATAATGATTGTAAAATAGTAATGTATAGGTAAACTCTTTTTTTGTAAGAATAATTTTATAAGAACACGAGCCTCAAAACTGGTCAAAAGTGAAGAACAAATTAAGAACAAGCTGAGGCTGAGCTTCTGCAAAATGCAATTTTGAACAACGTTTTTTCTCAAAATCGAAGATTTTGGCGATGTGTGGGGGCTTTTCGGTGGATATTCAAATTTGTCAGCAAATGAAGGCTGTCTCACTCACTTTGTTCGAAAATGAGGCCTGAACACCCCCTTAGAGCGATATCACTGCTTACACCCTCTTAATTTAAGAACAAATTAAGAACAATCCAGCCTCAGATTTTCGACAAAATTAAGAACAGTCAGCCTGAACTTAAATTTACTGGTTCTTATAAAAAAAATTGTAGTAGAAAAAGTGGCGATGATGATGGTGTGTTGCTGTAAGATTAACGGTCAGTGGTTCGGTTCATGCCGTTTGGTGTGAGAGTGTTTGCCAACCCAATGAGGTATTGCTCTTTAGCTCGTCGAACACACTCTCGTTTGTCGTTAAGTTGCTGTGATTGTGTTATTGTAAGGTCATTGATGGTATGTTCTGGGCTGCAAAAGTGGGCATACTGGAAAAACCAGACCCTATGACCCCAGGACCCCTATGACCCCTAGGACCATTAACAACGAAGAACAAAAAAGGACGCTTAACTACTACATGATTTGCGGCTCCCCAAGAGCCATGCCTTTCAACTCATGACGCACACACCAATCCTAACGGACCAATGACAATGTTAAATGTTTGAGCCAAAGTCGGAATGCTTCCAAAGCTGTCAATATGATAGCATTAAAAAGCATGGCTCTGGGGGAGCCGCAAATCATGTAGTAGTTAAGGGTCCTTTTTTGTTTTTCATAGTTAATGGTCCTAGGGGTCATAGGGGTCATAGGGGTCCTGGGGTCATAGGGTCCGGTTTTTCCAGTATGCCGCAAAAGTGTTCTGCAACACCAGACTTGTCTACTTTTTGCTGATAATGTCTCGTCTGTGTTCGTTAAATCTTTCTTTCAATCGTCTGCTTGTTTGTCCGATGTATTGGCATTTCTTGTTTCCGTTAATTAAACATTATTAGAGTTGCAGTCCAGGCATTGTTCTATGTCGTAGTTTTTGCCAGTGCTAGTAAAATTAAATGTAGTAGTTTGTCTGTGATGTGTTGGCATGTTATGCAGTTACATCGCGAGTGGCATTTGTAAGTGCCTCTGGGATTACTGGGTGTGCCACTTTTTTTTCTGGCACAAACCAGTATACTCCGGAGGTCTTTAGGTCTGCGTTAGCTAAGTACAGGTACGTCAGGGAAGACCACTTTGCATGCCTTGGAGTTCTGTAATATGTTGATGTTTTGTTTGAGAACGGTATATAGTTCCTTAACATTATTGTGAATTTTAAAAAAGGTTGCCGAGTCCCCCTCCACAGAACCAATGGTAAAATCTAATGTTTTCATTAAGATTTTGTACTTATTATGCAGATAAAATATCTGCCATAAAGCCTCTTAACATTTCTTACAAAGAAACAAACTGCAAAATCTAGCCAATCACTATTTAGCAAAGCCACAGAATATGTACATGGTCTTCGGAGACATTTACATGTATAGAAAAGGCTAGAAAATAGGCTCACTTTAGGTACTTCCTGATCATCTTGGGGTTAAGTACCTCAAGAACGTCATCGTGATAATTGAATCGTTGTTTTTCTTCATCCACCTTTTTTCCAAGCAAATTTCCAGTTTGCTCTGCAAGATTAATGATAAAATATAGTCAACAGTTAACAGTTGAAGACTTAAAAGCCCCTAAGGAACATGTAATATATTTTTGATTTATCCAATCTTTGGGCTAGGCCTATAGTATTAAATATCCTATTTCCTCTAAAAACGTTGCGGCGTTTATTACAAACTCCAAATTCTAGATGGAGCGTTGAATAGAGGACGGCGTTTATTAGAGGGCGGCGTTCATTAGGGGAAATACTGTATTACAGACGCAGTCACGCAATCACTTTTGTGGATGCACATGATGATGTTCTCAAGCGGCAAAAAAAGAAATGTAATGAAAATACTCTTCTAATATTGAGAAAAGCAATAGCTTAGGCTTTTAATTTAAGTACCGAATGCAATTTAAACAGATTACACTTTGCATTTTTACACCAAACTGTCTAACCTCTGCCCGCGCTATATATTCCCCCGGCAAAAGGCAGATTTATATGCTCATATTTCTGGTGTTACAAGCTTGTTCTCATGGAGCAAAATTAATCATGAAATGATGAAATTTCACAAAGTTCTCCCCACACATATTTATGGGAGCATTTGTATTTATTGTATTCATATTATGTTCTATCTTTGTAGTCATTGAACCAATACAAGAAAGAAAGCAACAAAAAATTCAAATTTTATATATGACTACGCAACATGTTTGTCATTTAATTGTCTTTTTGACACTTTTCTTTTTGGAAGTGTTCTCTGGAGACTACTCCTAAAGGAGATAGACAACTTTCATAAATCCAAAAAAAGTACCAATTAATACCAAATAATACCAATCACAAAGTCCTACACCAGATGTTGCATAGGTTGGCATAAGTGCATTACATAGGTTACTTTTAAGTGTTATGCCACTCCAAGCAGTCAGTGCACAGATGTGCATTTTGTACACGCTTAACAGATAGTAAGAGGGGTGTCCTTTTGGATCTCAAATTTCTTTAGACCGTTTCGGCATTGGCATTGAAAGCTGTTCTTATAGAAACAAACAAATGGACAGAATATGCAACATAGATGCTGTCACAAAACATCTGTTGTCATAAATTGCTGCTTCAAAAGCATTTATATTTTCGATTTGCCAGATCAAAATACGTAGATGTTTGTAAAATCTTTTATAGTACAACTGCCAACTTGTGGAGACTGATTTTTAGATCAGAGTATGCCGTAACAGAATGGATTAGACTTTGAGAAAAAATGCCGTGTTTGTTTGTATTCATTTGTTAAAATGATGATGGACTTTAAATAGTTTGCTGGATTTTTCAGTTTTCACTTGTTTATGTACTAAAAAATATCGTATGAACTAAATCGCATTTAAAGCACTTAGCAGCACGTTAGGCCATTCTAGTCACCGCTGAGGTGCCCTGAAAAGTGGATACAATTTGAAAAAAGTTTGAGTGCATAAGACTTTGAATTTAGGAGATTTTGATAAAATTGATGTCAAATCTATTACATACCTGGCGTTTCCGTGGAAAGGCTGTTGACCAGCAAAATGGCATGACTCAGAACGAGAAATAGGCCAGATGCTAAGAAATATCGGGCAAATTATTTATGATATGCTCATGTTAAATCTTGTTAAGCATTTGAAACGGTTTGCGTATTTCAAACTCGATTTACAGAACTGCTGGGAACTGCTTCACGCAACGAAACATAACAATGTAAGGACATGTTATGTTGGACTTGCTACTTCTTTTGGGGTTTCAGAATCATTTGGGGTTTGCCTAAAGCAGTTTATTTATTATTCCAATAAAAGGTTTATTCAACAAACCTGTACGAAGGCTTTCTGTTGATTACACCCCTTTATAAAAGCCTGACGAGCTTTTCAAATTCACTGGGGAGAGCAGCTAAGTATGACAGGACAGTAAAATTTGATTTGGACTAGCTGGGAATGAGTCGTGCCAAGGAGGAAACTTTAGATTTTCTTGGGACAAAAGATGACAATCTGCAAAGGAGGTGGGAAATGAAAATAACCCTGATCGCTCAATTTCTTAAAAAAGGGACTCGCTGGTTGCGAAATAGCTCCCCGGTGACGATATCATAGGCTTTGTTACACAGAGTGTTCTATATGCCAGCACGTTTCAAGTTTTACAAGATGCCCTGATGGAAATTTAAAAACCTTGTAATTGTGCATCAACCGGCGAGAATATTTCGTTGTGAAGTTTTGTTTGTAGTTCCCTTCCTGTGATTATTTATTTGAGATCTTATGGATTAGTTGCACCGTTGGTGTCAAGTCAACCTTCCAAACTTTCTGTTTGGCTGATTCCTAGACACTGATTCGCTAAAATGTTTCCAGAAAGTCAATTTAGACTCGTAATGAACGCATCTTTATCCACATACGAAAGGCGATGTCTTTATTGTTATCTAGTGCTCGTGACATTCTGTCAAGAAGTTCACTTTATATTGATTCTCTGTGTCTTAATTTTCAAACATTCAGTGTCGGTAGGTCGTCGCGAAATTTCTGCAAAATCATTTGCCTTTTTCGAATTTCAATTGTTTCTTAATTTTTTTCTTTGAGTAATGAAGTTTCTCATCTTTTCAAATTACCAAGTACTCGTTTTTTAAAGCGAATTTCTTATAAAAATGATCATCGAAACACGTGCATTTTGCTATTTCTTTCCAAGTGTGATGATTTAATGGAACATCAAAGCACGTTTTGATTCAGTCATTATAAAGCAGGGTTTAAAGGAGAATAAAATTGGTGAGTCCGCTCAAGTATTGTCTTTTATGAATATATCACCAACATATTACATATATTCTTTGAACGATCATCAGTTAATTCTATCAGCATGTTTAATTCTGATTTAGATAGAGCGGAAAGATAACTAGAGCACGTACTCGTACATACCTGTTCCCATATTGTCAGAAACTTGATTTCGTACTTATATAGCGTACACTAAATTTGTTTTCTGTTTACTTTGATTTATTTCAATAAACAAATACCACAGTTAACAGGTCAGCAATGGGTAGATATTGTCGGCCAGGCACGACTGGGTGGTATTCAAGTGCACTGGTATATTACAATGCCGACATGTGGCACTCTTTATTCGAATCACATGCATCATTACTTGGTAATTATATCTTCAACACCAGAAATCAGGCAAACTGTTGCTTATTCGTTGAGATCGCCGATACCTATTCTATACGTATCAATTTCGACCTTGTAACCGGTGAGTCACATCCGAGCTGAATCCAGACCAGTTTTACATCGATTACATATTACTAATGACGTAGAACAGATTTTACTAGAAGAGCATGCAATATTCTTCTCTCCAGTGTTCTGAATCCTCTAGCTTGAATATGCCTTGTTACAAGCAACCATAGTTTACAAGAAGATGAGAATTTTCCAACAGAGCTCATAATTAGGTCGTAATAGATATATTTTTTAAATTACTTGTACTTTTAACTTGAAAAATACAACAAAATACCTCTAAAATTGCAAAAACAGTTAAAGCGATTGAAAATTGACTATAATATAGCAATGAAAAAATTGATTGAGAAATATTGCTAATGGATTGCGGATGTTTCGGCCTGATGCATAGCTTTTAGAACCCAAACCTAACTATAATGATTTGACGGAGAAACGGTATCTAAAGCAAAGTATAACACATGCAATTGATTGTTTACATTTAGAGGTATTCAATATGCGCTTTTTAAATCAAACGATTCTAAAAATAGTTCTCATGATATCATAACCTAGAAATTCCATAGAATGTTGCATTTGATATACAATAAACAAGCAAAGAAGTGTAATTGCCTCAACTCAACAGTGATCTTTTTCATCAATATATATTTTAGAGTAATTGCTAAAGTTTCAACCTTCTTTAAGGTCTTAGTTTAAGTATTAGGAGAATTTACAAAATGATGCGTATTTACGTTTCTTTAATTTAATTTTCTTGAGAACATGATGTAAGCTGAACAGCACGTTTTAGGACATTCATTCAAAAAGCATATGATTTCAAAACAGTTATTATTAGCTTTGAAAAAATTAAACTTTTTTATTCATACTTAAGCTTTTCTTTAAAGTATAAAACGTCAGAACTTAGATCAAAACACTGCGTTAGGAAATATACATACCCAGTTGTGGATCGAAAATGGTTGCTTTGTTCAAAGCCATTTTAAATTTTGTATAACAAAAAGATTGTTTGCACAAAACAGTTGTTCTTTAGTAACAATTTATTTTTCAAGCATATTACACTGTTGGAAGCAATTTTTTTGATAAACTTGTATGTATAATAGCTTGGTTCCTAACGTTTAAAAAAATTAGTTTTGCGTATACAATGTAATTGTATTCCTGTAACAACGACTGTACACACCTCAGATCCAAAAATCCCTGAGGCAACCGTTATAAAGATTTGTCTCAAATCTCAATGATCTACAAAGATTGCTATTATACATGGAAGATGAAAATCTGTAGCGAATGCCTTATGTTTAAAATAAGCAGCAATGACCTCGAGAGATAAGACCTGAACACAAAACAATTAGTGCTTTGTGCTTAATCGATTGCCAACTTCCAATTTAAATTGACAGTTTTTTTGTTTCTTGGCTTGATTTTAATCATTTTACTCCTTCTTTTTCAGTTTTGTGATTATCATCAATATATCTTTTGAACTTTCATCAGTATCTTAGAATTTCTCGTTTTTTGAATATTTTCATATTTCCAAAATATTACTTCTCCTGCTCCCTTCCCCCTAGAATAATATCGATACTTGGGGCAAATTCATACTAGAAAAAATTACATTCTAATTGCCTTCGTCGTTTTATAGAAAGCCAACACTGTTCGCAGGGGCGAAGGAAATGACTGAATTTGCTCTTGAAAAATGACTTAATTTCTTCAAGATTTTGGTAGAGATGTTAGAAACGCATTTCAGATTACAAACATATAAATTATCTCATCTTTTACCAAGCATTCAAGTAAGTGTCAAAAAGACAAATCAGATTCTGAAATTTTATAGCAAATTCATAAACATTTACGATGAAGGTCAAAGAAACATTGAAAATGACTAACTCTTGAACTAGATATAATGCATTAAAGCACTATAGCTAATAAAAACATGTTTATTTAGCTTTTCAACCAGCAACTGGTGTTTTGCTTGGATAATATTTGATGCAAATATAATTTGAAAAAATTAGCAGGAAGATCTAGTAGAATTCAAGCCATGTTTTGCATCAATATAAAAATATTGTACAAAACCTGCTTGTTATTATATAACACGGTTCAACATTAAAATCGAAAATTGTACTAAAACAGCAAAATATGTCTTCTACAAAGAATGGGTATATCCAAACTAAATAAAACGCAATTCCTAGGTGACTATAATGTCGCTATTTACGACCTCCCAAAAGCACCAAGTAAGCACCATAGTCAAATTTCATCCGTAAAACGGGTATTAAATATTGTATACTAGCTAATCAATCAAATATTACAGGCAAACTGTGTAGTAAATTATGCCGAATATCCCAATAATTCAACGGTGTATGCTATATTTCTACTTTCAAATAGCTTATCACCAAAAGGTGTTCTTTCATGCTTATATTAGCAACTAATTTTCATGACCCATATTGTGACAATGTGGGCTTGTAATGGGTCTTTCTTGAATCAAAAAGGTCGATAATGGATTTATAAAGCATATAACCGTTTTTTAAATGTTAGGTAGAAGGAAAACGGGTGCCAAATTAAACTGGTGCCAAACACGAATATGAATTTAATGCTAAGTGATGAAATTGGATCAAAGCCTATACTGAAATGCAAAACTGCCAATACTTCTTGAGTATTTATCTAGATATAGAAATAATCAATTATAACCAATATACGAAGATAAAATGCATTCAATTTTTTTGTTCCCTTCTTGCATTCGCAATTACCTTCCAAAAGGAGAAAATATGCTTTAAACACAAATTTTCAGGCAGATGGTCAATGCCTTTGATATTGCGATTTGATGTCTTTTTCTTGTCCAAAAAGTCCTCCAAACAGTTTTGCAAACTATAAAGGAGAATAAAACAAAATCAAAAGAAGTCTTGCATAAAACTGATATTTTGGCTAGGTAATTTCGTTAGAAAAAAGCTGATGTTTTACTCCACCTCTTCTTAAGTTGATACTTCTGGTATCAACGAGCGTATTCTAGAGGTTTTGCAAAATTGCTGTGCGCAGAAAAAAAAGACATTTACTATATGATGCGTTTAATGATCTTCATTGCTTTTGTCTGTGTATCATTCTACGTATCAAGTAGAGCTACCTCCACAAGTTGCTAAAACACGAGAAAAGACTTGTACAAAAACGTTGGTAAAATGCAACTAAAAACCGTGATTGGTAATCAAACAATTTTCGACTTCAAGTGAGACGCTCAGGTTTATAGGAGAACCCCAATCACTGCCTGGAGCATTAAAATTGAAGCAGGGGAAATGGCAAAGGAGAGCCCGAGCGGCTGCAAGGCAAGGCTTTGGTTGAAGAACATTACAACAGAAAGCAAGGCCATTATAAATCATTTGGTGCTAAAGAATCCAGCGTGGAATGCTGTTGATAATGCCATTCTTGTTTGGCGTCAACAGTCAATCCCACCATTTTGGAGTTTAGACACTGCAATAGTCTTGCAAAAAATCTTGCAACAGAGGTTTGCATTAAGTAAAATTAAGCTATAATGATACTTAATGAAAGATAATGTAATAAAAGGTAAGAAAAATATTTATTCTTTCAAAATAAACGTACGAATGAATTTTCTTCATTTAAACAGACTTAGGACTTCAATAACCGAATGTGGTGTAAAATGTGACAGACGCTCAGCAGAAAGCCGCGAAAACATTTCAAAACAAAAGTGAAACTACGAGTGTCTACCTTAATTTTATTTTATTTAGCTAACGATGAGATAGATGAATAAGGATTTGAAGAGATATACTTTATGATTAAAAGTCATGTTATTGTAAAATAATAACAAAATGTTGATTCCAACAATAATTTTTCAGAAAAATTGATATATTTTCTTATGTGTCTCATTTTTCCTCACATTTCCCTACACTTGGAAAACACATTTTCTCAAAATCCATTAGCAAAAGTTAAACCTTAAGTAAGATACACAAAGCAGCTTGCTCCGGTTCAAGCCATTGATTGATAGAAAGTTTTTCAATTGGTTACCTATTAGCATCGATTTTAAAGATAATTCAGTGTCGTATCAAGGAGTAATATTACATTAAATGACTCACGGGTAGTCTAGAGCACTTTCGTCCCGTAATGGAACTTCTAACACAATGTACTCCGTTAGCTCTGCCAGAAGATGCTCAATATCAATGTGTCTTAAAAGTTGTTGATCGAAATCCATCACTTCTTCTCTGAACATATCTTTCAGGTCAAATGGATCCTACATCGTATAAAAAATTTAAAATAACGATATTGTTTTTTAAAAAACTTCATGAACTACTATAAACTCTCTAAAAAATTTATTAAAGGCATCGAGTCATGGTAAATAGGCATTTTCTATAGTAGGTCATTTTGTTTCAGCGTGATCGTTTCAGATTCATGTGATATCGGCATCCGTTGCTGACAAATTGCTATTGATGGCAACTGTTTTTTTAACAGCGCTAGGTGCGTTCATGTGCTCAATTCCAGGTCAACCAATAGCATTGCAGCACGGAAATCACGATTCAGCGGATTTGGGTATGCTTGGGCTTCACCACGAATCAATGCTATTAAGGGAATTTTCTTTAAGAGGCTATAGCAAAGTTTTAATAAAATATGCAAAGCTAAAACTGTCAAAATAGTCAATAAAAATTGTCAAAATAGAAGCAACATACCTCACCACTGACGTGAAGTCGAAATGCCCTTTCGACAGTGAGCATAATCCAAATAGAGCGAATATGGGCAAGCCTACATACGCTTTGCATCTAAAATAACAATACAGAATCGATCATTTATTATCTAGTTCACATACACTTGGTCGACAAAAGCATACTGCATGTTAAATTGCTGACCTGATAAAATGCTCCATCGCAAATTATAGATGTTTCTTAATTCCACAACGAGATTATGATAATGTGCCTAAGATGCTGACAGCTAAATTAAGCTTGGCCTACCTTTACACTGGTCAAAAACTTATCTGCAGGCATACGAAGTACATCTTCGAGGTATTTTTTGAAGAAAACATTCGAATCTGCACCAGTTGTCGATAGCAGTCCGATGGTAATCTCTGTTGCTCGCAAGGAATCGCAAACTTCAGGAAGGGATTGAATTTCACTAGCCATCTTACGTTGCTCCATGAAGGGAATGTCCCGCTAGTGAGCAAAGGTTATCATAATCATAATTATATTTTGCTGTGATAATTTAAGGAAAACAATTTGGGATATTTTTTCAATCATTGAAGAATAATCCTTTTATCAGTCAGCAGATGCACCACAACCCCCTTAGCCACAAATGTATGGCAAAGAGTGTCTCGTATGTGACACGATGAAATTATGCAAGCCACTAAAAAGACTCATCATATTTTGGCGCATCAATCTGTACATTTGTACAAGGCTTCGCCGAAATTCAAAGATCACATTTTTGCAGGTAGTTTAGAGCACAATTAAGCACAAAATAAGCATGAATAAATTGTTAAGATTCGAAATAGTATGCATCAAACTTGCAAATGCAGGTTACAAATGATTAAGATTGTAGTACAAAACTTTGAAAATAAACCATAAAATATTGTAATTCAGAAAACGGTTAATATTTTTTCAGTTTTCATTGATTGGGTTATGGCCATTCAAGAAATAAATTATTTGCAAAAGTCATTTATTGATAAAAGTCATTTAGTTATCCGTTGCTTTCTATTCATCCTACGAAGTTTGGTCGCCTATTTTACAGCTTATGTTCCATAGCTCGGTGACTAATGTAGAATTTAAAAAATACATATGGACTAATGAAAGAAAATAATACACATCGACATGATCATACTATTTTAACAATATGATATCTGACAGGAAAATGCTTCTGGCAATCGGAACACATATCTATGAATTTAAGGCTGTTAAAAAAATGTTAAATAGATAATGAGACATCATTAGTCATATTTTCGCATATATTAACATAAATCTAATGAAGATAACTGTTTACTGGAGAGGCATAGTCCTAGATGCCCCCCCCCCCGACCAACGAGAAAGTATACGCAGTAAAACGTTTGTAAGTAAGCAAGTTAAAAACAAGAAGTACCGTACAAACTAAAAAGTGATCGTATAGGTTGATAACTAAAAAGTACAATACAACGGTTGTTCACCTGTTCCACCCTCCTTTCCAGTTCCTCAAACTTCTCTAAACTATTGACATCATCAGCATACTTTACTGTGGTGACCTAGAAGTGAGTTACGAAATGAGGCGCTGGTGAAAGTGGGTGTTGTGTTTTAGTTGGTGGCCAAATAACTATCCGTTTAAAAACGCTCAAATCCACATATACATGCAACATCTTCCTAGGCTTCGTGTTAGTACACAGTTTGCTAGTGCATCAAAGTTTTTATCTTCCAAACCTTATTTGTACATAATCAGAAGTTTATGAAGCTATGAATCATCTTTCAACCCTTTTCTTGCAAATATTTATACCAGTGGGGACTAGCCTTTTGCAAGGGAAAAACCTTTTTAATGTTGATAAATGACCACAGCTTTATCTCAAAGTCCTAAAATGGGTTAAAGTGACCTTGTAGCTATCTTTTGTTATAGTGTACATATAAGTCAAGCCAGTTTAATTCTGATCCAGAGACGCTAGAAGTATTTCACAGTTGCAATAGCACCGTTAAAATTTGTCTCAGAAAAGGGACACTTCCAAATCAATTCTTCAAAAGGAATTTTTCAAAATGTTACGTTGGGACCTTAACCTCGGTGCACTCCTAGTTCCAACATTCCGGGTCGAGTCTTTAAAAAAGCGTATTTAGGAAAGAAGTGTGCCTATTCTCTGTTGAGAAGCATGAGTTCATACTTCACGGAATTATTATCATGGAGTGATTTCCCACTTACCGCCATATCTATTACTGGTTTGCCACTGATAAAAGTGTTCACAATCTGTCGTTCTAGTGCAGGAAAATTATAATCGACGATGGTTCCTTTCCCAATCTCCAGGGAGTAGTCACAGTGGGCGTACATGATGGGTACAAGGTCTTTATCGTAGTCGTAGGCAATAAGATTAAATTGGTTCGCCTCTTGAATGGAGACACGTTTAAGCCTGAGGGAATTCAAAAAGGATATATTACATAACATCATTAGAAAAATTCGATATTTCTCAACACTAGATTTTCTATCGATAAGAACAGAATCAACATATTTCTTGCAGATGATCAGGGTAGAGAAAAATATTTTCACTTTTTTGTTCATCATATTCTCACTGAAATTGTGCTTATCTTAAAGGCGTCTCAATGAAAATGTTCTGCAGCTTCACAGGAGGTGGACATATCCATGTCACGCGTTCATATGCAAACTAACTGATTTTAACAGGACATAAAACTGGCTCAAGTAAGCAAATGCTGTATTTAATGGATTCGATTATCTTGTAAATTTTAATTTTCATATGCAGTTGAGTAATTCCTGGAAGGAATATTAAGATTTTTAACTAATGACGGTAAAACCGGGACTGGATAAAAACAGGATGGGTTATATTAAACTTCATTCGGTACATTTATCCGGTATTATCTGGTTCAGAAGGACTCGGCATATTTTTTTCAGTACAGCAGCTGCTGTCGAGTTGATTCTCCATATGTTTCCAATTGCTGTTGAAATAAATTAGCAAATATCTCACTCTATTGTGTTGACCACAACAAATATGGCGTTTTTGTTCTGAATAAGGGACAAGGGAACAAATCGAGATTTACCATTGAATTTCAGTGTGAATCCCTGATAGAAGAGAAAACAGAAGCAGAAAGAGAAGCATAAATTATACAAACTCAGTCTTGTCTCCCTGGACATCTCTGCATTCATTTACGAGCGAATTGTGAGCTTCAGCCAAGCACTTCAGCAGAAGCAAAGCACGTTTTCCAGTATTGTTTAGTGACGGAAGTATATAAGCAATCGGAGAGCCGCTTGATAGCTCGAAATCATCAATTTTAAGAATTTCCCCTAAAAGAAATTTGGCGTATTCGATTGAAGACGGCTGAAGCAAGACCTTTTCACCTTACAAATACGAAAATATAGCATAGCATCAGGACAGCAACATAATCAGAATCGATCTACTTTGAATCACAAAGTTGCAAAAATGCAAAAAAAACACACAGGAAAAACCACTTATAAATACGAAAATTACAAAAAGACGACGCAACGACTTCCGACGACAGAAGCACTATTAACTCGATTGGATAACATCACTTTAGCAGATACCGTCAATATCATCCGTCATATTATCAAATGTTGCGTGCTTCAAGAAAATTATCCTTTAAATTTAATAACATAGAAGGGCAGAGATGACTAGCGCCTTGATGTCGGAAGATGCCCCTTGATTTATGGTAAAATTATTTTTTAACAAAAATATCAGTCTCATAACAAAATATATGAATTTTACTAACCATAAGACAATAACGTTGGCTTCAGGGCTTTCCATGTTGTGTAATATACCTTGAGAAGGCGATTTACTGTTTCTCTCAATTCTCCTATTAAAAAATCAGGTACAAATATAATTCCATTATAAATCACTGCCTAGATATTGAATTTTGCAACATATGTTGGGCATTGTACAAAAGACAAATGAAAAATATTCAAGATAAGGGTACGTTGTAGCTTTGACTGTTAATATCATACTGAGAATTATAGAAAACCTATTTACCTTTGAAATAACCTTTGACAATATCCTTGATCTTCTTTGTTTTCGCAGTTTCACTGTCGATGCGTCTGCTAAGATTGCTTGACAAAATTCTTTGCAAAAGCATGATATCTGGCAATGCTTTTACGAACCTCAAAACGTCTTCCTAAGGAGGAAGCAGAAAGCGTATAATAATAAAAGATATAAGACTATGCTTTCAGCATAAATCAAATGTATTTTCAATTGAATTAAGCTAAATATAATTTATACTCGAATAAAATTCATAGAATTATTAAAGAGTTGCCTAGAGATATAGTGAAAATCGCATTTCACAAATGCAGCAACGATTAGAACGCAATAACTGGCGACTGGCTGCAGTCAGGCAACATAGAAAGAAAAAGCAGTAAAAGGTTCTTTGTGAATCAATGCAAATGACTGACAAGAAGTTGCAGGGTCTAACTGAAACAATAACGTGTTTACTAACTACGTTTAAAACAAGCCAACAATGCAGAATTTTTACAAAACTCACCTCTCGTAACAATACTTTGTCAACCTTTTTCTCCACAGGACTGCTCACTTTATCAAAAAAATTCTTAACGTACTTTACAGAAAGATTCATTTTTTCCACTAGAATTAGACCGCTTACAATATCCTGAACTTTTCAACGTACTTTAAGTTCACAAACTGATTTAATTTTGTCTACTAGACAGCTTACCTTTTTAAGAAATTCTTGGAGTATTTTACAGACTGATTTTCCTTTTGTTGCAGTGAATTCACCCAGTGATAATTTTAGATGCGCAACTGTTATTGGTACCCTATACCTCCAGAAGCACTGGTAATCCAAGGCATTCCTTTCGATTGTCACCTCATTCGCCATGGCATCAATCTCATAAAGATTCCGTATAAAAGGCGCTCCTTGAATTTAAGAAACAATCTCATCTTACAATCACATTGACTTCACATCACATCAACTGTGCCAAAAATTAGCTACATTACAAGAAAATGCATTCGATACGTTGCATGGTTATGCAGGCTGTCAATTCGATGCAATGGCTGACGCTATTGCAATCTATATCTCGTGGGATCCCCCCACTGAGTTTTTATACTTATCTGAAAAAACAAATAGGAACTTTAGGCTATTGAAGAAAAGAGTTGTGAATTTGCATCAATAACTTATCAAATTCTGACTTCCAGCAAAGTCTTTTTTATCAAAATAGGACATTGAGTTAGAGTGAGTATTATGTGTGATCTGGGCTAGCCATGAGCCCGTTCTGGCCCCTTCAGTTACAACTAACTATAACCACATATACCGATGTCACCCTGAAAAGCAATTTGATCATTCTAAAGACGAGATAACATAGTTATGGAAAACAAGATTACATCGATTAAGGACTTTTTACACCAAACAAGGACTCCTAGATGCCAGACATTCCGTGAAACACGTAGATTCATTAAAGAAACATTAAGTTTGGCTTATCGTACCATGTAAAATCAGAGATATAAAATATGCCTAATTTAATATCATGTTATAATATAATATTCTATCATGCCTGATGAAAAAATATATTGACAATTGTAAACCATGTTAACTAATGAAGGCAGCATCGCTTACCTAATCGGTTGTCCTTTACAATCCTTTGTTGTTCTTCCTCCAGCAAAGTTGTTAATGCCTGTTGAGAAAAATAGAAAATCCGTTGGCATGAAAATATGGTAATTCTAATCATCTATCTAAATTCAACCCTTGTTGTACCCATGTTTACATGGGGACGTTTTCGTTCATTTGCATGACAATTTCTGCTTTTATGCTGAATTGAAATGAAAACAAGAAGATAAGAGATGCTTTTGGCTACTAAAGAACATCTAGTTAAAACGTGTATCTATTTCTCGTTCAATTTTTACGTATTTGAAATTGAAATAGGTAAACTAAACTCAGATTAGAACTTACTGCTAAACGAGGCTGAATGAACCTCATGTTGAATTTATCTTCCCATTCCGAACGACATTGCTTGCTTGCAATTGTACCGAAGTCCTCAACTGTATTACAAAAAATACATTTTCAAAAATACAGTCACTGATGTTACTAAACTATCAGAATGAGAAAATCAATAACAAATATAGCAACATCGGTACTAAAACGCACCAGCTAGAGCAAGTCAACGCCAATAAAGAGCATAATAAGAATGTGACACGCCTAGGAGGTTCTCTGCGGGAAACTATCCATTGAAGTCGCTAAGGTTTGGAGGGATTATTGCACACCAAAGGATAGAGGGGGAGACTGTTGAAAAGGAGCCATTGAAGTGGAAAATGGTTTTATTCTATAAACTTTGCTTGACAGAAGAAAAGGTTACTTACGCCCACTATCTCCAGTATAGTCTTCCTTCAGCATGCTTTCCAAAACCAGGTGAACTGCAAGGACAGCTTCTTCTACGCTTCGACCAATGGCCTTCGCTAGAGTTTGCACACTTTTGCAAACATGCTGCCACATGAACGACTGAGTTTCATTAGGGGGTAGTCTTGGGTGAATTAAATCTGCCACACTCTATGTAAGAAATTCATAGACATTCTATAGAAAAACAGGTCTCTGCATGTCATTTTCTGTAAACTTCACCATTCCTTTCATTGCTGGCACAAGTGTGCATAGACAAAAGATAATAAGAGAGATAAAGAAGTTAAGACTATTACTAGGAAGGTGCAGAGGGCTTGGAGCAGAGAGCAGGGGCAAAGAGCGGGACACAGAGAGCAAAGAGAAGGGAGCAGGAAACGAGAGAAAGAGGACAAGGGGGTAGCGTATCAAACCCCGCTGTAGAACAAACAAAATTCAACAAATTATTTTTTTTATCAAGAGACGTTATTCGAACAAGTCTACAGAATATACTTCAGTTCAGAGCTCTGTTTAACACATATTACATTTAGTTTAGCATCTAAGTTACAAAAATTGTTGATTCTTGATAATGGATCGATTGAAGCAGACCATTTGCTTTAACGGTAACATTAGTACTGCACAGTTAATACCCAAAAAACATTTTATCATCATTGGTCAATATTTTCGCTGCCATTAAGCGATTCAGACTTACTGTTTGTATAAGCCAGAAGGGTGGATTACCGCGACAGGTATGTGGGGAGAAGACAACTTCACTTCACAAAAAAAAACAACTTCACTGAACTACCTTTAAAAAGCTACAAAAACTGGAATTAGTAAGAGCTGCAGCGTGTGTGATTTATTCTTACATTGGGGTCCTCGCAAGCACCCAGCAACAGCGCTGAGTGTAATAAAACACTGAGCATAGAGTGGGAAGCGGTTGATAGGTTCCTTTCGGCCACAGCAAAAGTAAGTCGCTCTTGAGGATCGCCAAGGATATGCCCAGTTTGCGTCCTATCCACTCTACGTGAAAAAAAAAACAATTGAAGGTTAGGAAAATATAAGATTTTCTGTTTAAAAAATCACTGCACCATGTCCATTGGACTTTCACGAGTGGAGGTTTGATGTATAATAACTGTGGACATTCATGACGCATCGTTCTTTTTTGATAGGTCAATACAACTGCATTAGTGGGTTAATCTTATTACTTTGGCAGATCAATAATATAGCTTTGGCAGACCAATATCATAGCTTTGACAGATCACAACGCTTTAGCTTTGGCAGATAAACACTATAGCCTTGACAGACCAATATTATACCTTTGGCATATCAATAATATAGCTTTGGCAGACCAATATCATAGCTTTGGCAGATCAACGCTTTAGCTTTGGCAGATAAACACTATAGCCTTGACAGACCAATATTATACCTTTGGCATATCAATAATATAGCTTTGGCAGTTGAATACTATAGCTTTTGCAGACCAGTTCTATGGCATTGTCGGATCAATATTATAGCTTTGAGATTTCAATACTATAGCTTTGGCAGCTGAATACTATTGTTTTGGCAGACCAATAGTATAGCTATTACAGACCAATACTATAGCTTTGGCAAATCAATAATATAGCTTTGTTAGACCAATACTATAGCTTGGGCAGACCAATAATAGGGCTTTGGCAGATCGATAAAATAGCTTTGGCAGATCAATACTATTGTTTTGGTAAACCAAGACAATTTCTATGGCACAACATACTATAGTCTTGGTAGAGCAACACTATTATTTTTGTAAACCAATAATCTTGTGTAGGAAAACAAATACAATTTTTGGTATTCCAACTAGCAGCACGACAGTGTGCCTTTTACTGCAGAAATGTAATAGAAAACTAAGGAAATGTGATTTCTGTTGAAATCCATCAATGCCCCCTCTCGAATAAGCTTAAGAAAGATAAGGCTGTAAAGAAAGCGCCTGCAACCCTGAAACCGTCACTGAACTGACAAATAAAGAACTGCAGCAGAATAACATACTTTAACAAAAACCAAGTGTAAAGAGGTAACAAGCCTTAAAACTTTTTATAAGTCTTTGTTATAAAATATTTGTTTTGAGCCCAACAAAAAGCTTTGAGGAAACCTTAAATCAGAGAGAAGAAAAAATTGATTTTTTAAAATGCAAAAAATACAATGGCTTTATAGCTTTATAATTTTGCACCTGTTGCTATCAATTGATATTGTTAAAAGTCCACTGTACTTTTAAAGGTCTTCCTAAAAACTGGTTCACTCCATTGATTATCCAAACGGTGCATCTTCTCAAAACATCAAATATTTTTCTCAATTGCATTGATTTTAATATATTCTTCATTTTCAACTGTACCCGTTTCTCGTTGAATGTGTTGTATATGGTTCGGCTGAAATCTCAAGAACTTTTTGGATTGGATTACTTGAGTGAACAAATCTTGACAAACCTTTGAGCTTCTACGTTTCCTGCAGTTGGTCTATGATCAATTCCACCAATTTCACCTCTGCAAACTGGACATATGGATTTTTCAACGGGCATACCACACTAAAAAAATAAACCCGATTACTTGATAATGAGAAAAGACAAAGAAGTCTGAATTGACGTTTCCTTGATAAATTTTGGAAATGCAACAAAGTCCTTAGGATCAAGGACCGCGAAGCATATTACAGAGGGAGGGGGCTAAAACATTTTGGGGGGCTGAACATGCTAAAAATTAAAAGCAGGGTGACTTTTTGAATGGTTTTAAGTGCATTTTGAAATTATTTTGGGGAAATAGCCCCTTCAATCCCCCCCCCCCCACTTCCTTCCTCGGTCCCTGCTTAGGATATATTACAGAGATTTTATGGATATAAGTCCACAGTCTTTATATTAGGAAAAACAAAGGCTGTGTGAGTGGAGGGGAAGAAGTATGAAATTGCAACAATATCTAACTGTTCGTCTCGGTCAATAGTAGAAATTAAATTTCTTTGAAAATTACTCTTGAGAACGTATTCTATATACGATGGCTAATGAGGAAAAGTATCCAAAATAACTTTTGATATGATGACTAGCAGATTGAATCTTAAAAGATAATACAATGTTTTTTATCATTTAATGCTTCGATTCCCCAGTGATAACTATCAGCCTATTACGTCAGACGTACATAGAAAAACGACAAATTAAGGTTATTTGTGACTTTATCGCCATCTTAATGTATATGCTATATTCAATTATACAAATGTAAAACATTACAAAATACACACAAATACTCAAAGATCTATTGCAATCTAAACCAACCTGGGTGACGATATAGGGGTGTCGATTTGGGCAATCTAAAACGACAAACAACAAAGATAATGAATGGAAAAGCCTTGCGCTGTTAATAAGGCAATCGTTCGCAAGACGTAATGACTGAAAAAGTGATAAAATGACGCCATTGTGATACCCCCAACAAGAGATACATGCTATAACCAAAATGATTTTCTTCTCCAAATAAACCCACCAAACCCCTAAATACATATAAATATGAGGCAAAGTAATTGAACCTTTTATTTGCTATCATACAAAAAAAATATTTTTCTTTAATGTAATGTATTGTGAATCATCCAAATCTGTTTTAAATGAATTGTGTGAGTGATACTAACTCTTGAGATTTTATAAAAATAATAAATACATTACAGATTTTAAGCTTTAATGAAACCAATATATCATATTGTAGGGCCTATTATAGAGCTTGTTGGAGATGGCACTAAATATATATTTTTGTGCTGAAGGGGGCAAGTAGACAAGATAAAAAAGGTTTACAAATTATGCAAATTTATTAGTGGGCATCGGATTCCTTGAGGGATACGGAAAACACTGTGAAAGGATAATCGCTGTTTATCCGAGACATTTCGAATCTATCTTAACACTTTTTGTTCTTGTTTCTTCAAAAAGTAGGATAAACAAGTTGGGCAACTAGTTTAGTGTACATTTTGCAGACTTCTCCCTTTTTACTAATAGAATGAGATCAGATTCTCCGTAACGAAAACAGAACAAGGACAATAAAAATGTTTGCACTTACAGTATGTTTTCCATGTTCCTTGAGCAGCATCAAAAACATCTGTTAAATGGTCGTCAGGCATTGTTGGTAGAAAAGAATTCTTCAAGAACAATAAATACATATAGGTATCTTGATATGTTTTTTCTAACTTACGAGACAAGTTTCCTCTTTAAACGTGAGACTTAATAAGTAGACAGTATTAGTTATTTAGTTCATCTGCATCCTTAAACTCACTTAGAACCTATTTACTCTAATGATTGTGATTCACCATTTTCATCCCATTTGTTAAGCTTAACAAATTTTATATAAATATCAAATTTACATTAAATATTTTAGTTTAAATCATAAGAATTGATTTTCTGACATTTGGCTTTAAAAATATCAATGTCTTGGTTTCCCAATTATAAACATCATAATGGCTTGAAATAATTCAGCTGGCATTTGCCCAATTGAAACACACTTAACTGTATTGAATGATGAAAGAACATGGAAAATGAGAGAGGACAGGACTTATAGGAAATTAGCTGATGACACTGATTACACGAAGAAAATCTTGTCATAAACCAATAAAAGCAGAGAAGATAAAAAAGGTTACATACCATCATGTCTTGAGGGCGTAAAGAAATCAACGCAAGTGGTTGTAAGATAGGGGTAGTGGCTGATTTTAACGAAAGGACAATCATCGTATGAATGACAACTTCTGATATTTGACGCTCTTGGTCATCAAAGAAAGGAGTGCATTTCAACTTTTCAAATCCGTTTCCTTGCATGTTATTCAGCAGCAATTTTGCAAGATTCTGTGGAGATACGCGAAAGCTTGTTACAAAAAATCTTTATCGATCCGAGAAAAAGACAAGTTCAGTTTTGATAGATAAATTAATTAATAAGAAAGTAAAAGTATTGAATGATAAAACGTATGATGTTTTTGTTGAGAGGATTTGGCTGCTATCGAGCCTTTTAGTTATTTTTTGGTTTAATTAACTGTTGTGTTTAAAAATACCAGTAAGAATCGTTACCTCGTTTTGAACTAATCCTTTACTCTTGAGGCATTCCAGGATCTTGTCTAGCAACTGGAATTAAATAGAAAAAAGTTCTTGAGTGTGACGTCACAAAAACATATCTTTAAATTGTTTTAAATTTGAGAACATAACATAAAAACACAAGATAACATTTTAAGAACACTCTTTGGGCAAGTTTAGCTTGCTGTGTTCCTAGTGGCAGAGCCAAGATAAAATATGAACTATGAGAGGGGGGAGAAAAATTGAGGTTCATTGAGAAAAATTTGGGAACAATAGATTGCTTTCACGAAATTGGTAGTTGAACTCTGGAACAGATTTTGCAAGAAGTATCAAGTCAAACAACTTCATCTTTTGGTAGACAATACTCAAATAGTTACTTTTTACAACTATAGAGAGAAAATACTTTTACCTACCTTAAATCTTTAAATATTGGAAGTTAAAATCAAAAAAGCTTATTAACAAAATCAGTTAATGTGTCAAAATTCGGGTGACGTATGGCCAATGAAAAATTTGAAGCTTGCTAATGAAGTACTGTAATTTTGGCTCTGTTCATAAAGTCATGTACAGAGACCAAAATGCAGAGGTTTCATCGGAAAAGAACCAGTGCTTGTGTGGCCATATTTCAGCCAATTCGTGACACAATTTACTGATTTAGCACATCTGGAGGTATTTCATGGTGCTATTTCTGTTAATGGGATCCAGAGATAAAAATTATAGAAATAGAGATTTTTGACGTCATAACTTGAGAACTTTATGGCGCTATTAAATGAAAAACATGCTGGTTCCTGTCAGCCTGAAATTAGACCGGAAAGTTGATTTAAGTTATTTGAGGAAACGCAGTTGGAAATCGAACGGAAACTAAAATGTTACGTTTAAAATCACTAAACGTGATGAGCAGGTCTTAATTTTGTGTTACATTTAGGAAACGCTCAAGGATCTAGGAGGTTAAGGAAATGCTTACCAAACTAAAGTGCTTTCAAGAGTTCATTGGTCTGATTACAACCTTCATAGGTTTTGCAATGTGTGATATTCTGGAAAACATATTCCGTTCCACAGTCTACGATCTAGGTTGTTTCACGAAAGCGCTACTTGTATATGCTGTGTGTAAGGTCTGGCGTTATATTTATGTTTTCTTATTGATACAATGGTGGCAAGATCAATCCAAAATACCAGTGAGAAACATACCTTAATTACCCAAACATGGTAATAATAATTAATAAAACGGGTAAAAACCGCACTTCATGTGACTTTGACATTGACAGAAATTGACAGAAAAAAACATACTTTAAAACAACCAGTGAAACCATGCAACCCACCTCTTTTTCAGGCTGCTTCGGCCTTACTGAGTAAGAGGTAGTAACCTCTCTGTAAACACTTAGTAATGCTAAGGCTTCTCTCAATGTGTCCGGAGAAGAAAGTTCTTCCTAACAATCAGAAAATAAATTACTTTAGACAAGTTGTCTTAAACATGGAAGTAATGAAATATGGCAGTGATTAATACATCAAACTTCTTATGTTGTGTATCTTACAATTTCATACTTTAGTCACATAGCATAATTAATAACGATGATGACTAAATCACTAAAAATAGCAAAAAGGTTTACTTAGTCAAAAGGAGGAATTGTTTTAGATACCTCGGGATGAAGCTCGAGATTATCAACTGATTCTCGCATTACAGCTTCTCCAATCTCTTCTCTTATTCTCCTGTATTCGTCGCCATACAAAATGAACCGATCCGGGGATGCATTCGTAAGCTATGAAATGATTCAAGTGCGTTACAAAATCAAAATAAAATAAAAGGTCTATTATGTTCAGTGCACAAAATAAATAGACAGTTAGTCTAGATGTCGGTCTCAGCGGCGCAATTGTAGCCGAATCCTATCTTTCTGACTACACCCGTTTTACGAGCAGTTTCCAATGCTATCAAAAGTCAGGATGCGAAACAAAATTCCCCACTTCAACATTATGAATGACCATAAAGAAAGATGCATGGGACTGTTCATTGCAAAACATTCTCAGCACAGCGACAATTGTTTTCTTACTTTTACTTTTGCTAAGACATATTTCTCACCTCTTCATCTTCATTGGATTCAAGCCACTTAAAATCTTCTGTAGCCAAAATTTTTCGTAACACTGCGATGCCGAATCTGCGCAGCAACTGTCGCATGAAAAACTTCTTCAAGTTGTTGCTGCTTTCCTCTAAGCAAATATTCTTAAGCAAGGTATACAGCTTACGTAGAGTTTGCTTGAAGTTACTACCAAAGTTGTTTTCGATGATATCGTTATAAGTAATCTCGGCAACGTTTGTTATTGTTGCTCGCAAATCTGCAATTGTCTGTAATGATTGCACATCACTAACTGGAAGGTAACTGGAACAAATGTTTCGTACCCTCTCGAGCCTCGAACAGAGCTGCTCAAGCAACACATCATCTGACTGAGTCTTACTAAATCCAGCAAGTCTGAAATCCTTCGGGAAAACATTTAAAATTTCAAAAGACTTCATTAAAACTTATAAAAGAAGATGACACAAAATCTTTTAGAATATCTTCCTCAGAATGGTTATGGGTCATGAATCATCTAAGAACTTCACGCTATCTTACAACAAATAAACAATCATAAATGCTATTATACTGAATAATCTAGAAACAACGCTGCATCTAAGAAAGCAGGCATTTTTTGAAAAAAGAAATCATGAAAAAAGAAATTACTGGCCGCGGTGTAATGAAGGATTAATCCCTTTCTATAAATATAATTGATCGTCAATTTAGATATAACACGAAAAACGGTGCAATATTTTGCTTTAGCAACACCAGAGTATACTTTGCAGACTGAACGAACCCAAAGCCCCCCCCCCGTTCATTTTTTTTTGAAAATAATCCACGCGTTACATCATTATATTACAGTATTAGGAAACTGCAAAGTGTAAACAACAAAGCCCATCATAGCGTAAGCAAGCACATCGAAAATAGGAAGAAAGAGCGGCAAAATATGTAAAACTGAAAACTTCTAATAAATTTCTTTGTAATAAATACATGTTGCTGTTTTAAGAAACCAGCGTCTTGCTTGCACTTCTTCTGCTACCAGATTCAACGAATTGCTTACCATTAACAGTTAATGATTAACCTGGTTATTATTGTTTGGGGATTCCCCTGTCCCGTTAATTCCAGAAATCCCCCACCCCCGTTTATTCTGATTTGGGAAATTTTCCACCCGCCCTGTTTATTCGGGAATGAGTGTAATCAATACATGTTAACCTGCATTTCTGATTGGTCAGAACAGTCAGAACATAGATCATTGGTCAACCTATACAGCCATGTGCTCGTGTTTCTGATTGGCCTATTTCGATCCACAACTGGGTATATGTTTCCTAGCTTAACATTTTCGATCACTATTCTGGTGTTTCATACTCTGAAGAGTGTCAGGGGAAAGATTTATTAGTCTTGAAATAGTTGTTTTAAAAGCCATTTTTACATGTTCTAGTACAAAGAAGTTGCTTGCAAACCTCATAACATTGAACCAGCAAAAGGCAAAGTTCAAGACGTGCAGAAACGTCGGCCTCGCTTAGCAGATAGGCCTCATTCGCAAGGTAACACTGCAGATAATGTTCAGATTGGGAGCTGAGATCCCTGTGATGAAAAATTTCAATTAGAAAAATCAAATTTCATCGATTGTTTATGGAAGAGAATATAACTTTTTGACGACGCTAAGAATAATATCATATAGTTGTTTTAGCTATTAAAAATACTGTTGTTGAAACGTTTTATGCATTAATGTGTCAAAAATCTGGGCATGTGTCATATATGGGAAGCGATAAGGCCAGAATAATGCCATAAAAACATTTTTCAACTTAAAGTTTGTTGCCTTACAGATGCATTAACGAAAAAGACGCAGGAGTTTAAGCCCTATCTTAAGAAAAATGTTATCACTGCACAACCACTCTTTAATATTAAAAACACTGCATCTAGAGATTGTATTTGGGGGAGAAAATGCTTTTTAGTTACTTTTGTGAACTATAAATAATTGATTCAACAATGTATTCTTTATAGGTATTACCGCACATTTTGGTTGGATTTATCACTGAACAGATAGGTTCGCACTGAGCATAAAAAAGGGCCTACATGAATTTAAATTCAGATCTTGCGGTAAAGTTTTAGCATGTACTACACTCCTCTCCCAAAAGTATTCGAAGCATCGAGGGAGAGTAGGATTATTCAACAAGGACTTGCTTGATTGAGTCTAATGGTCGATTTCATTTTAGAAAGTCAAAAGTCCAGATCAAGCTGGCATAAGTCCAGACATATAAAGCTTTTTTGAAATTCTATTCAATTTGAGTTTATGATTCAACATTATTAAACAACATGATTTTATGGAACATCTGAAAATAAAGACACGATTTTTTTCTTGTTTCTAAATGTGAGCAAAGCCAGTTTTCCCAATTCTTCGTTTAAAAAAATTGCCAAAATCTTTGATAGTAAAAGAAATTTTTCTTAATAAATTTTTACTAAGATAGAGGACTAAATCATTATTATCAAGGTAGACATACTTAGCCTTCAAGAGCTGCTGAATAAGAAAAGACCGCACTGTTGGCGTCTGGTCGATACCAAAATCTGGAAAAGGTGACAACTGCTTTGTCTGGTGCTTTGCCGTCGTCACAAGAGTAATCATAAACTCAATGATTTCTTCATTTCTTACAGCGTTTTCCGAAGAAAAACAGAAAATGGACACTGCTTCCATGAAGAACCCAACGCAACGTTTTCTGAAGTTGCCAAGTTCATAAATCACTTCACTGTAATGCAAAATTGAAAAAAGAAAATTCAAGTTTGATAATACAAAAGGAACAAAAAAATTATATGTCATTCCTTCATAGCATTCTAACAAGTTAACAAGAAACATTTTATGCAAAAACTCTTAAGTTCGAAAAACAGCTATTGCTTAGACAAAAGGAGCTCGTGTTAACCTTTGGACTCCATTGGTAATATTCTCAATAGGAAAGTGGCATTGATCGGGCAACCTCAACAGTCACGTGCTTACGTTTCTGATTGGTCTATTTCTATCCACAACTGGGTAATTATATTTCCAAGCGTAGAGTTTTCGATCTATGTTCTCAAGTTTTATACTCTGCAGAGTGTCAGACGAAAATCTTTAGTTTACTCAAATGTTTTTTTTTCAAAAGCTGTTATGTATTGAAACAGGTGGCCCCATCACCTCCCATCACAATTTACTTGATGAGTGAAGCAGCTTTCAACGACAGCTATCAATATTTCAAACATATCTTTGAATCTAAAATCTGATGTTGGATTCAAAACGATTCGCTGAAACAAGCAAGAAACTCAGAATGATGTTTCGCATCGAGGAAAGATTTCCATTGCTTTGGAAGGCAGCTTAAAGTAAAATAAAAATCATACTTCTTCTTTTTTTGTTCTTTGATTTTGAATTCAACTGGCACTTGTGCTTGGCAAACAAGGCATGTTTCTTTCCCATCTTTAACTAACCATTGATGAGCACATTTGAAACACGTCACATGGAGACAAGGAAACTGGATACGATCCTCCAAAGGCTCTTCACAAACTATGCATTCCAAAATCTCTTCACTGTAGATTGAGAAAATCGCATATTTACATCGACATATAGTAAAGAATATGAAGTGGAACAAAGTTTAAGTCAGCAACAAACAATCTCTTATCTTAAGTCGCTCAAAGGATCTTTTCAATTAAAGATATATATTACTTTACTGCTGCAAAAGCATCGAGTTACAAAGTTGCATTTGCTGATAATCTCCAACTTAAGACCATGTTTGTAGCAGATGATATATTGAATGGTATGCATTAGAAAGGCAGAACTTCGAGTTAATACGGAAGCCACAACAAAATACACGATCTTGGCGTAGCCAATATTTTTAGAGGATTATGCAGGCTTGGCAAAGTGTTAGCATGGCTAAGTGGTAAAAGTCGTGGGCTTTGAACGGTGTGAAGATGGCTCAGTTGTCAAGGTCTCGGACACGGGAAGGTGTGAGGATGGCTCAGTGGTTATGGCCGCGGACAAGGCAAGTTAAGAGGGCAACTGAGTGGCTAGATCGCAAACAAGTCAAGGTGCGAGGACGGCTAAATGGTTAGGGTCATGAACTTGGGAAGGTGTGAGGATGGCTCGGTGGTTAGGGTTATGGGCTAGTCAAGGTGTATGGAGCGCTCAGTGGTTAAGGTCGTGGAACAGGGAAGGTGTGTGGATGGTTCAGTGGTTATTGTCACGGTCTAGGAATGGTACGGAAGGTATAAGGATGGCCTTGTTGACAGGTTCACAAGTTATAAAAGTTTGAGTGTTGTTCACTGGTTAGGGTTTCAAATTACAGTTCCAAGGGTTGTTGTTGCCACAGACATGATGAAACTCTCACTTAGGGGGCTATTTGATAACTACATCACGCAAAAATTACCTCTTTTGACCCATCCACTCCTCATCACCACGCTCTATCGCGTTTTTTCACAAGGCCCCCTTGCGTCACGTCACGCTGAGCACAACACCCCCCTTACAATAAGAAATGAAATTTTTGGATAATAAGAGGGCTGGAAGTAGAAGTTATGAAATCCCATTCCTCTGTCAACTACAGGAAGTACCCGCAAATTAAAAACAAATTTTGTTCAAAAAACAGCCTATGCATAACATACTAGGCAAAAAACAGCCTAGTATGTCAACGTGTCAACGGCAAACAGCATGTTATTATTGCCAGTCGCTTGTTGGAACTGGTTCTATATCATCCAATACAGGGGTTACACTTTCATGAACAATTTCTGGAGTGTCACCTTTCTGGAATTGTTTTCAAGATTCAAGATTCAGTGGCTAGCAAAAATACTATTGTTGAGCAATCAAAGGTTCACCAGCCTTGTTCCACATAGAATACATTGAATTCTGCCTTTACCCTTCTCAATAAGTACATGTATTATGTACTGATGTGAATAAAATAGAAGCTTTAAGTCTTATCAGAAAGAGGGTATACATCAGAAGACAGAGTAAAAAGCAAGGCTTTTGAGAAACCTCGCAGTGAAAGTCTATTTTCTAAACATCCTTACAGCTTAGAGTCAAGAGAGCTCTCCCATCTACTGCTCAAAATCTGCAACTGCTCTTTCAGGAATATCCAGGATGATGCTGATGACATATCGTCGTTAATAGCCTTTAGAGCCTAAAAAGAGTATAAATTGTTAAAAAAAATCAATTGACTGAGAAAGAAGGTAAATTGAATGCGATTATTTGGCATATTCAAAGGTCATAAATAAATCTATACTGGTATAATGTCTCTGAATTTTCCATCTTGAACAATAATATAAGAAAAAAATAGCGCTTATAACAAAATATTAGACAATAAAACGCAGTATAATACTGAAAAATGTAATATTATGTAAGATAATCAAGTATAATATGATATAATATAAAAAACTGCTATAATATGATTCTAGTGTAATATAATATGATATAAATTAGAATATAGCATAAAATAAGTAATACTGTTCTATATAAAAATGTAATATAAAACTTTATTACATAAAGTGTTATAACACTGTAAAACACTTATAGCATAACATAAATAATATAACAAAACATAAACAAATAATATAATATAATATAATATAATATAATATAATATAATATAATATAATATAATATAATATAATATAATATAATATAATATAATATGATATGATATGATATGATATGATATGATGTGATATGATATAAGTTGTATTATGATATACCTCCCAAAGTTCTAAGGCAACTTCAACATCCTTTCCGCTACTTGCTTTTCCGGCCGGGCAAATGTGTTCAACGAATTCTTTGATCAAAAGGAGCCTTGTCCACATAACTCTGAACAAGAAAATGAAATGCATACCACAGAAAAAATTCCATTCTAATGATGAGTTTAAAAGGAGCTTTCTAAAAGATTTCCAAAAAACTTGCTTTTGTTAGCTCAAAAGAATAAAGCGTTTCATCTTAGCGTTTTAATACTTTGAACTTTAATAATTCAAACCTAATATTTTGAATTGTTCACGTTTTAGGTTTTAGGCAAATAAAAGGTTAAATAGGGAAAGCAGGAATAAAAAGAACTTTCTTTGAATTTCGGAACATATGAAAATTTGGTTAAAACATTCAAGAGATGGTTAGGGTCAATAACCAAATGTTACAGTTTCAATAATAACCTTGCATTCTCAAAGACATCTTTTGCCACAGTGATAAACTCTTCAGGCTTAGAATAAAATAAATGGAATATTTGATCGGTAGGCAGTCTTAGTGCTTGCACATCTTTGCACCACTTAAAACGCATTTGTTGCTCCAGCAAGTGTTCGATTTCAGGATACAATCTCTCAATGCTTTGCTTTAAGCAGATCATGTCGACAACCTAGAGATTTCAAAAGTACATGAAAATTTAGATCCCTATTGAAAAAAATTCTAAGCAATATTTTGAAAGAAGCAAATGAAATAGCTATCAAGAACTTACTTTGTGCATTTTGATAACCTTAAAAATATTGATTGCAAATATGACAGAAATTCATTAAAATAAAATATTGAACAGAAAGTAATCCACATACAAAAATTTTTATATTACCATACAAACTTTAGGTTAGAGGTTGTTTAAAGACAGCAAAAAGCAGAAAATTTAAGCATATAATTTTAAAAAGGATTCAACATTTTTGATGACATATGACCATGTCTTTTCATCAAAATGCACTTACAACGTCTTCTGCATCAGAAACCATTCTTCCTAAAGCCAAAATTTCTTCTTTTGACATTTGCTTTGACAATAGCAGAAAGCATTGCATACGTTGTTGAAAGACCGCACAACTTGAAACCAGATGCATATCAATAATATCGACTGCTGCCTTAGTGTTGCCTCGTTGTTTGCTTGCACGAGCCATGATTGACATCGCTACAAGCTAAAAAAGATACTTCATTTATCGGTATGTACAAACACAAATATTCTGAGTTGGCATCTCTGTTAGCAATAAACGTTAACAACGGAGACCTCCAAGCTAAGGAGCGATCACGTGGTCACGAAACCTTCTAATGCAATCAAAGACTTTAGGAGGTAGCCTGTAAAAATAGTTTCTGTTCTCATAAGGTGATCCCATCTTCTTTTGTACAAGAAAAGAGACAAGAATGTTACTTTATATATGTACACAGCTCACCATTGAAATCGAAAACCAATAAAATAATTACCTCATGTTCTTCTTCGTTGACATCATATTCAATATAAACAAGATCACGAAGGTAACTTTTCAAAATTCTGTGTGAAAACTTCAGTAGATGATGTCCATAAGACGTGTGTTGCAGCACTTTTTGCAAGATATTTTTTGAATTACCTGTCGTTTCTAAAATGAATACAGTATAGGAAATTGAATTCACTATTAAAAATATCTTATGCGCAGGTCTTAAAGCTAAGTTTTCTCGACTGACATATCTTATTTTTACCTAGCTACTCTGATGGCAATATTAAATATGATTTTGTCCAATGATTATAAAACTGAAAAAAATGATTTTATTGGCTATTCAAAAACATGAGTCATCTCAAAAAGCAAATTATTACTTAGAATTCAAGAGATTATCTGATCGATCGATATTGCGCGGCGCGGAGATTCGACTTTTTGTTTCGTCCCGGGTTAAGTTTCAGCTCAACAACTAGAAAATCAATTTTTAAGCAATCATTTCTCAATCTAGGTTGATTGTTCCCATTGAGAGAGTCTCTACGTGAATGGAAAAAATCTCGAGCAAGGGGTGTGTTGATGAATTCGCGGTCATCAAATATTCAGTTGATGAAAGTCAAATTATCAATAAATATTAAATTTTTCTCGATCCAGAATGAAACCAACCCGGGTTGAATTTCCTCGTGTGTTCGACCACAAGAAATTTATTTATCCCCAATCACGCTTACTCTATATATAACAATATTTGGAAAAAGACAGATAGGCATACCTTGATGCTCTTTGATAAAAGAACTGATTTTCTCTTTGATGGCTATTGAAAATGGAACCCAGTTTACAAGTTCACGTAGATTTAGGCTAGGTGTATCGGGCTTTGGCTGCTTCAAAAACATTTCTTCATAATCAAGGCTCATGAACTCTTCGCAAGCAAATAAATTCAACCACAGGTCTTGGTTTCTCTCGTGTAACAGTATGTCCAAGTTACAGTTTTTATCAATGTGATTTATGATGTGTGAGAGGATAGGAACGATTTCTTTTTCGATGCGATAGGACAATGCACGTCGGAATGTTCCACATTCTTGGATATTGTGGCCAGTAACAGCTTCATCTAAGAACCAGTCTTTCTGCTCAATCGCCTGGGATTCTTTGTATCTTAAAACTTTATAAATGATTTTCAGCAGTATACAGGCAAATTTCTGTGCAAGTTTAGGATCTATAACAAAAACAATACTATCAAAAACATATATGAAATAAATTTGCTAAAAGCAACGACTATGGTTAGACTAGATGAAATAGATAAAAAAATTATTGCGAGACCCCATGAGGGTTGCAGGCAGCAGGTGTGTCTTTAGACCTTGCATATTGTCATGTAATAAGAAAGCTGAATTGCTGAAAACTAGTGCATAGGAGCAAGAAAGTTCATGGGAAATTCCTCTTGCAAAACGTTGGGATTGATACTTTGTAACATATTGCGGAGGCGCCCTTTTCAGGTGTAACTGAAATCAACATTTTGCATGAATAAATGGAAAATGAGTACAAACGAATGCAGTTCTAATAATTTTTAATTATTCGTCATATCATTTTTGCGATTACGATTAAAGGTTAAGGAATCAGCATCACGTAGTTCCGTTTTAGATATAAAAAACCCAAGATCAAATAGAAAAAAATTGGCAAACCTCTCTTGATCCTCGTACAGTTTGAAATATAAACAACAAATTCACAAACCCTTTTGATAATTTTTAGAAAAATTTGTTCAATATAAATTTATCAAATTTGTTCAATATAAATGTATCAACCTGCCCAAAAGGAATTTTTGTTGCACATACCAATTGAGCAGTCTTGAGAGAGAATTTCGGTCAGTGTGTGAATTCTTTTAGTGACACGGGAAGCGCTATAAATGTCATCACTGGTGTTAACACAAGAAGCTTGGATACATCTTCTGAGTAATCCAAGCTGCAAAGAAAACATTTTCCTGCCGTCGTCTTCATCGTTCTCTGATTCTTCTCTTTGGGTTGACTGGTGATCGTCAGTAGTCGTTGCCGACTGGCTTTCGTTTTCCAAAAGTGGCTGAAACATAAAACTCAATTTTTTCCCAGCAAATTGAACCAAAGAAGGCAAGTCATCGTTAGGAGGTCGAAGCTCGTCAATATGAACAGAAAGCCAGTTGACACCATGAAAACTCCCCAAATTTCGACAGCCTTTTGCAACTCTTTTTAAATTGACAATAAAGACGATATGCAAGGGTAGATTTGGATCTTTTCCGTGAAGGTTTTTCGATTGATGACAGAGATGTCTAGCCGATGCAATCAAATCGCTGTTCTCATCGCCATTACTGCACTGGACTATAAGAAGCTTTTTCTTTGGTAAATTTTCATTAACGTATCGCCTATAATGAAGATCGGTAAAGCGGGATTCAGTTAACAAAGAATTTTTACAAAATATCACGACAGGCTCTTTCGTTACCGCCATTTTGAGTTTGCGGAAAGGCCACCGTAATGAAACTTTCAGGCCTTCATTGACATAGAAATAACGGATAAGGGAGGCAAAAAGATGAAAATGAAAGATGAAGATGAAGAAAGGAGGCAAAAAGCAATTAAAAAAATAGAGGACATGTAGAAAGAAAAAAAAATAAGAAAAGGAGTGTAAGGGTACTAAGTGAAAAAGCAAAGACCGAATAGAAAACAATTTACCTAACAAAACGAAAAGTAGGAATGAAAAACAGTTAACAACGAACGAAAATAAAAAGGATAAATAAATTTAGAGAGAGAAATAGAGAGGTAAAATGGGGAAATGGTAGAGAGAAGGAGAGAATAATGAATGAACTGACTTCAGGTGGAAGAAAAATTAAAGAAAGAAATGTAGAGGAAAAAGGTGGAAGAAAAGAAGGAAAAAAGAATGTATGAAAGGAAAGAGAAGGAAGAAGATAAAAAGATGAAATTTGGGAATAAAGCAGAAGAAGGAAGATGGAAAAAAGAAAGAATGAATTGAAGGGAAACGATGGCAGACAGACTACAGCACAAAATGAGGAAAATATAAGAAAGAAAGAATGAAAAAAGGAGGAATTTGAGAACCAATAGCTTTCATAGGGTCCATCAAATTAACGCTAAACCGTTTAAGCTTTGTTCAAAATTCAGGCCGGGGAATGCAACACTGTTTAGAAATGTATCGAATAAATGTACGAATAAATGAAACTAATTCTTTGTTAATTCACTATCACGAAGTTAAATTTCGGCAAGAACGTCAAATGATAATAAGGTGGTAAAAATATTTTGTTTTAAATATACCAGCTCAATAGAAAAAATGGTTACCTCAACTCCTCGGAAAACTGTTGCTCTGTTTGGAACTTATTGAGAGATATGCATTTCAAATCATATGCATGTTCCAATGTTTCGTTAAGAGCATTTTGATCACGGGGAGATAGAAGTCTTGAGAATGTGGTTACCTGTAGGCAATGAAAGAACATAGCCAGGATCATTCGGAAAATCAGAGCAAATGATAAAAATTTTTCACCCTAGCATAGATTACTTAAATTTTATGAAGAAGAAGTTTAAAACCATAATAATAACGAATTATTTTATCTTAATGTATGTTCAATTATTATGACTGGTATTGAAATTCGTAATGCAAAAGATGTAAGATATTTTTGTTTAAAAAAGAAACTTACTTGTACAGAAAGTTCAGCATCTCCAGCCTGCATCAATACTGTCTTCAGAAAAGAGCAGAGCGAACTGTGCAACTGCTCGTTGTAGTAAACCTCCGAAAAGAATTCTGCATCTTGGCGCAGTGGAGTGTTGTTCAATCTAGCAACGGATTCAGGTGTTGCAACAGCTAGCAATTTCTTTTTACTGTCCTCTAAAATCTAAAACGTAAAAATTGAAATTGAAGAGATTGGAATGTAAAATAAGTTAGCATTTTGGACCAATCATTAACAAAGAACAACGGGTGCAAAAATTAGCTGTTTTTACAACAGAAAAAGACCAGTTGAGCCAAAATAAGCTGGTTGTAAATCCAAGCTTCCAATTCAACAAACTTCCAAGCCAACCTACAGTCGTCTTGAAAACATTAATGTCATATTACAAGAGCAAATTCAGGCATGATTTTACTATAAAACAACGTAAATTAGAAAATTAATTTGGTCTTGTGACTTGTATGATATTTGCCTAAAGTCTCAAGATTGTCCAGGTGATTGAGTAGTAATATTTTGGACAAACATTGAAAAATAAAATACAAAACGATTAGCTTTGTGTTCCAAGTAATGTTGGCAAACAATGCATCTTAGCTTGAAAAACATAGCTTACGTGATTGTCAGGAGTGTCCTCTCCACATTTGTGCATTGTTTCGAGTATAACTGAAGCAGAAGTGTCACTATTGTATCCAACAAAAGCATCCCCAAGAGAATATTGTTTTCTAAAATCATGATGAAAAGATAATCTAATTTGGTTAGGGCAGTAGGTTTCTTCTGCTTAATATTCAAAATTGTACTTCAAAGCATATGAAAAAGCATATGAAAAAGTCGAATTAAACGGAGACTCTTTTTCACTTGAGATCCCTTAGACAAAATGTGTTGTGTACGTTACCTCTCGTGATTGATAACGGAAAAATCAGCTGCCCATTGGCTAATAACTTCACACAATTGTATCTGCCTGTCACTCAAACAGGTTGAAATCACAAGGAAGTGCTTCTCAAGTCTGTTGATCAGGGGAATTGGGAAGCAATCATAGACTGTACTTTTTTCAGCTACCACGATCAGCCTATATGGAAGATGATGCCAGTTCGTATAAATGCTGAAGTATTTACATAAAAATTTAAATGCCATCTATAATGCGTTCTTTCACAAAAACAGAATAACTAGAAGCAATGTACTGCTATCAAAAAGGTACTTTATTTCCAATTTTAAGATTACGGTTTTTGTAGCAATTGCTTGATAAATTCTAACTCAGTGTAAGCTCTATTTGCATCAAATGGAAATTGGTATGACCACGAAAATAAATGATTGTTGTTGGATAAGCACGGCAACTAGATCATTGATTATCAACTTCTTTGAGGATAATGAGCATCTCTTCCTGCACTGTTCTCTGTTTGCTTATATGTGCGATGATCTCCTTGGCCAGACTTCATACCTTCCAAAACTGGATTCAAACAGCATCGATCCAAAAGCCTTGCTTTGTTTCTTAATTTTCCTTAATTTTTTTCTAAACCTTAGCCCAACACTTGATGAAAGTGACAATCGAATGGTTCTATTGGCATCTATAGCATATATTAAAGCAACTAGCAGACTTAACTGAAGTAGAAACTTGAGGATTAGCTACCATGTGAGTCATGACATCAGCATCAGTAACCCAGGGCATAGCTCCCTGCAACAACTTGCCTACCCTAACAAACCTATCTTGTTATCTAATGCTGTCATTAATATGCCTGTACTAAATCCATGATTTGCCTGCCCTAAACTGGCGGATGCTAGTGCCTGTCAAATGAAATAGTGCCATGGTTCACAAAGGTTTTGTTTTATAAGCTTATTGTAAAAGTATTTGTTAAGTGCCATGCATAGCCAGAACCAGATGACGTCATGTCTTTTTCTGCTGTGGAAGGCGCAGAATATTGCATTTTGTTTTTGTGATTTTACCGTGAGAAAAAAACTTATTTGCGAAAGCTGTACTAGGCCATTTCCATAGATAGGTTAGTGCAGTTTCGTATGGCGTGCCAGATAAAGACATACTCACTTAAACTCCTCGTGGACACGACATTTCACTCGGTGACTACCCAAACCAAGGTCCACATATCTCTGACCGCCAAGGTACACGTAGTACTAAATGAAAATGATAACATTGAGGTTATACCAAACACAAAGGCCTATTGATTTTCACAGTTTAACGAAATTACCTGAAAGAGCATGATAGAAAAGTTAATAAAAAAAAAAGATGCAGCTACCCGGAAGTGGTCGAGTTATAGCCACGTGAGCATAGGGCTTCTTCTCTTATTGCAGTCGTTTTCTAGGTTCTTCCTTTAACGGGATTTTTTCGTTCATTTTAAAAATGCACCAAAAACCTTTGGAATCAGTTGAAAATCTTTACTAACAAACCAAATTTCAAAAAACAGAAAACTGTGTATCACAAGAAAACGCCCTTTTCGATGCCATTCCAACGAAAAAGAAGATAAGCTCTTGAAAAGGACACTTGCGATAACCACGAGAGCTTCCTACAATGCCAGTATCAATAATATACATGGAAGATATCATCGATTAAAAATAAGACCTTTATTTTATAAAACATATAAAACATATAAAATATAAAGCTAAGTTACTATAAATGTCCATATAGTAATTTCTAAAAATAATATTTTGATAGGAAAATGGCAAAAGATGGCCCAAAATATGAGTCAGGGTTTTTTCATATTGGCGGAAGGATTCTAACTTCCAGAGTTTTGTTTACTACAGCAGTTTCGTTGAAGGCACCACTAAGCTTTACCTGTAATCAACTGGAGTCCGCTGATAGCTTAAAGTTGTAATGTTGTATTTGTTTCTACCTAGCACATCGAGAAGCTTATGCTTATCGAGCAGTGTCCTGATCCTTCCTCTCGATGTGAACACACCTCGTGATTCCTATGTTTGGAAATAAAAAGAGCTTGCGACTCTTCTCAATCTGAGAGAAGGTTTGGTCATGTCGGGGGCTCGAGCCATGGACCCTTGGGTCTATAGTTAGCGCCTCTAGTAACTGAGTCATCCTACTAACCTCTAGTAATTCTAGAGCCTCTACTAGCTAGCTTGAAGTGAGATTACAAACCATGGTCAGAAAAATTCCTAGTGGAAACGCAAACCAATACGCGGGCTAATACTCGTGGAAGCGCAGGCAAATATAAAAATTGATAATTAGAGTCTTTGACATAGTTGAATCCCTCACCTGGTTCAAAGCATCATAAAGACTCTCGTATAGGTTTTCCATATTTAACAGGATAACAGTCATGCCAGTTTCCATGCAAACTTTAATTTTGTTTATGTCTCTGCAAACCTAACCGAAAGACAAGAGACATTTTACCAGCAAAGAAGTTTTGAATGCAACCATTAAATCTGAATTAACAGAAAGCTCACGTGACTTGATATTTTAAATGATATAAAAGAATAACATCATTTCTGTGCCTTACGATTTCTTTCTAAGGACTGTTGCAACAAGGCTTACTTGAGTAAACTCTTGATCTTTAGGAAAACTGCTGCCGAAAATCACGCTGGCTCCAGCATTTTCTTCAGGAAATACCTTCTCTAGGACTCGCAAGGCTGCATAATTTTCTGTCATTAATAGAAGATAACGCGTATCTCTGAAAAAGATTGAATAAGTGTTCATACTTTTTACAGCAAACTTCAAAAACCTCAACTTCAAAAACCTGCTTTGAAAATGAAAACAAGATATTGTCTGGGTACGGTTTGTTAACACAATTTCACTTTTAGGAAATCTTTTGGCATTAATCAGCAACATGATCGTTTCCACTCTATACAATCAATATAAACAGTTGAGTTCACCATGAAATCTAACTATATCACAAAACCGCAATAAAAATGAAGTAAAATGATTCAAAATAACTATAAGTGAAAGAGAAAGAACATCACTCTGAAAAGACGATGAGTTAGTGTTTAACAGTTACATAGACAAAAACAAAACAATTTGAAGAAGGAAGGTCTTTGAAGAAGAAATATGGACATTTTCAGAAAGAAACTAAAATTTTTCCCGGCATCAGTGAATTTAATATGCATGCATGAGATTGTTGGTTGTTGGCTGTAAAAAGTGGGCAGTGATAAGCAGAAGAGATCCGACAGTGATAATAAAAGAAGTGTTTAGGGATGATTGATGTGAAAAATTAGAGGGGCTAAGCGTGTACAGAAAAACTTTTACGACAATACTGTGGTGCTTAGGGCGAAATGATTAGAAAAAAATTTAGGCAACTCACTTTTTTGTGTCATCAGGTTGGAGATATGATCTCAAAAGTCCAACAGGACTAATATCCACCTTTTCATTGGCATTATCGTCATTTCCCTCCTACAGTAGTACGGTAGCAATAAAAAAATTATTAAATGACAATTTGATAAAAGATTCTACTTCAACAAAAGCAATCATTTCATTTGATACCTATAAATTGCCCAATTTCGCATCAAGATTGTTTTTAAAGATACTCGTACAATTCTAAAACATCTCATTCTGCTTCTTTCAAAACTGACATGACTTTCCTTTCCCTCAAAAAGATTCATCGTAAAATTTTCGGAAGTAATCTTCTAAAGAAAGATTTTTCTTTCATCTTACCCGAAGAGATGATCCTTTTAACTCTTGCCTAAAATACTCCCAGGTATCAAAGTCCTCAAGACCACCAAAATTTCGCTTTACTGCATGCTCAATCTCAATAAAAGTTGGTAATCTTTGCGCCTTTTTGGCTTTGTTGAAAATCATCTTTATAAGACTAAAATAAAATAAAATAAAATAATCAATTCGTAGAGAATACATCAAGAGTGTTGACATGGATGTTCGAGAAACTAGATTTAGTAGAAGAGAAGACTGTTTATGATTAGGTTGAATAAACGAGGAAAAATTCCGAATAAATAAGCTAAAAAATCACAGGCCAGCGATAAAGAAATATTTGAAAAGAATTTTGATTTTGTTAAGGAAAGGTACGAAATTTATGCTGGTGAAAATGAAATATTGAAATATGTAAACAACCATCATTGCGCCTATAAACCGTTTTGTGACTTCAGCCCGTTTGCATATTCACAAATTAGTATGATGCGTCCAAATAAGTGGTTAAAATGACATTCAAATGAAGCAAAGAAATAAAAACATTATAAGACTTTCGTATAAAGCCCCTCAGAATATAAAACGTTCGAATAATGATCAAACATTCTAAGCGAGGAAGCAAAACAAAAATTAATTATTTGACAACAAATAAAACTTAGCTATGAAATAAAATAAAACAAATAAAAGTTATGAAAGGTACATATCATAATAATATCAAATGGAAAACGCTAACAGTAAATTAGTTATGCAGCTCATTGCGAAAGAAAGACCACAGTTATTGATAAGCATTAAAGCTATGATTTAGCAGAATTGGTCTTAAGAGCAATATTCTAAGTTTTTATACTATAAACATTGAATGAAAATGTAAGAAATAATAAAAATGCAGAATTTACCAGTAGTAGTCTCTCAGCCCAAAAAACTCCTCCTTTTTCGACTGCTTTAGCTTAACACAATTCGTTTGTTCTTTGTATATACGCAAGTATGCCTTTGCAAGTGGAGGGAACAAACCAGATATAGTCTGCTTGATCAGCAAATCGGAATTGCAAATGCCACTTTATATGGAAAAGAAATATTTTTGCAATTAATTTTGAAAAAATAAAAACTTACGTCTGACAAGGTTACAGCACGTTACAGAAACCAAAAGAAATTGCACCTTTTGCAAATCAAGATGTAATAACTAAACACCATAACCTTACAGCATATTAAATAGAGGTTAAGGCTACTCTAAAACCAGTGGCGTTTTTAAAGGTTACCTAAAAAATGTTATGTAATAAATTCAATCTCAAGAAAAACCGCTACTGAAATGCCTCTAGAAACATGTTTAACTGGTGAGACTTGTAGCTCTATTGCAAGCAATATCTTACTCTGCACTAGTAACAAGCTCTTTTTCGTTTGGCTGTCCCCTTGTTAGCATAAGCCCTCTATTCATCTTGGCTGGATCCAATGCCCAATTGGATATCCCAATGAACGCGACACGTTTGGCCTTAGATTCGGCCCCTTCAACTGTCAGGTCCTCGGAACCATCAGTTCCATCCTCGAGCAGCGGATGCAAGGCCTTAAGTGGCATGCGCGGTGAATCTTCTGCTAGACCCACTTCGTCCAAGACAACAACAGACGCAAAAGTGTCCAATTCCTTGCCTTCTTGGAAACGACTGCATTGCCTAAATGTAGCAATGATGCCATCGGCAGTTGACAACGGACTGCACTGGTACGAGCACATCAGAATCTACAAATAAATTAAAGATCAACAATTATAGAACTAATTTAAGAACGAGAATTAACATTTTGAAAGACTCTACGCTTCATTGTCCAAAGTCTGGAAAATGAAAATGCTAATACCTATGTTCAGAAATTTTCAAGCAAATCTTAAGCATGTCTTGTTACCATTTCGAGTTCAAATTATATCCTGTCCTAACAAATCTGATTGCCCAAGTTTGTATTCGTTCTACCGTTTGCTTTACAATTTTGCAAAACAGCCAAGAATTATGTAAATTCAATGAAAATACCTGCTTGAATGTCTTGAAAAGATCTGAATGAGACAGTTTTCCTTGCATATTGTCTTGTATAATAGTTTTCGCAAGTGACTTTGAGCTGCCTGGTTTGCCCACCACGAAAAGGGGAATCCTCAATTCAATGCAAACGACCATCATAAAAATGTTCTCGCTTAAGGCTGTGTTCTTTGCAATATTTTCACCAAGCTGCAGTTCGTCTAGAAACATTTGTTGGCAGCTACATCAAAAGAAAAGTAGGATCATGAATTACCTGCTTGAACAGCGAAACTACAATGCTAGTTATAAAAAGATTTAAGAAAAGCATGCATAGACTTGGTTGTACGATTGTACGTCTGGTTGATATTCCAAAGGTAGCAGGTCAAAACTCAAACTCTTATTAGCTATTAAAAAATAATAGAATTGATTGTTGTATTGTATTGTATTGTATTGTATTGTATTGTATTGTATTGTATTGTATTGTATTGTATTGTATTGTATTGTATTGTATTGTATTGTATTTTGTAATATACACTAAATAAGACTAACATGAAGCAATTTCAATAAGACATAAGACAGTTCATTTACTGCAAAACGAGCATGCGCACTTGTTTTCAAGGAAGTTTTGATTAAATTCTTGAATTTTCTAGTATTTTGTGCTGTCTTTATTGATTCCGGGAGTGAATTCCAGATTTTAGGCCCTTGAAAACTTGATGATCTGATACCATTATTGGTAGCTCTGGCTTTTGGAATGTCAAGGGGGTTTTTGAGTCGAAGGTTATGACCTGTTGTTTTGGGTACAAAATAATCTTTCATGAAAACAGGATTAAGGTTGTTAAGTGTTTAATAAACTTCGAGCGCTAAAATTCTAACTGATTGGACATTCTAACTGTAAGGTAGTTTCTTTTGAGTTAGCAAGTAAATCTTTGTACGAAGATGAATAGTCCGAATAGGCTACTCTTAAAGGTATTATATTCTCTGGTGAATTTAGTGCCAAAAATACGTAAACAGTAATTTAGTACTTAAAAGTAAACAGTTGGGAAACAACTAGAGCATACAGGCGAGTTAGTTTTCCCGGCCCTTAAAAAAATATGTGTGAAAACTTTGAAGCAAAATAGATGTAGAAACTGGGGCACAAGTGGCCCTAACTCCCCTCCCGATTGAAGTGTAGCACCTCTTTGGAGCTCATGGAGATTCCCCTTTTTGCCTACAGGTGAAACCTCCCCTTCCATTTGAAAAGCTTCCTACGTCAATGTAAAGAACATTGAAATAGAAACAAACTAATGTTTTATTGACAAATCCGCTTTACTCCAAGAAAGCTACTCGAACAAAACAAGCATTCCAAAAAATCTTAATTGCTTGATTGAGGCAAACGTAGATTCAGACAAAAAACATTTAAGGAATAAAGCTGTAATTTTATTAAAGCATTCGTCTTCTTCATGAATGCAAACACGAATGAAATGCTCTCAAAAAGCCTTGAAAAAGGATGCACCCATAAAACGCAAGGAAATAATGAATCAAAAAAACATATTTGTTGGAAATTTGAAGTTTTAAAACATTTTTTACATAAATTGGTCATCACTTAAAACTTATATACTCCGTGGTTTTTCACTTGATAAGAAAATGAAAAAAAAACTCACTAATGTGCATCGTCCTTAAGTTCTTTGTAGCCATTTATCAGCCTGTATTTTCCGGTGAAATGTCGAGCAACTTGCCGATAATACCGGTCCCGCTTTTCCAATCGCACAGCGTAACAAACAGTGAGTGCAAGAGATAAAGACAATATAACCATCTCTGCTGTGTTTTCCTAAAAAAAACAGTGTTATAGGTGACTACGTTTTTTTCAAATTTTCACCACAGAGATTTTCTAGGAATCAGAGGTCAGAAAACTCCTTGATAATCCTCCGGATGTAACTTTGTTGGATTGGCCTTCCTCAGAATTGACCTGGTATCTTTTGAAAAAAGTCTCCAAGAAATGGAATTTGATTACAAGTATCGATGCATTGGTCTTAACGCTTTGTCAAAAATTAAGAAAAGTTAAAGCACGGTGGTAAATTCCTCCAATTTTATATTAACTTGTCAAGTCTTTTTGCCTTCCTCAAAACTACTGCAACATGGGGGTAACCTTCCTCCGGTTCACAGCCGTGAAACCGTAATGTTTCCTGGGCTCTGCTAGGAATCAACGATTTTGCAGCAATATTTGCAGATTTTATAGAGAAAACGAAGAACAAATGCAACAAAGAAAGTCCTAATGGAACATTTTGCCGTTTAGATCATCACTGCTGGAAGTTTGAGATTTTTTTCATCTTCATACCGCAGCCGCATACAGGATAGAAACAGTATTAAATAAAGTTAAAAAAACCTCTTCGTCAAAGAAATCATCATTGCTTTCATTGTCTGTGTCATCTTCTTTCTCGTCAACATGCAACAACTTGTTTTTCGTATCTTTTATCAAAGGTAAAAACTCAGGCATTTTTGAATAAAACCAAGCAAGAACTTGGACGGCTCTCTCTACGTCACGCAGACTAACAAAACTGCATTCATTCTACAAGATAAAAAGATCTCAAGAAAGAAATCATAAACGGCATATTTTGATCATACGATTTCAGGTATCTCCTTTTCACTGAGCAGCTGACAAAAGAACAAAATCGTCAGTCTAAACCTTTATAATAATGAGGTTTATTAGCTATATTTCCTAAAGATAGAACAAAATGAATTTTTACCTTAAAGAAATGAAAGTTAACCAACAAACACCTAATTATTAAGGTTTCAGACCTTTCATTAGTGTTGAAATTTGCAAACAGATTTCTGGTATATTGTTAATTACTGCTGGCTTCTCTTAATTAACGATTAATGGAAATAATAAATACATGTGGCGCTGAAAATCAATTAAGTACCTGTTGCTCTCTCATGAAAAACTGTGAAGCCCCTAATGTATGTGCCACAACATCTAAAAACTCACGATCATTGGGTATTTCTCCTTTCCTTGCCTACACATAATATGTAGAAAAATTTGATCATTACAATTTCTTCATAAAAAATTCTAAGTGAAGTCATGTGAAAACATAGTGAAATATTATCAAATTATAATTTGATATTATTTCATGATTACCTCGGACTTTCACTAAGTCGGGTTGTTTTACATTACCATTTAGTTCCTAGCCTATTTAAGTCAAAAGTCGAGCCTCGGAAAAGTCGTAAAGCCGGACCATTTATTTACCTCCCTTGAAGGCCCGATTAAATGACACTCAACTGTATAAAAAACAAAATAAAAGATGCTATGCAAATGGGCGGGTTAGATGTCTGGATATGAGATAAAGTTTTGTGAAGTTGTTGGTTAGTTAAAAGAGAATCGCTCATATTCGCGCATACATTATAGGAATTATTGAAAATGCTACAGGAATTAAAAGAAAAATATAATATAATCAAGACAGAATAAAAATTATTGCTTTACCGGTCTGACATTTGGTACTCGATGCCTTAAAGACAGAGATTTATAACATTTGGTGCAATGAAAAAGACAGTTCTAAGCAACAACTGTGAGTTTCACGCCTAATACGATCACCAACAGCTATTAATCGTGATCAATGTTACTATATGTCTGTAGTTCTTGTTTTCTTGAAACATATGTGTTGCAAGAGCTTCCAAAGAAACTGAAATAAAGCAAAGGCCAAGGCGAACTATCCTCCCTGTTTTCACTGATAGTAACGGAATTGACATCTGCATTAACAGACTTTTAAGACTTTGAAAGAGAAAGAAAATAAGTTAAAACAGAGATCCGATGTCATATGACAATTTTTGCTGGCTAAGCAATTCACAACTGGCAACACGGTAAGTGAAAGTTTCGACTAAACTACTTACATAGCGATTTACTATTTGCATTGTGTACAAAATTTCAGCTTCAGGTGACAACTGACCAAAATCCCATACAAGAGGTAACATGCTATCAGGAAGGCGGTGCACACGATAAACAAGTTGTCTCAAGGGTATTTTCCCTAAAGAAAAAATAATTAAATAACTTCACAAATGCGTAGATACTTCATTTGAAGTTTCCAATCAAGTGAGCTTTACAATCGCAACTGTAATCCATATCCTTGCAGTCAAACATCACCTGCTTTAGACAAAATTTGTGTTCCTATTTGACTGCAAAACGTTGCAAAGAGCTAATTACCATCATGACTTTTATTTTTTGTCTCTACAGCTTCGTTTACTTTTCTGTCTTTAAAGAAGTTTCGTTAGTGACATATGCTTCAAATGTTTCAAACTCCGTTTGAAAGATGGCTTCGAGGAGCGGAAACATAAAATCTATAATACTTTTCGCCTGAACCCTAATGTATAAAGGTCGGATTATGACCAAAGGTAAGCAGAAAAATTAAATCTAGATGCGGATCTAAAATAGATACATAGAAGTAGAATGGCATGTTTGATTGGTTCCATGGTTTTGACCACTCGGTGGCCACAATACTCTTACCTTGTTTTAGAGTTCCTAGAACTATTCCGTGCTATCGTCAAATTTTGCGCTTATTTGATTAACTTCGTTGGTGCAGCATGATAGGCAATTAGCATTGTATTTATTCAATTTAAACTATATGCTTTAAAGGCAATCTGTCTCGTTGTTGATTGGTTAACGAGAACAATAGCTGGAACAAAAGACTAAACACGATTCCAGCGCTCCACCATATTTTTTACAATGCGATAAAATAAAGGGGGACTGGAAACAATAAAAACCCCTTTGTTCTTATAACCAATCAACGTCGTGACAGATTGCCTTTAATGCTTCAACTGATGCGTACACAAGCAGCAAACAAACCTAGTTTCTCGGTTGCGTCTTCAGCTTTGATGCGATAGCCAAGACCTGCAGACTCGAGCTTTGCTATCATATCGTCGGTATGCCTAAAATGACAAAAAGACCCTTGTTATCAGTTTAAAGGCGAGCAGATATAAACTTAAGTGAATAGTCAAGAGAAACGTAGAGGAAAATTACAATAAACGCTTTTTAAAATGATTCCGATTCGTCTTGGAAAAGGGAAAAAATTATTATACCAAAATAACTATAAGTAAAGATATATTTTAGAACCACGCTAGTTCAGAGGCACAAGAGAGAGCATTGCCACCTGAGAAGGGACTTTGTCCAAAAGCTGGGATAAAGCCTACGAATGTCTATGAATAGTCCAAGTTCAATTTCCGATGCTTGTTTAGCAAAAATATCATCTCCAATGGACCTAGAGTAGCAATGCTGTCAGTTCTGGGGTTTACGACTTAGGGGAAGAGATAAAAATTAAGGCAACTTGGTTTGGGGAAAGGTTTCAATGTTTACTCTATAAAATTTCCTTTTTATCTCTATTTTGCTTTTGTCAGGTATATTTCAACCTAGATGCATGTTTGAGTTTTGTTTATATAATCGTCACAGAAATACAAACTTGTATCATTTGAAAATTTCTAAAAATAGGTGCAAATCATCAGACAAAGATATTAAACCGGAAATTTTCTGAACCAAATATACCCTAGGACCAAATCTTCGCAGCATTTGCAATTTTATATAGTTCCTTGAGCCGAAAGTTCCATTGAATTTTACCCTTTGTTTCGAATGTGCTAGACAGCTATAAATTCAAATAAATGCGTCCCTGGTGAATCTTTATACATGTTATTTTTCAAATGTAATTCGTTACGTATGCAGTTTAAAGATTTTTGGCAAATTTAACACTAAAGTACAGGCATACTCTGCTTGGCTAAAAATTCTATATTTTGCACTGTTTGATATCGAAGAAGTCAAATCTGTCTCTTTTCCCAAGGTTTTTAAGAAAGGGAAACTTTGAAGTTGTAGTTCTGACATTCACAATGAGATTCCATTATAGAAAGATGACAATAATTAAAATCCTATGGCTCAGTTTTTAACTTACTTGCGGTATGGATTGCATGCAGCAATAACTTGTAAACCACATGATGCCATGTCCAACGGCTTTCCACCCATTCTCATGTCGCACATTATTTCTTTGATCATCCCTATTGCAGTGGTTGTGTTTGCTTCGTCAAAAAACAGAACAGTTTCGAGATCCCTTCGTTTCGCTCTGTTTGCCTGCGCTAACTCGATAGCTTTCTGCACTTTTTTCTTTATATCATTTTCAGTTACTCCACCATGTACCTAAAATACCAAAAAAAACTAGACTGATCTAAGCGTCTATAGATCTCCAATAGTTTATTGGAAAAACGAACCAGCATTTGTCTGAAGGACCGTGGCCTTCTCAAAATTTCGCATATGCATATGCGTAGTTTAAATCGTTGTTATTTTCACTCCGTATAATATATTCTGTGTTAGGAACATTCTTGGCAGTTATGGAATTGGCCTGGGTCGAATAAAAAATTCGAGGAAATAGAGAATAGGGTATCATGAGATGAGTGAGAATAAAACCCTGTTTTGTATATGCAACCATGATTTATAATAGTTTTGATTAAATGCTGTGAGGCGCCATTAAATTTAAATTTTTGCCTTCATCCTAATGCGCATGCCCATAAGATGTGTTTTCTCATTGGTTCAGACAAATGGATAGAATAATGACCATAAACAATTGGAATTCAGACTTGTCTCCCTAACAAGAGTTCTATTTAGGCGATAAGCGATTATTCTGTACTGTTATGAATTCTTCAGATCATGAGTAATTGTCATGTCATTGAACGTAATCCTCTCAACACCGTCCTGCTCATAAACCAAAGCATGTTACACCTTAGTCGGCAAAATGCATTGCTCACAGCAGAAAAAGTTTTCGTTCTATTAAATTTATTTTGAAAATTTATCTTATTGGATTCTCGTCACCGTTTTGCTTTGTTCTATAATCTTGTCTTTAAAAAGAAGCATACTTTTTACTTCTGATAATTTGAAAAACTTATAAGAGTAAAATCTTTATTTCGAATCATGGATACCGAGGAGAATTAGCCTAACTATCAATAGCACTACAGACAGTGGCAAGTTCAAGTGTATACGTAGTTTAACTATGGAGTATAATGAGGCTGTTGACTACGTACTGGAAGCTTAGCTACCAATTTTACCTTAACACATTCTTAGCAAGATAACATCAGAAAAAACTTTTCTAAGCCATTGCTACAAACATTTGCCACAAGATCTTCTTTCAGTTCAGTTTCATTTTTTTCCACTTCATACAATTTATCACAATAATTAAACAAAAAAATAGCTAAACTACAAGAAAATAAGACAATGTTACAGAAAAATCATACATCGGTTAGTGAACTTATTATACAATATACATTTAAGAAACAAAGAAAATAAGATAAATTGTATTGAGATAACTTCTTAAGAAGGAGCTCTTTCAGTAGTCAAACGAATCGAGAAGTGAGCTCCTCCTATCTCAATAACAGGATGTCATGCGTTTGTGCATAGCCGTGAATTCCTTAGAGTCATAAATCTCGAGCACACACCTTAACAAGGACCATATTTTGTAGATTGGATTGTCCAGCTTTGAGTCTGCACATAAAACGAATCAATCTTGTTTTCCCACAGCCTGTTTCACCCATTATAATAACCGGAATACCTGACCTAAAAGTAATCAGAGACCAAATGTAGATAACAATTCAAACAGACAAAAACTCTTATCAAAATTCCCATATTGCTAAAATTCCACTTTAAACCACATACAGTATACTATATAATCATAATCAGATATTAAATGCATGACACGAACATGTTACCATTTCATGCCATCTTCAAATTTTGCATTTAACAAAAAACTTGTTTGACAACCAAATAAATATGCTAATTACGCAACTTAATGGATATTTGCAAATAGGAAGACAAGAGAGATTGATGTCTAATACTTAAACTACGTTTTTTAATTCAGGCATCATCTTTCTGCAGATTGCTTTGTTTCATCATATTTCCAAACTGTTTTTGACAGCCAGTACCTGGAAACATGCTTGCGTCAAACACGAGTCTTAATAGCAAGAAAAATGTTCTTTCACAGCCATTTTCTTAAATTCTTCAAAACCCTTGGTACAACATCACTACAAACTCATCTCAACTTTTGACAAATTTTATCAGTAACGTCTGGTGAAATAATTATTTTAATTTCTTTTCTAAACATCACAATAATGACGAAACCTGAATCGCATGTGTATAGCCAATATCTTCATCACATTGTCCATTGTCAGTTCATACGTTTGATCTGGATCGTACACCACTTTAACCCCCATCACCGAACAAAGCATTTCCAGTTTTTTTCGTCTGTTAAGCAAGGTAGTTTTATGATAAACAAATAGATAAATATATGATCGATAAATAAACAAGCTTATCTATTATCAATATATAACACATATATTTTAAAGGTAGCAGAGCAATGAAAATAGATTCAGAGACCCAAAACAAAATAAAGAAATAACGAGTATTCACAAATCTAAAATTGCCAGAAATCGATTCCGCATGTAGATTTGTAACACGGGTGTCAGCCAGTTCAACAAACCGATTCATATAGATTCACACGAGATTCATATATTAATAAAGACTTATTGGGCCTACACATACCATTTTAATAAAAACAGCTAGGTAGAGAAAAAACCTTACAGGTTCTATTTCCGTTGAAGTTTAAACGTAAGTTGGGAATCCAAGATGAACAACACCAAGTGTTTACTTTTGGAAAAAAATCCAGTTTGTTAAAACTTTACATTTTAATTATAGCTATATAACATACATCGAAAATAAAGTCACATTTTTACGGAAAGATTTATTGTGGCTTTGTTAATTCTTTCTATTTACAGGGCATTTCGCGACAGGCACTTCTCGTCATCTTCGATTAATACAAAAATATAGAATCGATTTGTTCTACAAATCAATGATTAATCGAGAATAGAAATTATATATTTGGAGAATAGAAAACAGCAAATTTCATTAGAAGCCACTTTCATAGGTGCATGTGACTAAACAGCGATTCAATTAGGCAGTTATGAGATATAGAATTTAGTAGTTAACTAATGTGACCTCGTATTTACAAATTCAATTGTTCTACGCATTTTTATGCTCATTCGGATTATAGAAGAACTGCATACAGACCTGCTCCAATTATCAAAAGACGAGGAAAGGTCGACTCCATTATGTTTCAATCCAGCTAAGAGCTGTTGCGACATTATTTTTCTCTCAATAACATTTCTGCTCAATTTGTCCAACAAATCACCATGCGAGTTAACAACAAAACCCAGAAATGAAACGGAAACATGATCTTGATTGAAGAACAAATATGGATGCTCGCTGTTGGTATGAAACATATGTTCCTTGTCAAGCAGCATAGAATAAACTTTTGGGAAGTAATAACAAAAACCCTAGCTTTGGACCTTTCGCACAGCTCTGAGCGCTTTCTAAAACCTAAATAAACTAGCAAATTGCATATTCCAATGAAAGCCACTTAAATTAAAACATGGCACATGAAGTAAGGATTAACGAATACTGGAAAATTCATCCTGCTTTTGAGTTTCTCTATGCAATAAGTATATCTATGTAAAAGTAGAGAGCTATTTGTTGCTATACATGAGTTTAACCATGAAAGAAGATGGCGGTAAAAAAAGTATGCATTATCTAGTTTCAATACGATTTACAAGTCTACATTATGTATGATAAACTGACTTTTGCCGTTTATTCAACATTTTCAAATTTCAAAATAAATTCGTATTCAATGAAAATCATCGTCTAACCTGTGGCAAATGATGTTTAAAGACCAGCGTATTTTTCAAAATTTTTAATTCGTATAAAATTTGTAATTCTGTTCTCATCACAATAATTGAGCCAGGCGGCTCTTCTTACCTCCTTTCCCAAGTCCTTCTGAGACTAACGAGGCTCCCTTGCTGGGGCTGTGAAGTAGCATCAACCGACGGAGTCGCAAAGTCCTAAATTGAAAACAAAAGAAGTTTTATCTTTTATACCAAGCAGTTGGATAGGCTTACGAGTGAAATCAACTGGCTTACGACTGAAATCAACTGGCCTACGACTGAAATCAACTGGCTTCCGAATGAAGCGTAAGAAATTACAAAATTAGCTTCCTATCTCGAAAGTGCACAACACGCAGCATGGTCTGTTTGTCACAAGATTGATGAAAGCATACTTACTTTCGACATCATTAGCATGAACGTTATCACAAATTTTCTGAACCCTGGCATCGTGTCACCAACCAAAGATGGATTGCAAAAAACACTTGTTTCGCAGTCATAGAGCTGACTGTTAAAGAAATGCACGAAATGACTGAGCTGCCTCCATGACGGATGATCGACTCCACAATACCTTGGGACAAAAAAGGAGATTACATTCAATTTTAGTTTTTGAATTCAATATGTAACTGCAACTGTTTAAAATCATAAATATCATTATTTCATTGTTAAATATTGATTTTATGAGTATTCTATGGCTGTGGTAGTGAAAAAGACATGATGTCATCAAGATTTAACTATGATGTCCAGTTACAAAATTTACAAGTCTACATTTCACTGGGAATGATTTAACTCAACAACTCTAAGAAATTAAAATAAAGGAAATGGACTTACTTACATACAAGGCATTAGGCAAAAGAATTACAAGTAAGAAAGAAATGCTGCAGCTTTTCTGTACCTTTAATTAAATCTTCAATTTTTTTCGTAATTTGAAAGGAAGAAAACATTGCTTCAAGTATGATTCTATTGGTTATTTGAAACGGGCCGTCTTACAAATGCAGAATGCAACTAATGTAAAGGTTTATTACCTTAGCAACACTTCGAGGCATTCTCTCTGACTGCCAAGATCATTCTTGGCTTTAAATAAAAAGTGCTCGAGCAAAGTCGGTCTTGAAGTGAACTGATTCAGATATTGATACACACGTTGGTACGAATCACTTTCAAATTCTTCGGAATCAAATCCAGGCTTAATATTTTGGCCTGAAAGAAGGAAAAACCCGAACTAAAACTCATACTTTATAGGCTAGAGTAAAGACATCGCAATTGTGCGTATTCAAATCTTGCTCTTTAATGATTGTCTTCGAGGCTTTAAATTACTTTTATGGTATCGTCGACCTGGAATTCTTTTGCATGGCTAGCAATGTACTGTAGACTTGGCTAGCATGTTAAGAGCCAAGTTAGATTACGATAAGCTACGAAGGGACATCAAGGTTTTTTAAAGTGACTGTCCTGATTTGAAAGGCCGGTTCTTCAAATAACCTTAAGTTCATTGCAATCTAAGCATAACAGCATGTGCTGTGAAAGAAACAACATGTAACTGGCGAAACAGACTCTAGCACACGTGTTGTTTCTCAAATTTTGATTGGATGATTATAATATCTATTTTTGGCAAGCCAAACACGCTCTGGGATTTTCCAGCACTGCCGATATATGCTATGCTGGAAGGAAAAACTTGCAAACAAGATAATGCCAGAATGGGTAAAGATGCAATTCGACAGGAAGTGCTATTTTTTGAAAATTTTAAAAATGCTATGGCGTGAAAACAAAAATCCATCCAGCATAGCATATATCGGTATATTAGTTTTCCGTTATTTCAAGAGATGCATAGTTATAAACAAGGACTCAAGGCCCTTACCGCCTTTCAAGAACTCTAACGTCTCTTCAGGAGCTCGGCATAACGTTGTTGGCAAAAGTGGTATTATAATTCCAATGTTTGATTTCACCTTTTTCGTAGCAGTCTCATTATTCTGCATGGATGTGGATAAAATTGGTATAAAATAAAAACTGGTGGAAGAAAATTCCTTGAAAATTGAAAACTGTTTCTAAACGTGTGAATTCTGATTGAAGACACAATTTTAAAAGAAACTGTAATATCTGATGCCTAATGTCTAATTAAGTATCAATAAAGAACAAACTGGGATTGATATTGTCGGGTAAATTATATTCTTTCTCTGCAGGTAATAGTCTTAAGCATCAAAATAAAATATTGAATTGAAAACAATATCCAGGATCAGTTAACTTTTAGAGCCAAATAGTAAACAAAATCAACGATTTGTTGAGGTAGATAACTCAGCCTGGAATAACAAAGCAAAAAAATGTCAACAAAAGTAATGCGAATACCGTGTCTCCTTCCCTCTGAAAAACAGATTCCGTAATTTCAAGCATGTAAAGATCGGCTGGTTTCTTCTTCCAAACACTTCCAGTTGTAGTGCTCAGGGATCCGAGAATTAAGAGTTCAAAAATGAACCTGTCCAGGTTTTGCATCTAATACGGAAATATGGTAAAGCTTTTCAACGGCTAAAAACTCAAGACAATTCCACGCGCTAACTATTTGGAAAAATTCGAGACAAATAGCAGCAAAAATTTAGGTGTATTTATTTACAAAATGTTAAACAGCAGCAACTATAGTAACAACTTTAAGTTAGTGAAATAATTTATTTCTAAACTCTTATGAATATAGCGGAATAATAAGAACAAGCTTTAAGGAACTTCTATCCTTGATCTGATAAATACATGCATGTTCTTCAGAAAACTTTTATCCAAATTTGCCAAAATTAAAAAAAATGTTGAGATGAAAGGGGTTGCTGTCTACTCGATAAGTTTACCTACTGAGAAAACTCTTCCTTTTAACAACTCCCTACATACAAAATTTTTGTTATTGTCCTGTTTCAGTTTCATTGCATTCGCATTTCTGTTTATAATACTTACTGGTTTACTTCAGGGCAAAAAATCCGCAACATCAGGTGCGCCTGATGCAAGCTCTCTTCCAACAAATATAAACTGAATGCAAAGCTTACCGATGAGGCTATGTCAAAATGAAATATTCTTGGAAATGCATCGTTTTTCTTCTTGTCAAACGGAAGAAGCTCTTTAACCACATCGTCTTGATCAACTATTGTTCCTTGCAGAGATGTTGTAATAATTGGTTCAGTGTCGACAGATCTGAAGATTTGATTTGAAGCTACCTTTGAATTTTTCAATATCTCGCCGAGCTTATCTCCAACTTTTTTAATGCAAAAGGACTTTCCTGTTCCTGCCTCATATGATTTGACGACACGCACAGTTGAGCTGAAATAAATAGAGAAAATAAAGACGAATTTGAGCACGGCGAGATTGAATTTGTGCACGAAATTATCTAACTGATTCAATGCCAATAACCAGATTGATAGAAAACAATCGATAAAGACAGTCACAGGTCACAGTCGAAGAAAACGTTAAAAGCTAAGGCAAAACGCGGATAAATTTTAAAAGTAGCAATGTCACGAGGAATCATCCTTGAGGATTTCTTATAACTTCCAACAAAGAGAGGCCATGTTATGGAACTTCAAAATCAGAGAAGCAGAAGTTGAAATTACAAATGTCTTGCAATTGCAAATAAGAAATGCTAAAAAATTGACTCTCGAGAATTTATGACAATTGCCAGATAACTGTATCTAACGAAAAAGATGATCCTTAAGGAAATCTGATAGCACATCCTTATTTTACATTCCCCTTAGCTGCAACTAGTAGGATCACGGCACATTTTATACCGATTCATTTAACTGCAGACAAAAAACTTTTGGAGAATGACCACACTCCTGAATCCATTATGATAATAAGTATGAGTTTAGTCGCTTCTGATAACAAAAAGCTTTACAGATCACAGGAACATTATTACTATTAAGAACTCACATGGCAATTCTGTGTCACAAAGGAGCAAAGTCATGGATTCAATAAAGTCGTTTACCTATCTTCATCTGCAGCAGCAGCGTAAGGAGAATCTGTCCCGGAAGTCGCTGACACGTACTTAAACTGACTAAACAAAAATTTTCTTGTTTCTTCTTGACTCGGACAGCGATGGGCAACAATATGGTACTCGTCCCATGCAGATGCGAGATACGATCCATCTTCCTTCTCGCTTGCACACATTAGCAATAGGTTGTAGTTAGCATCTCCCATGACTTTTAAACAGTAAAATACAATTAGAAATTTGATTAGCGATCACCGTAGATTTTCAATAATGTTAGACAACTATTAGTTAGTTCTTCCCATGAACTAAAATATACTTTGCTGAATGAAGTATTTTCTAAATCTGTTGTTGGAAGGCTGGTTCAATTTAGTTCAATTAAATACGGAAAATACTTAAAACTTTTCTTTTTGCCTTTTCTACCAAAGCTTACCTTTTTCAACGCGTTCTTGCAAAAGTAGAGTTAATGTTTTGAATGCCTGTTCGCTGACATTGTAATCTAACTCGTCGATAAAAGCCACAGTATAGATACTGTCTGGGTCCAAAAGTGCTCTTCGAAGCAAAAGCTCGATCTACAAGGAGATTTTTAGTCAAAATAAGTCGTCTCAATAATATTTCTCGCAGTATCCGAAGATGCAGGCAAGACTTTGCTGCTTATTTGCTTAAAAGTGCACAAAATTTTTTGAAATTTAATTCGAAGAAGATGCTCAAAGAATTTGTGCATGAAAAATATGTGCTTTACAGAAATGAAAAGATACTTAGTCAAGGACTAGACGCGGCGAAGAGTTTGGGATGAACAAATGTTTTGATGTTGGATTCTATTATAAAACTAGGAAATAAATGATCAGCTATTTTTAAAACCAAATTCACCTTTCTACAGAATCAAGAGAATTCGAAAAGAAAGGATATCATCATGACATCTTGTGTGCAGAAAAGGTCGAAGAGACTGTAGGGAAAGAGTGGACACTCGAAAATGGGTCACAGACTACAAGACAAGGAGGAACAAAATCTTGAATTAACAGTTAACAAAAAGCCAGTGAATTTCATTGTTGAATCGCCTGCCGCATCATGATTGCGACGCTAGAACTGTTAACCCTGAATCTTGGCACATGAAGTAATACCTTGCTAGTGCATCAGTCAATATGAGTCTACTTTACAAATAGATGGTGTTAAAAAATTTCTTTATCATAAAATTACCTTTTCATGGGATGTAGTGCTGTTGCAAATTACAACTTCTTTTGGTAAGGGTAGCCGATCACAAGCTTGTTTGTATATGTCAATAATAATACACAGAAGATCATCTAAATCAAAAGAAATTGTTTCGCACATTATATTTTCAATAGCGCAAAGTAAATAATGTACCATTAGTATGATACTAGCACGCATGTTTATTTTTAGTGTTTGTGTAATAGAGAACCGAAGTATTCTTTGTAAGTACTTAATTCAGCGATTTATCCATGATTTAAGGATATAAAAGGTGAAACAATCTACTTTTAAAAGGACAAACAAAAGCAAAAATAATTCAAAAATGGAATCAACTACTAATGAAAAATTTGCGAAGTCTTGTTGATAAAGAATAAATAAATTTAATAACCATCCCTGACTACCTTTTGGAACGACCATTAGGCTTGGATGCTTCTTTTTCATAGTTTCAATGATTTGCAGCTTTTTTGTTCTTTTCTCTGCAAGGAAAAACAAATATATAACGGTCCGATAGGTTTCTTGGTACAAAGTTTTCTTGGTTCAAAATTCGTTAAAATAGCAGCATAAATAGAATGGCCAAAAAGCCAAATACAGAATAAATATTTCACGATGCCACGTGAGAGTGGCAAAAACAAGCATTTGTCTTCATGAAAAAAAGGGAGACTAATTATCAACCCTAAAATATGAAAGAAAAACAATGGCTTATTTGACTTGACCCTCCTCTAACCAATCAGCGACCACTGAACACTAACGAGGTTGAAGAGCCCCCTCTGTCTTCACAAATCTTGTTCTTTTATTTTACGCAGCTTTGAAAGCAGCTCAACAAAAAAGAAGGTCTTGTCTGTCAAATGATTTAGCAACTTCAATGTTTTGATCAGTATCTACAGTCTTACGCAAGTGTGTTTGCGAAAAGCTGCAATTCTAGAATATTGTGAAAGGCCTATTTGGAGCATTGAACATAGTCTGAAAGAACTATAAAAATAGCCATTCATGTGAAAATAAATTTGAATCTATTGAGAGCAAGTTGCATTGCCAAACGAGAGCATGCTTCTTCCCTTTCAGTTGGCCCGAATTTGGTCATGGTTCTACATTTCTGAACCAAACAAACATAATAGAAGCCGTTTATTGGCCAAAATTAAGCTGATTATGCATAATTATACGTATTTTTTCATATCCTACAGCTCAATTTAAAAAAATTCTTTAAAATTATCATACGTACTCCTGTAATTTGCCAAGGCCATCAAAAATTTCCCAAGCTCGTCTATTTTGAGGAAATCGCTGTTTTCTTCATGTTCCTCCAAGCCTATTTCGGGCGCCTCGTCAGATTGCTCGTCCATATGTGAACTTAAATTGCAAAAGAGAAAATAATCAAGCTGATGATAGATCATAATCAAAAGTGTAAAAAAACATTAAATATTTATAATCTAATAATTCTAATCTAGAACCGGTCATCGTTGAAAGATATTGCCAGACGCTGTGCGAAGTCCTACTTACTCTGGTTGTTTTCTTTCAGAAAAGAAAGAATGACAAGGATTGGTAAGAGCTTCAGATATTTTGAGAAAACAATTAATATTAAACTTTCTTTTTTAAATGATACTGTAGCAAGGTATAATTAACACTAATTCTCGATCCAGCAACTTGGATCTTAAATCATCTGATGTAAGTAGATTATCAATATAAGTTCAAGCATAAAATCCTAGTATATGTATCAAACAATGCGGTCTCAAAATGAGCTGAAAATATTAAAGGCAATCTGTCTCGTTGTAGATTGGTTAACGAGAACAATAGTTGGAACAATAGCCTAAACACAATTCCAGCGCTCCGCCATATTTTTTACAATGCGATAAATTAAAGGGGGACTGGAAACAATAAAAAATCCCTTTGTTCTTATAATCAATCAATGTCGTGACAGATTGCCTTTAAGCTTATTAATGGCTTTGAAAAGAGCAAACACTTAGTAAACTAAAGCTTTTCGTCTGGCACTCTTCAGAGTTTTAAACGTCAGAACATAGATCGAAAACTCTACGCTAGGAAATATATATACCCAGTTGTGGATGGAAATAGGCCAATCAGAAACACGAGCACATGACAGTTGAGGTTGACCAATCAGTGCCGTTTACCTATTGAGAATGTTACCAATGGAGTCCTAAGGTGAAAACGAGCTCCTTTTGTCTACACAGTAGCGGTTTTTTCGTGCTTATGTAGATAGATTCCATAACTGCTAGATGGAACAACGATCGGGCTTTACCAATAATCCGAAACATGTCGCCATTATAGCTTTTGCACAATCTGGGTTTTCCAGTAAATGCTGCCCGATAGCAGAAACGCAGGTTTTGGTTGAAATTTTAGATTTGCAAGACCGAGAAATTAGCTGGCAGAAATTAAGCTTATTAGAAATTCTCTATGATGTAAAAATTCGATTTTTTCATTCCATCTTTCAATTGTTTACCGTATTAGAATTTATGATCACAAGAAAACAAAAACAAACAAGAGGCTATTAAAACGAGACTGCAAAACCTACGAGTTCGAGCCTTGAGCCTCCTTTTCTTCCATAATGGCAGTCATTTTAGATGCTAGCTCTTCAATTTTCTTTTCGTCATCAGCATTGTCAAATGCCCAGGCTGATGCTTTCGCTCTCTCTGTTATTCCACAATGAAACGTCGCCGCTTTTGCAACGTCTTCATCGTGGCCTTCCTTTTCGAGTTCCTCCACAAATCTTTCCAACGTTTCAAAGGCTATTCCAAAAAATCTATCTTCTTCTCTGTGGACTTTTTGCCAGTTTTCATTTTCAGACTTTTGCTTCCCATAGCGACGATCATAAGATGACTTGTAGAGAACGTTTCTGAAAATATCCTGGTTTATTTCGGGGTGTATTTCTTCTAGCAAGGTGAATACCTGTGCTGGTAGATTCCTCAACACATTAATGTCTTCCTTTATGAGAACGTCTTTCAACTCCTTTTGCAAAAACATCAACTGCCGAACCGTGAAACAGTTCAGTGGAGGAAATTCCCAGCGTTTCTGGTGCAGCTTTAACTGCCACTCCTCTAGGTCTTTCTCAAGCTCTTTACATTGCTCTTCTATATGCGAATCGGCGGCACTGCTACAATCAAACCTCTTCCACCATGAAAGATAAGGATAGCATCCATAATTGCACAGATCAACGTATAAATTTGCCACTCTCGTCATAGACTCGAAGACCTAAGAATAAATTGTATGCCAAAAACTAATTTTTGCTTCTAATACTAAACTTATCAGTGTTGTCATGTGTTAACAGAAATAAGAAATTGAAATAAGCAAAAAAGGTTTCCACGGACCATGGATGATGATTTTTACTGTCCTTTCACGCAGGGCAAGAAGTGTAACATGAAAAATCTCGAATGGCTGCCACTGCAAACTACAATATGACTTTTATTAATAGTTTTTAAAGAAGGTCTTGGTCTAATATTCAACAAAAGTAGGAGCACTAAACACAACTTGAGTCCTTATACCTAGCCTTTAGTGCAAATACGCATTTAGTATTTGAGCGATCCATATCAAAAACCCCTGTCTCCTACCCCAATATTTGCTTGCCTATTTGCCTCCAGGCAAAACAAGCCACTGGAAAATACAATAATAAAAACCAGTGAGAGGAAAAAAATAGAAGGAAAGTGTAGGATTGAAATTGATGGGTTGTCTAGCTGAATGTCGTGGCTATAACTTTGCGATAAAAGGTTCTTGCGCAGCAACTAAGGAATCGTGGAGGCAAGACTTGTTTGCTTTTCTTGTTAGGAGAATCACGAGGGAACAATAAGGATATCGACAACAGCTTGCATGTTCCGCAATTTTTCAGCGGAAAAACGTGCCATATAAAGACGAGAGCCAAGCCCTTCACTACCATATTCCAACAAGAGGCTGCAGGCAATTCTTAAAGTTATTAATCTAATTTAGAATGTCAATTTTAGTTAAATAGGAGTGGTTGATGGATTACCTGCAAAAAATGGTCTTTTTCAAACTGACCAATCTCTCTTTCCTTCACTTTTCCGCCTATCAATACCAGTTTTGATTGCAAATCGCCAATTTCATCCAAATTGTATTCTTTGAAGCATGCTTCCGAGTTCACATCTTCAGAGCCATCTTCATTCGGTTCCTGAGGCACCCGCAGTCTTAAAGAGTTTTCCAAAGTAACAACAGTAGTTTGAATGTCAAAATTCTGTTCAGAGCAACCAATGATGTAATATCCTCGCGTATTTGCTGCCTCGGCCTCTATCATGCAGGACTTCGCTACAGAGCCGTAGGACTCGTGTTCTCGTTTGAACCATTCCAAATATCGATTGCTGTCTGTCTAAAAAATTAAATAAGAATTTCAGATTGCGCAAAAAAGTAGGATCCGTTAACAGCACACTTGTGGCTGTGTAAATGGAATTTTTCTAATTTACTGTTCAGTAGCATACAATTTAATCATGTTTGAAAAAAGAATAGACCGTCTGCAGGATTTTGTAATCTTGCGAAGAAATCAAGGAGAAAAAATAAGCAGGAGCGCTATAAATTGATGAAGAATGATACAATGTTTAGAGAAAATGACAACTATACTAGAGTAAAAAAGGAAAACCTTGTAAGGACATAACAAACTATGACCTGGCATACCTGTAGCAATGTCTTAATATTGGTTCATATTTAGCAAAAAAAGGGGAATGCAGCTTAATAATAGAGCAGGTGTGAAAATTTCAGTAAAATTACACGAATGTAGACTAGCATACATAGAAATATCAAATCAAATTAAGGGATTGTGTTGATTGCTTACTAGTTTCTTCAAAAGTGTTGGGTCCCTTGCAGTCTTGTCAAGAATCCCCTTAAAACATTCAACAAGTTCAACAGGTCCCCACTGCAAGTCAAGTTGAAAAATAATTGGCTCGAGGTCGAGGCAGACAGTGTGCAAGCACGAAACGCGATCAGCCTCATAATCAGATTCACCAGCTGATATACTTAGCAGCTCCACGAATGTTTTAACATCTCTGACACCTTAAGGAAAAGTTTCATTACAGCTACAAACTAGCGATAATCATCAGCTTGGATGATATAAATTAGATTCACATTCATAGCGATTAACATTAAACATGTTTCAAACTCCATATAAAACAACGTCTTTTATTAGAAGAAATAACACAAAACAAAATCCTAAAAATGGAGGTTGCAGTTTTGATTTCGATGTCAGTTTAGATTATATTTCTAAAAACAAGCAAAAAATTATATTTCTAAAAACAGTATTTATATTTCTTAGAATGAAGAACAGACCAAATGTAATGCTTTTGCCTGATGATAAACAACAATACTGTAGAAATTAAGAACCGAACTAAGGATCTTCTTAGCCTAAACTGTCATTAATTACCCCATAATACAAGAACCTCTAATCCTAAACCCTGAGAAAGTAGGTTATAACACGCGGGTTTTTACTGTATAAGAAATAAAACAAAAAAGACAGGGATTGATAAGGCGACTTTAAAGCTCCTTCAATCCTTACCAAAAATAGTGGAAATGCACCCCCCCCCTGACTGCATGCAAACAGACAAAGCGAGTCTAAAACTACCTTACCAATATATATCATTGTTGCTCCTAAAATATTGATCCTTCCCTCCCGTACAATGGTGACTTTTTTCAATACTTTCGTACAGTTCACAGTAAAGAAATGTTCACCTTCACCATAAAATAGCGAAATTAAAAAACGATAAAATGGGGGGATAGGGGGGCTGGGGAATTTAGAAAAATCTTCGTAAATATTCCAAAACTTTTGGCAAGGATTGTAGTTCCAAAGAATGTATATAATATTATCGAGGACATGACAAGTACAGTTATAGTATACAAGTACACAGTTATGACAAGTACACAAACGACAACTACAACAAAGAGTTCTTTCTTAAGCAAACAGCATACGTAATGCAGAAGGAACATATGAGGAAAACAATTTAAAAATGAAATTACTTTTAAGCTTGTTGCGGAGCCACGTAATCAAATTCATGCTACGCAATACACAGTCGATGCACTCTTCCATGCTATCGTCCACATTTCGCATAGCATTTGCAGCTGAAAAATGGGTTTGGTTTAATGACCTCAGTTGGGTTTCCTTCATATTACTAAGTGCCTAAAACAGAACAAAATCATAACCATAATCTTCAACACCACCACAATCGCTAACATTGACAACTCTCAGTGCTTGCCGGATTTACATAAAATTCTCCAAGAAGGTCATAGATTTAAGTAGAAACAATACCTTTTCTTGCACGTCTTTAAATATTTCAAAGTTTCCTTGCAGTCCAAATGCCTCGCCAAGCTTAATAACTTTTGCTGCTTTATCTACGTTGATGTTGAGTTTGAAGAACTGGACAATTTTATCTGCTATATGCTCGATTTCGTCCTTGCTGTACTCCATCATTGCTCCATCTTTATCAACAAGCACAAACAAAAGTATTTTTAATTCTTTTACAATTTCCTTGGATTCTTGACACTTAGTAAAATCTTTCAGGAATTGCTTCAGCTTTGACAATGTTATAGACTCTTCGAACAGACTGTTAACTGTTTTGATTAGCTTTCTAGTGACAGGTTTGTACAATTCTTCAGCTACTTGCTCCAGGGTCAAATCTCCAAGATTCTGTCCACACTCTTCCCAAGTACGGTTGAATATGGTACTTGAGCTTGCAAAGCAAATAGCTCCAAATTCCTCTAGGATGTTAGAAGGCAAACGAAAGTGTGTCACTGTCACTACCCCATTCTCTGAAGTACAGAGTTTTGACAGTGGAATGCTTTCAGTGTTTTCCTCTAAAGCTGCCTTTAGTTCCATCAGTTCCACTAAAACATAGAAATAATTTGAAAAACGATAAAGAAATTTTTTTTATTCAAAAAGCAAAATACATATAAGGGTTTTCAAGTATACTAAGTTATAGTAGAGGTTGGGAAAGAAAAAGGCGTGAATTTGTCAAATTTCATTGCAACAATTGAAAGTTACTTTACAAAAACCTGCTTTAATTAATAACATGAGCAACTCTTTGTGGCTTAATAAATAACAGAATATCGGTTGATAACGGCTTCGAAATTTAACAAAAAATTTTATTTGAATGGTCGAAAAAGATAAATTAAAAAATGGAATTTTACTACTTAATCAAGAGATTTTTGTTTACTCCAGAGTTTAGAAATAAAATACAAACAAAGATAAATTCATGACTTGATGGGCAAAGGGGAAAGAACGAAGAATGATATACCTTCAAGACCTCTTGGTTTTTCACACATCTGTACCAAAATCGACGCTTTCTTTTTCCAAAACGTAAATTCTTTCCATTCCTTTGCCCTCAAGGCGATCATAATATCAACATTATCTTTGTTCTCATTCCCTCCACTAGGAACCATCTTCAAAGCATCTGAAATTTCGCAAAATTCCTTCCTTTTATTGCAAATTACTTCAAGCACTTTTGGTATGACCTCACCAGAAAACAGTTGGCTCTCAAAAGATCGAAAATGATCCAAGGCAGCCTTTAACTTTCCTTCACCAGAGCTCTCAGCTTCTTTTTTTGACATATTTCCTGCAAACAAAAACTTGCTTTTAAAGATAAGCTCTTGAAACGACCAAGGACGTACCTTTATATTGTTTTAACGATCCCTAAATTAACAACAATCATAATGTTCAACTATTTAGGTACTACTTAGGTAAGATGGGGGCTGTTTTGAGTTTGGGCCTTACAAAAATCAGTTACAGTTTCCATTCAAATTGCTCGTTTCGTAGCTTTATCACAATTTTCAAGCTTATTTCGTTTGTAATTATACTTCGTAACTCTTTCAGTGATATCATACCAAAGGATAAATCATTGCTAAAAAGATATTTCAGTCATTGATATTTTCATTGGTTTTGGCGATGAAGGTTTTACGGTGCAAATTAGATAATTCCATTATTCAAAATAGTGTACTGCGTAGAATTCGTAAAAAATAGCATTTAGAATCAATTGACCAATTTAATTGGGCTAACTTTCAGAAATTTGTCGGTAGAAAACTTTTCTTTTATCTTTAGCCTTTTATTTGACGTTGAACCGTTAAGAAATGCACAGTACAGTTCAGTACAGTTCAGTACAGTTCAGCAAAAAACAAAGAACTAGGATTACAATACGCTTTCTAATACTAGAGGTGATAAAGATTTTACAGCTGCAGGTTCTGCTTGTTAGGTAGAAATGTTGAAACGAGACAAAATGTGCCAAGGCTCAAATTGTACCATGTGGTTAGGATTATGGAATTCCGTTACAGATGTCTGCATTTGTCGACTTTTGATAAGAGACAAGTAATTTAACAGGAGATTTAACTGATTAGTTATGTTCCTAATCCTTGAATTTCGCTCTTTCCGCAAGGATATTGAAAATGCATTTTCAAATTATCAGGCCAAGATTTCCACGCTAAAAACTCAAGGCAGAGATTGGACGTCTCTAAAGCAAACTTTTTTTTAACAAAGAGGTGATCTTCCTTTATTAAAAAACAAACAAAAAGCTTTATATGCAGCAAAAAATATTACACAAACTTTACATTCACCATCATCATCAAATGTTCATGCATAATTTCTAATAGTCGGGAGATTATTGCAATAATCAACATATTGTAAAAAACAAGAGAGATAGAGAGAGAGCAAATTTTATTAAGATAGAGAGAACAAAAAGTAACTTTAAACTTCATAGAATCTATCCTGTTCTAGCGATAATCTTTCAGCTGAATATGAAGAATTATTAACACAGATAACAATTCAAACTACATCCTTTATACCAGAAAACTTTAAAAGAACACAAGCATCAAAATTGGTTAAAAGTAAACAACATATTAAGAACAAGCCTTGGCTGAGCTATTGTTAAATGTGATTTTCAACAATGCACTTGAAAAATTCAACTCAACAACGGGAAATATTTTACCATCTACGGGTGCTTTTGCGGTGAACTTTCAAACTTATTGGCCTGTCGTCAAATAAAGGTCTCACTTACTTTGTTGGAAAATGAGGTCTGAACATCCCCCTCAACACACACTAGCTAGAAATTGCATTGATTACATTAAAAACACCTCGACAATTAAAGAACAACTGAAGAACAATCTAGACTCAAATTTACTAAAAAAAATTAGCCAATCTGAAATTCAATTTACTGGTTCTTGTAAGTGCACTATCTGACGAATGGTTAAATCGATGTGAGATAAATTCTTTAAATTTGAAAATAAGACTCACCAATTGATAATTTTATCAAAGCGAGTGAAGGTGGCCAGCATAGCAGCTTCCTGAGCATAGAGAAGCCATCATTGACAGTTGTAAGTTCTTTATCACAGAGTCGCCATAAGAACCTCAATTTTCCTTTGTCCATACACAATGTAACGAGGCGGTGGCTGTTTATTTCCTTGTGAAAAAAAGAATGAAAGAAAAACCTGAGCGATAGGTAGCAAATTACATTTGTAAAGTTTTGAACAACTATATGCTAAAGTAGCGAAGAAGCATTCAATATTTAAGAAACAACAAAGTTATTATCACTTGTTGTTACACATATATCTTTACATTAATTAAGATGTACTTTAACACTAACTAAAATCATAGTTACAAAAAAACCTTACTTGAGAGCTATCAATGAAATTGATCGCTGTGTTGTGAAACAACTTCATCATCTGCGGGGAGGTTGTTTCTTCATTCACTGAACAGATCACTTCAAAAACTTTTTCCTGCCCTAAAGAACTGCTCTTCGCTTCCTGGCAAAAATTAAATGATGAGAAAGATTAATATTTGGATGAAACCTTTACCTTACAGTACCTTATTACTGTAAGACTTTCATAATATACTTGCAGAGTTTTTTAACTCCCACAGTAGACATTTCACTTCTTCGTGTAGAATGCAATGCATTCAGCAGGAAAATTAGAAGTATTTGCCCGAATTAAGCTGTTGGAAAGATAGTTTCCAAGGGTCGTATATTTGAAATATATGGAAAACCTTGAGAAAATGAAAATATTTTCACGAAGAAAGCAAAAGTAAAAAGCAAAGTGGAAGTTGAGTCTCTAGAAATATAAGCGAAGTTTCGGCTCTTATAGCAGAATTCTAATAAAACAAAATTAGAGAAAATACAATAACAAAATTTCATGAAAATTGCATTGAAAACAATTGAAATTCAAATGCACACAAAGCAGTAGCCACGATCATTCATGACAGCGATAACAGTGGGCCAAGAAAAGAGTGATTAAAGGGCTGTATGTTTGAATATTCCTGCAGGCCTGCTGCTGAATTTGGAATCCTTATCAAAAGAGGATCTAGGTGACCTTATCCACGTGGATATTCTTTGCTCCTTTCAATGCGTTGCTGCAAGAAGATGCCACATACGGATTCCTCAAGATTCAAAATTCTAGATCAACTTTGTTTGCTCGTATTTCTTGTGTCACTGTAAGTCTTTTTATAGAAGCATGAAACATTCAAAATTGTTAAATGAAGGATTCTAATAATGAATAAAGAGGTCGTAAAAAATCGTCTGCGGGAAGGGTTAACGATTCATTTCTAATTTGTATGAACGTGTGTTCCTGAGTTGCTATATTTCTTTCTTATGATTCAGAGAAAGTCCGTAATGTTTGACTGCCCATTGACTTATCGCAGTACTTGTGAGATTGTGAATACTTAACGAGAAATTCAAGATAAATGGTAAAATTAATATTAACTGTTTATGCTGCGTAGCTATAGTAGGTTGTAGGTCAAAGCTGAGCGTACGATTGGTTGCTGATTGTACGCATTGTGTTAAAGGCATTGAGTCATGATTAAAGTATAAACAGGAGAGAGTATAAGGAGTAAGGAGAGAGTATAAACAAACTTACCTAAACTCAAACTCAAAACATTTCATTCACAGCAATAATTAACTACTACATTTCTATTTAATACTTGAACCACAAATAACAATTATTTTTTACAAAAAAGATAAACTACAAACAGTAGATAGTTCAAAGTTTGGTATGTTTGCTGTCGGACATATGAAAAGAACTCACAAGGAGCTATCTAGGTCATATGCCCGATTGGACGTTTATAGGTGTAGGTGTTCCATTTCAAAAGAAGAATGTGAATGAAAAATAAAAAGGAGGAATATCAAGATAATATAGGGTTAGTATAATAAGATATGTTAATTGGTTATACTAAAAACACAATAATTGGTTATACTAAAAACACAATAGTAAATTATGCTGCGTCATCAGTTTCGTGCTGCAGTTCTGTTGGCTAGCCAGAAGCTTATCAAATAAACCCTTACTGACTTACAAAACAGTTGTTGTCAATAGCAGGTTGTCAAAAGCCGATACATGACATGAAACCATTGCGATCACGCCGATAGAAAACGACCCTCTACAGGGAAAGCCTATTTACAATGACTCAATGCCTTTTACGCTACGTTCACACTGGTCCCTATTCATTTCTGTCCGTGTTCGTTGAAGAAAACGATGTCCGTCCACATTGATCAGTTTCAAAATGCATACGATACGAACACGTTAGGGGTTCACACAGCTTCAATAAAGAGCTGTTGGTAGCCTCATCTTTAAACAAAGAATTGCAGAAATCCTCGCCAAATTGGCATAAGAATGAAATAAAAATTAGAGGAAATTGAATAATGGATAACTTTTTAAAATTGCGACCCGTCCATTGTGAAACCTAAATTTTAACGTGAGTTTCGGCGTGCCAGAAAGCGTGTTGTTGCTGTTGTTAACGTATTCATATGTATCCGTTTTCGGGGTTCACTCTGAAAACGGAGCGTATTCAATAGGCACCGAATTGAAAAGTATCCGTATTCATTTGCGTCTTCAAATGACTTTGTTTAAATAGCAGAGCAGTGTAAACGCGAAGCAACAACGGATAGGTTTTACTCCGTTTCATATGGAAATGGAGCAGTGCTAATGCGGCCTGCCGGACTCATACATGCGAAGGGAAAAGGTATCTTGGGATCTCTGTCAGCAGTTTTGAGATGGAGAAAAAGGATCTTCTGTAACATAATGCTTCTGGGATGAAGCGAAGAAGTATTTGAAATAATAGAAAACAAACTTTTTCGATGAAAAACTGCATGGCATCTTCAACTTTATCATCCAACAACTTCTTCATGCAGTCAATCTCCAAAGGCAGTTTGAAGAAAAGATCCATGAACTGTTGAAAAAAATCAAAGAATCAAATCTGAGAATGAAATATGAGAAACTATATCAATATGATTCAAAACCTTGCAAAATTGGAATACTTGTTAAGTTATGCTTCTTCAAAGCCTTGTCATTTTAAACAGTATCTTATTGTATACTTGGAACTTTGATGCAAAGAAAGATACTGAAAAATGAAGATAATATGAAAAAACTATTTTTTCTTTATTTATAAACGTTAAACCGGAGTTTTTATTTGTATTTGTTTTTTATTTTTATATAGCATCGCAAGGTAGTTGTTTGAGGACACTGAAAAGCTCCGCTTATCGAGAAGTACCCTGATCCTTTCTCTCTTTGTGGCAACATCTCGTGATTCGTACGCCTAGAAATACAGGGAGCTTGTACTTGCATAACTTTAAGTGCTTTGGGTCTGTTGTCCGCGACCCTAACCAGTGAGCAATTCACATACCTGGATTTACTAATACTTACTTACTGTTGACCATTAAATAATGAGCTAACTGACTGACGAAAGAATGCATGAATTTTCATCATGTGTTTTGTAATAACATTTTCATCTCAAAAGTTCCGGTTCATCTCAAATTTTTTTTGCGCGATATGCACGCCAAGGTGGTCATGGGCCATCATCGACTTCAACTGTTCCAACAATTTGTAAAACACAAATGGTTCGTAAAAATTGGCAAAAATATTGAGTCGTATCTACAAATTAAAAGCACCGTAACTGGCACGAAAATACTGACATCATTATGGTGCTTTGTAATAAAAACAAGCATCAAAACAAATAAGAGAAACCTGTTCAAAACAAACCACTGATATGTAAGACAAACCTTCGATATCTTGGAGAATCTATCAGTTGTGAAACTGAAAAGTTCCGTTTTAATCCCAGTTAGTAGCTTTGCAATTCTCTTTTCAAATGTTTTCAAAACCTCCTCTAATATTCCAGGTTCTGATGCTGCTTCTTTAGTGAAAGCTTGAAGAAGATTCAGCAAGCAGCTATAAAATTCCATGTTTTCGGAATATTTGATTGAAAGAAAGTTTCTCGAAAACAAAGTAGAACAAACGTCAATCCCAGAGCTGATCCTAAAAAATGGATAAAGAATATTAGGAAAAAAATGGTTTCTAGGTGGATTTTGTGGATAGCATAAACCTTTATGTTCTATTTAGTTTTTCAAAAAACGTGGTCAATTCATAGAAACGATACAATTTCTAAAAGATACTCATGGAAATGTAAGGCGTGAAACTGCAGCATAATTTCGTTCATACCTTTTTGGATCCTTTGGAGCATTTATCTCAACCTTTGACAGCAAAACTGTCAACAAGATGTTGACTTTTTCAATTTCTGATTGCAGCTAAAGATGAAACAATGAACTTTTAAATAATGGACAAATGCTAAGACACACAATACATACATACGGATATACTTGTATTTCAAAGTACTCTCCACTGTTGTCAAAATTCCGTATAAGTTGAAATGTAACGTAATTAAGTTCCATTCATGATATTTTCATTCTAAAGGCCAAAAATAATTACTAACTCTATTAATATAATTGCGAAAAATCGCATTGTAATTGAAACTGTATAGTCCAAAAGTGGTCTCTAAACTCGTAGATAAAACCTTTGAAATTGTTTCAAAGCGAGGCTGAAAATTATGCGTCAGGATCTACATTTGATATCCAACCATTGTGATGACAACCATTGTGAGGAATAATGGTATGTAGAATCATCTAATAGAAACGTCTGACAAAAGCGTACTTACGATCCGTCGCTTCCCATGTAGATGATTTCCCAAAGTGGTTAGCAGATCAAAGTAGTCGATGGCAGGCATCAAAAGGTAAAACTCGTGATTTTTCAAATTGAAAAAAGACATCATCAATTTCTTTAGTTTAGGAGAAAAGTGCAGCGCTGCATTGATTTCATTCAAATTTTGGTCATTGTTCCTGGAAAGCAATTCCAAGAGAATGAGGAACTTTTAATATGAGCGAAAAAAAAAGCAAAGTCATCTTGTGATTTTTCTTTCTTCCGACAATCCATCTGAATCCGGTCGGATAATAAAATATTAAAAAACATTGTCAAATTTCGGTTTTTCTAGCATAAACAAGTAACCCGTAAAATTATAGAAAAAAATGCCACAAAACTTACTCAAACGACTTTTCGATGAGATAATGTCGAGTCCCTGAAAATTCTTGGATTGGAAAGTCAGGATCAAGCAGTGATATTAAGCTGAAAAGACTCCAATAAGCAGCCGCACTTCCCCAAAATCCTCGGTCACGGAGCACAACATTAATGAATTCGACCAGGTCTTGAACAAGACTGAAAATATATTGCAAGGGCAATCAAAGCTTTGCTAAACGATTAACATGACATTCAGATATACGTAAAAGCACTGTTTCTATCATATACCCCGCATCGGCTCCACAATATAAGGCTGAAGAATTGGAAAATCATTTTTCGCTCAGAGAATTTTCAAATGCAGATTTTAAGCTAATGTTAGCTGATACTGATTTAAAGGCAACTTTGGGTTATATAGAAAAAAAAACAGATTTAGAAAAAGAACAAGAACTGGAGGAGTAAAGGGATTGTGTGAACTGTCCTAATAGCTAAAAAAGCAAGAGAGAGGATTAAAAAATTCCTTCAAAACAGCCAATGCCTGAAAGAGATGCTTCCTAGCACTGCTAGCCCCTTTTATGAAAGAAGCAAAAAAATATGCACATTTCATTGTAAAGCGTGCAAATTTAAAACATTCACTCGAGCCTAATTCGAATTGCTGTGCTTTGACTTTGATCCTTGAACTCTTTCTTATACAATAAACAGTTATTGTCGTTAAAATAATTCATGCTATTTGTATTTCGTGCATCGCTCGTTGCTATAAAGTCCCTGCAAGCCTTTCTACGGGGTAAATACAGCACACCTACTACTACAACAGCTGCTTCGAGATAAAAGGGTTCTTTTAGTTTGGCCAAAGTTTCTAGTTCCTTGACTTAGGCCAGTATATTTTCTACTTTCGGCAAGGAACATGGCTACGAGGACATTTAGACTGTAAGAAACTGCTATTAAAGTACTCATTTTCTATTCTCCTTATGCTATCTTTGTTATAAGCCTTGTTATGCGCATCAAGCTAGCATTTCTGAAATGGATTGTGAAATAAGCCTTGTTATGATAATTCTATATTTGTCTGTTTTAAACCCACTATATTTTATTCAGAATTCGATTTTCTCTCAGTCTGCAATTTGAAGAAATCAGGTTTCTTCAATAATGGACCATTAAATTATCATCATCGAGCAACCTAGCATTTGTGTCTTATGTCGGTTTGGAAACCTGCGTAGTGAGTTTGGGGTATTTTGTCCAATAGACCATTTTGTCGGATAGACATTGTAAAAATTGCCGCAATTGAAGCTAGCATAGCTTTATTTGCTTGGAATGGGTGCAAAAGTAAGTCGTCGCTTGTCGGCAAATTTGTTGCATTGCTAGTTTTCCTTTTCATTTGTATGGTTTATAAGTATCTTAACGTACTTTGGGGGTAAAGAATATGAAGGTTCTTAGTTACAACTATCATCATTAGGCAATTGTCTTAACTTGTAAGTTTTACACAAATATCGAGCAAAAGTGAAGAAAAGTCAGCATAAATTTATCAAAAACACATTAAACCCAGTCATGTAAATGAAAGAAGCTGAAAAATTTGTAAGATGTAATTCATTCAAACATGGTAAAAATCCTCGTTCTCGTGAAATTATCATCATCGTCACATAATATTAGTTAGAAAGAGCCTCTAATCAATCATCTTAAAGAGCGCACTTTTGAGATCTCGATTTGCAACTAAATACGATGACTAGCTAAATAAGCAAACATACTTAATCCAGATAATTCACAAACCTGTTTCCAAACTCAGATTCCAATTGCATCTTCAAGTCCTCAGGACTGTAATCATCGTGATACAATCCTTTCAGTGAAATACATTCAAGCAGTTTTTGCAACAATGAATGACTGCCAGGTGGTACTGAGGCGATATTTGAAAATGAAAACATCACCAAAACTGAAATGCTTGACAAAAAACTGTTCTGCCATTTCTTAGTATCCTGCAACATCTTGTAGTTTTCTTCGATCTTATCTTTAAATAATTCCTCAAAAATCTGAAATCGTAAAGAAGAGTCATCAGTATCATTTTCATCATTATCATTAAAGTGTATTTTTTATTATCAACAGCATAAAAAGAGCTCATTTAATGCTATTTTGTTGACAATTTATAGAGGCTAACGACAGGTTGATTAATTTACAAAGCTCTAAGACAAAATAATTTTATGATCATTGGCCATACATATGTTGGAGCAAACAGTGGAATTCTCCTTTGCAAATTTTTGTTTTTAGCTACGTGTCATGACCCTTATAATTAGCTATGTGTCAAATACCAAGACTCACGCTTTTTAGTTGAAATACCAAGTTACAAATGCTTTTTAGTTCAGTTTAATTCCCCCATCAACTTGCGGTCAAGATATCAAATCTCAAATGATTGTTTGACATTTAACACATTGCATACCTGATATCTCTCCATAGAATTCGGTTCGAATTTGCGTTTTCGGTAATTCCCATTTCCATCACAAACCAGTTGCAAATATACTCCTCTGATAAAGCTTTTTAAAGTTCCGAAGTTTGGCTGACTGGTTAACACATGATTAAACGCTTGCACGCATAAAATAAATTCATCTTTATTCTGCAATTTTACGGACAAGGAATCGGGTATTGTCTTCCAAATTTTGAAATGATCGAAAAAGGATTTGTCGCAACACGGAGAGACAATGCCGTCAAATTTGTTGAACTTTCCTAAGGAGGAAAGTTATCATCTTGAAAAAGAAGAACGAATGATTACATACAGTGAAACAAAATTAAAGTAATTCTATTTTGAGATAGAAAGGTATTGATTACATTTAAGATCTATTGCAACTAACAGCCAAGTTTCTGAACACACGAATGTTGTGTAAATGCCTTACCATAGGCTCCAAGGGCTACAAAGTGAATCTGAAATTCTGCCTTATCAAAGATTTGACTCTACGTATAATGAAAAAACCTGTAAATCTTTTAATTAAAAACTTCGAAGTTGGTGAAAAGAATTTCCTGCAATAAGTAAATATTCGAGCCCTATTCTTTAAAATGACAAAATTATCTACGAAACAATGAAAAAAGTTACGAGTATTCATTATAAACAATGGCACCTTTGATGGTTACTACCTGGTAACTAAGCAATACCCCGGTAGTTTATCATCGGTCATATGCACTTGAAACGGAGGGGTATAGCAAACCATAGCTGGAGGTTGCGGACAAGCACGTCTATTTAGGTGCAAGGGATAAAAACATTCAAGGTGCCTAACATAACATTCAAGGTAAGGACCTAGAAAGGTTTAGGTTATTTATCCCTCACAAGTGTGCCATGAGACTGATAGGCGTTTATGTTTCTAATCAATCTAATTAACAAAGTTAGAAGACAAACAATCGATTAGAAATTCACTGACAGCCAACCATCTTTGCTAGCACAACGAGACCATTTAAAATGGTGATGGCATGAAACGCGTAGTTTTCTGGGAGAAATCTGTCTGGACATCATTTATAAATTGTGTATCCATGAATGAATGAGATTTACTTTGAGAGAGTAGTTTTTACTGTTAACAATTAAAACTGGCCAGAATCTTCAGGCAGCAATGGTTATTTCCGGCTAAGGCATCTTACCGACATAACATAGCCAAAAGATACAATGATTTTTCCTCTCCTTTCTCAGGAAAGTGATCTTTATTTCCCCGCCTAATTATCAATAAAATGTTCCTTAAAAAGTACAAAATGATCATACGCAAACGAAGGAACTGCTGAATTGATTACCTTGCCAGTCAGAAGCCAGCACAAGTAGACATCTGTTTACAAAACCCTGTTCTGTACTTGGGATAAATGGCCTTGAAATAAACTCAAAAATGAAATTTTTACCATCAGCTCTCCCATATTTATAAGGAACAATCAGCTTGTCTTTTTTGTAAAAAGAAGAAATGAACATTTTCCCATGCAGGATAACAAGTTCTCCAAATCTCCTGTAAGAATAACATTCATAAGTAATTTAAAAAAGTAGTTGAAAAAACCAAGATCTACTTGCTTCAAGACTCGATGCCTGTTGTAATAACAGACGGAAAAAGGTGTGGAGTGTCATTCGTTTGGAAAGGAGTTCATACAGGTTTTAGAGAGGAACCTGACAAAACATTTTTCAATTAGAAAGACTTCAATTACCAAAATCAGCATAAAGCTATACACACAAGTTCTCACTGCTTTCAAATTGCAGAAGGTATTTTCAATTTTGTTATTTTTTTTAACATTTCTGGCCATAGTATTTAAGTGATTGTTCAAAAAATCTAGCATTGCATTGTCTACTAGATTTCCTAACAGATTTGCTAGCAGATTTTCAAAACAGTGAAACAAAGAGACAATGTTCACATAAGGCAAAAATCTAACAAATTTCCTAACTTTTTGTTAGAACGAAATTTCACCGGCCAAGTAAATTTGTTCTCTTGCTTTAAATTTTGAAAGAAACTTTAAAACGACCAAGTTAAATTTCACAGTCTATGGAAAATTTAAACTGCAAGTTTTGTGTTTATGGTAACAACAACGACTTCCTCAGATCAAAATACATTTCAGAAAGGCATCGACTCATAAAAAAGTTGAACATAGATGATTTCTGTTACGGTTCAAGAAGGTGAGAGGGGAAGGAGGTGTTAGCGAAACTTATTTTAATACATTGCGTAATGATGAGAAAAATTCACTATGCCTTGGTATCTTGTTCTGTTTTGTGAAACCTTTGCTTACAACATGAGAAATGTGCAGTTGTAAAGCAGTTCAGACAATCAATTGCATCTTCGAAAGTCTATCTTATGGTTAAAGAAAGCAATAATTTTATCGAGCGTTTAGAACTTGTACCTAAGCAGGTTCTTTAAATGGGATAACAATTCCCTAAGATATATTGGTAAAGAGGGTAGTATTCTATAAAATTCTCCCTCTTTCTGCTTAATATTGCGGTTCACATCAAAAGCAAAGTCGGTGCGTGGACAATTTGAGCGCAATCCAGCATCCTACGGCTCTTTTGCTGAATTATCGAGAGGATAATCCTGAATGTTTGAAGGATAGAACTGCTGGGAAATAAAACATTGAATTGTTCTGAGATTTCTCGAACTGCCATTTTCTCGACAAATGCAGACTGTAGCAAGAGCAACTTAAACATTGCAGTCGATCAACATTTACTTTAAAATCCAGAGTTTTCCAAAACGTATAATGACGACAATTTCATAATCATTAGGCAGACAAGGTCGTCTTTTTATTTAGGAGCTTGGAATCTGTCTACATCAGAACAATGGATCCAGACTTGAGTAGACAGAATGAAGGTCATTTTCTCTCTTGGTCCCTTCACGTACGTGAGAGGATAGCGGTCGCTTATTGGTCAAAACAAGATAACCAATCAGCTTACTTTCGGAGATAATCCGACGTTTATACTCTGAAGAGGGTCGGCGACAAGTGCTTTAGTATGTTATGTTTTCGCTATTTCGTGCCATCTTCGAATTTTGCGGTACCAAAAACTTATTCAGCAATTTAAATTTGCATTCAAATATTTACCCAATTTCTTTGACAGGTATTCTAGGTCCATTTGACCAATCACCAATTGGATAACCCATAACTATGAACAAATTCTCAGCATCACCAAATGCTGGATCTAAAAGGGCATAAAAATGCACCTCGAGTTCATTTGTGTCACCTGTTCCTTTAAGTATTTTTTCATGGTTTGCTTTGTTTGTTTGGGACCTTGTTTGTCGTTGTTGGCTAAAACAAAGATAACGGGACGTCAGATAAACATAATTCGCTAACACTATCAAGAACTGTTACTGGCCAATAACAGCAGAAACGATGTACAACTTGACGAAACAGTCTTCTTGATCTACAAGGAGATGCACAGCTGTCCTTAATCCCTGCGGTAAATGATAGAAAGGTCAAAGAGACCTAGCCATTTACAGTGCGTAAAAACTGAATAAAATGTTTGTTACACTTCTTGATGATCCTTGACCGGAGCAGCTTGTTTTTCACTTATTGGTGCTGTTTCTTTTTCTGCTTTGAGATCTGGTTTTGTTGCCTTCGGAGCTTTTGCTACTTCGGTATGATCCTTAACCAGACCAGCTTGTTTTTCATTATTTGATTTCGTATCTTTTCCTGATTCGAGATCTGACATGCTTGCCTTTCTCGCTTTTGCGAAATGAGTCTTTTCATCGCTTGCATTCGAATCTTTTGCAGCCTGTTTTAGGAAAATTTTGTAAGGGAATGGTGTTAACTGCAATTACAGTGGTGCATGGATATATTTACATAGAAAATTGTTCAAGAAAACCGGTGCAATAGAAATGGTGCGGGGAAAATGGTGCAAGAAAATCTCTGACAGGGAAATGGTACAATAAACATGGTTCAGCTAAATTGGTGCAAAGGAAATGATGCAAAGATGTTGGAGAAATTTTATGGAAATAGAGGATGCAAGAGGGCAATACAAGAACTTCACATCATTAAAGATTCAGAGATATGAAATAAGATATCAATAAGCAGTCTGTTTTCCTGCGAAAAATGAAAACTGCTATAAGAAAGTAGGCACAAACTTAAAGAAAAGATTTAACCAGTTTTAGCTAAATATTTAAAATGCATCCCCCGAAAACACTTTTTCTAAGAACAAAAGAGGTAGTACTGCATTCGGGTTTCGCTAAGCAACAATACATTGAATCAGTAATCATGTTATAAATGATTTTTGTTTAAGTCCTTTCCCCCTTTCGTTTCCCTTACATATCAAGCTCTAAGCCAACATAAAACTTTAGGCCTTCACCTGAGCACCTAATGGATCACCAGTTCTCTTCCTTTCTTCCGCTCTCTCTTTCCTTTCTTGTTTCTTTTTACGATCCGTCTGGAAAATGAGAAAATTTGTTTACACTTGTAACTCAGGACATTGGGATATTTGCTTATTAACTGATCTATTTGAAGATATGTTACTGGAAATAAAACACTGATTATGAATTTCAGGAAGGAGTTGTTAATAGCATCTGCCATCTATCAAAACTGATAGGGCAGCTACCGATGAATCCTTTTAACACCCCTTACTGCAAGCATTTTCTAGTGAAACCAAAATTTCAGCATGTGTTTTGCCTAGCCAGAACAATTAAATTCTGTTAGCGTGAAAGAAATTATCTTATACAGATTGAATAATACAAGTGAGAAATTTGCAATAAAACTATATATTTTCATCTTGCTGCCCTTCTTGAGAAACAAATCTCTAAATACCATACAGGCATTAGTTATGTAGTTAAGGTATAAATCCATTATATCTACGCTTTAGCAGAAACAGCAAGCTTTTTATTACAACAACCATAAGACAACTAAAGTTTGAATACAAAGTTAATACTGACCTTTGCTTTGCTTTGAGTTTTACGTTTCTTTTTGTTATCGCCAGGTTGGTTTTCCTGCTGAGAACTAATATTTTCGCTTGAATCTGAATCATTATACTCAGCCTGATCATGCATTTCAACTCCTTCTTCAACATGAAACTGTTCTGCCTGGGAAAGAAGAGTTTCCGGTTTTCCAGTGCTCAGAATAGAATTCGATGACTTGATTTGTCTTTGCGATTCAACTTCAGCATGTGCACAGTTTTTATTATCTTGCATTAACTTGCAACCTCCTTGTTCTCCAACCATATCTCCTTGCAATGCATCGTTAGTTGTTTGCTCTCTATCCCCTTTTCCTTTCACGGAATCAACACTTACTTGCACTGCATTGTCGTCTCCCTCCATTGCATCACTTCTTTCCTTTATGGCATCAATATTTTCTGCGGCATTATTTCTATTCGCTTTGGTTGCAAGCACTTTCCCTTGCGTAGCATTGTCCTTTTCTTGCACTACCTCCTCTTCCCCTTTTGTTGCTTCAATACTTTCCAATGCTACACTGCAACTTATGTCCTTACTTCCTTCTGTTCCGTTGAATTTCTCTTGTATTGGACTATTAACCTTCTGTGGTACAGCACTATTATCTTGCAAAGCTTTGGTCTTCTCCTGTGTTTCATCTCTTATGAATTGTTTTCCATCACTTACTCCTTCTACTTTACTCTGATTTCCTTGCAATTGTTTATCCACTCCTTCTGCCCTACTTATATTTCCTTGCATCCCATCACTACAATCTGGCATTTTAGCTTTTTTTCCTTGTGGTGAATCGTTTACTTTTTCTGCTGCACGCTTATTTCCTAGAATTTCGTCTTCCACTCCACCCTTACTTTCAGGCATCGTAGCGCTACATTCTGACATTTTAGCCCTTTTACCTTGCATCATGTTGCTTTTTCCCTGCAGTGCATCATTATTGTCTTCTGCATCACCTTCACTTCCTTGCACTGCGATCCTTTTCAAACAAGATTCGCTTTTACCATTGTCCGATACCTTGATACTCCCCTGCTTTGCAACGTCCTTCGGTGTTTGAATGGGTGGTTGAACATCTTTTCTTCCACCGTTCGAGTTCTCTGATTGGGTACCCACGTCACCTTTTTTGTCGCATGAGACATTGGCTTGAGTTGTTTGGCCGTGTTCTAATTGTGCAGGAACTGTAATGAAAGAGGGAGCTCCTTTAACTATGCAAGTTCTAAAGAGCAAAACTTGTTGCAGAAAAACTTCGTGTTCAACTTTCTGCTTGATTCTACTATTAAACAGAAGGACAGGAAGAACAGCATCATCAAGGTTTTCATAACGCTTATGTAAGGACCTGTTCTATATCATTTATGTACAATCCTATAATATTTTCAAATATATCTAGTATATTTACTATACAGATTCTATCAAAGGTAGTTTGTGTCGCTTTTAATGATCTTAGAGAAAAAAGACATCTTCTTTTTCTGAACACTTTATTTCAGCTAATTCAATAGCAGATTGTTTCTAAAATGATAATTTTGTCTTCAATACCACCAGGCATCAGCGCAGTCACAACCTGGGATGCAGTATCCCTCTCTGAAAAGTCGAATCTTATCAGAAAAGTGGAAAAATTTTCATTCTGGCTGCCCCTTCAAAGTAATATTGTTCTGAACTGAAATTTTATGCAATTTAATATCAACATGTAGAAAATTTGGTGGGAAATGGGCAAAGAGAGATTTCAATTCTGCTGACAGATTACTTTTATTTTGTATTGATTCAAATATTGGCTTCAGACAGAGGTCAAGTCACAGTATTTGATGGGGAAGGGGCCCTTTGCTTATTTTATCATATCTCAGCAAATCTTTGAAATATTCAACTGAATTTGCAAAATTCGCGCTATTACATGATTTTCTTTTAGGTAATTTGGCTAAAATTAAAAAATCCTCAAAATAGATTTTTTGCCGTCACCATTTAATTACTCTATTATGCCGGGAAGAGAGTACGGCAGCAAAGCAATTACCCAAAAGCCCTCTGCAATACAAACTTGCACCAATGGCACTTTTAAAAGGCAGCTAAGTTCAAAACAGGAAAGGCTACTGGTGACCAAAATTTTGCATGTGATAGAAGAATAATTTCTCAAATTTTTAAAAAAATTTGACAGTTAAAACTTTGGACTTATGTTGATCATAATACTTAGTAAATAAAATTTTCAACTATGAAATGATGAATTTTAAAATCACCCTTAAAAACTCCTTTGATGCACAGAAAAATGCACCTATAAGTACACCGAAAAAGCAAAACAAGTAGAAGATAGGTAGAACAAAAGTGTCAGCTAGGCATTGCCTGCAACTCTATTCAGGGACGGATTCGGCGGGGGGGGGGGGGGTTGGGGGTGCGACATCCCCCCAATAATTCTGTGTCTTTTGGTAAACATTATTTCAAGACCGTTGTCGCAAAAAATTTCTGCTCGTTTCGCTCTAAGGAGACCCTCTATATCTCTACACGATGTTCAACATTTTCCTCTCGTTTTTGGATTTGTAAAAAAAAGTCCTCCACGTTCTTGAGACATTCCCAATAAAATATAAACTAAAATGCTATAGCAATCCAATCCATAAAAAACTGGATTCTGAAACGCTTCTCGTGGATTTTACTCCAAGGAGAACGGACTTGGTTTAAAAATTTCGAATACTGTTTACTATGTCTAGATATTTGATAACAACTTTGGAAAATCACATCTTACACGTAGTTCTTCCTCGCCTTACACAATTTAGGATATAAACATTAGAGGAATGGTGAAGGAAATAGACAGTTGTAGAATATGGTCGGCCACAAAACGCTACATATGACATTGTATAAAATGAAATTGCCACGTAAAAATTTCATAGCTTTTCCAAATGCATTTCCAAAATGGGTGTTTTCCCAAATTCTAAGAGGTCTGGTCAGCAAAAACTTTCTCCTCTTTGCCCTAATCAATCTTCCAACCCTGGCTACGCCACTGCTTTTTGTCGGCTTTACCTCAAAGTTGAAAACCAAATTTTAAAAATGGGCGTTTCCATCATTAACAAGTGATCTGAAGGGTGTGGCACCAAAATAAGTGTCTAATACTCCCCCCCCCCAAGAAGGTGTCCTCAGATTTTTATATAATGATCGATTCACCTCTTATAGTGACTTACTTGTGAATTCAGAAAATTTTACAATGCATGTTTCCCGTATGAGAGCAGTTTGCATTGAAATTTTCAAGACATTGAAAATCTAAACCCGTCTTTCATGAAAAAACTTTTAAAATATAGATCCTCAACTTACTCATCAACAAATTCAAATGATTTACAACATTATAGAACAAACCAAATTTGGAATGGGCTACCAAACAAAATAAAATCGGCAGAAGATTTAAATATCTTCAAATGCTAGATAAAAAAGTGGAATGGCCCATACTGTAAACGCAACGCATGTCAGCATGTATTTTACATTTTATCTTTTATATATCATTTTAAGTATAATACTGTAAAAATATTTATTCATGTTAATTTAAGTATTTATTCATCCATCCATATTTAGTAATTTATCAATTCGGATTAGTTTGCTTTGTACAAGTAAAATTGTATATAGTGCACTAGAATTAAACAATCAATGTAAAACAAGTAAATACACACACATTCAAATGCCACATCAAAGACCATTACATTACCAGCAAAGCCTAATTTTGATGGTAAATTATTGGCTGACATCCCTTAGGGAATTTGTTAAGCCACAAAGTTACACACTCAGATCTAAAACTCAAAATCTGTTTTATAGTTCATTAGTAGCTTGAGCAATTGCAGCAAGGGGTATCGTGGCAAATGAATTCTAGAGTGGAGAAGAAAGAAAGATTTTTTGACAAAATTTCTTTGATTTATTTTACTCAAATAGAAGCATTTGCAGAGTCAGGGCAGAAAGACTCTTAACTTTTGCCTTGGCTGGAAAGATAGTTAAAATGCATTTTTTTTGTCTTGTCGCTGTTTCTTCATACTGACAGTGAATGTTCTCTCATCTGTAGCTTAAGACAAGGGTAGAAGAAGTTGATACCTGAAGCGACCACATGGTTGCTGTGGAAGGTGAAACTTTTTCATAACCTATTGCTTCAAATTTGCCAGAAATTGCAGTATTTGAAGCAAATTTTGATGATCAAATTTTATTCTTAAATTGAATATCCACCGTGGGTAAGCGATGGTTTTGATCTACTTCTTCCTGCTTTACCTTACACGACAAAACTGCATAAATTTTCAAATCTAGGACAAAATTTTCACAAACCAGCGCTGTCCCAGTCTTCAATATCAAATAAAGATATGATTTATGACAAATATTGACCAATTTCTTTAACCAAAATTGGCCCTTGAAGATTTGTATTTTATCTGACAAAATCCAAGCAGCAAATCACTCTATGGTAGAAATCTGTAAAACCTGAGAAATCATTTTTATGTTGCCAAAAGTTTGAGAATTACCCAGAGCTCAAGCTGAGAATTTTCTGACAAAACAACAATTTTTCCAAAAATCCCTCAAATTTTGAAAGCAGAGGGGGCCATGGCCCCCCTGCCCCCTGGCCACACAGCCCCTGATTAAAGCAGAAACATCTGAACCACAAAAACTTTGTTGCTTCCCCCCCCCCTCTCACCTGAAAAATGAATATCAGCTTTTGGCATTTACATTTGCATTGGTGGCAATATGATTTCTTATCACCTGCATATGGATCCTGGCAAAGCCTTCCAATGTGTGAAGAAATGCATATGTGCCATGTATTCCAGTGACAAGTCTTAAGAAAGCAATCTTTAGTTACATAATAAAAAAAACAATGTCACTGTGTAGCCCTTTCACATGAAGTGTCAATCCACATTGCTATATTGCACAGAAGTTGATCTCTTAACAAAAACTTGTTTATGTATTTTCGCATGTTTGTAGTTGGTAGTTAGTTGAGTTAAAGACTGTTTGTAAAATTGTGTTTGATATTATGATATGGAACTCATTACAAAAAATTGGGAAATCCTTAATGTTTGGAGCAAAATGATTGAAAAATGTTGCAAAAATTGCTAGCGATGTCCAGAGTGCAAAAGGAAGATATCATAATTGTTTCCTTTAGACATTTGGAAAGTTCAACCTGTGCCATCAATTGTTTTTGGAATTTTTTTGTAAAATTCTACAGTCACAGAAAAGTTTTGAAAAATACAAGGCTCCATAAATCAATAACTTTTGTATGCTGTTCTGCAGGTGTGCTATTGTATCAAGAGAAGTTAAATATACAGTAACAGAAGGCCAAAGTTTAAAGCTTGATGGTGACTCCAAAGATCAATTCTTAGTAAATCACTAGGGACAGTGGTAATGTTGTCAATTTTAGTTGTCAATGAACTTGAAGGTTGACTAGAAGACAATATTTTTGCAACCTTTTAGTCTGTCAAACCCACCAGTATTCTATTTATTGTTAATCAATGTTCTCCTTTGTATCCCACCATTCCTTATCCCACCAAAAGATTATCTCATCAACTACCAACTCTTCTTATCAATTTTTCTCAAGACATCGACCACATCCTTCTCGTGCACCCCAGCCCCCCCCCCCATCCTGAAGCAAGTATAGTTGTTTGCCAGCACATCACTGATGAATTTGCTGGCTTAAAATTTTTTAGCACATGATTGATTGTTTAACTTTGGAGACAAAGAAAATGGAATAATTATGGTATGCAGTCTCCATTAAGAGGGAAAGTCCCTTTTTGCGGTCCCCTTGCATGGTCAAGTGAACATTTGTTTTCGAAACCTTTTCGGAACCTGAGTTTACACAAAGGAAAAAATCAAAAAATAATTCCATTTCATTAAAAGATTGGCAACATGCAAGAAAAATATGCATTGAACTGGGAGGCTATGTAACAGGTAGGCTTGAAGACTTCAAGTTGAAGTGGGAGCCCCATGTGTTCATGGCCGCTGAGAGTCGATTGGCCTGGAGGCTCGAGGTTTAGGGTGTCTCGTAAAGTAACGAATTCTATTTAATTTTGAGAATGTAGTTAATCAAAAACAACAAAAGTGTGCGTATTAAATAGTAAAACATTTTAAACGATTGGAAGAAAATAACATCAAGTAATATTCAGAAAAGTATTTTAAACTAAACTAATCTAATGGGTATGTATGGTTGCAAGAACTGCCTGATCTTTTAGTTTTGCCCGTCCCTCACTCAGAAACCCCTCAGCGGCCTTGTCTGCACGCACCCCGATTGTTCAGGTCGGGACATGAGACTATATTTGAAATTTGAGACGAAGCGCTGAAGCAGTCGTGTTTATTGTTTCAAAAATATCATAAGAAGTAAAAACACTGTCAATTGGCACCAAAAGCTACATAAAACTATGCAAAAAGAAACACTTTAATGCCTTGCAACGGAAGGCCATACATCTTTTAAAGCCGGGACTGAATATGAATGTTGTACAGTGAAAATTATCAAGCATCAGTTGTCCTATTTCGAAGCCTTTTAAAAATTGCCAAGGGAAATTCTGTAGATAAATTCTCAGGGAAATAAATTCTCACCATTTGCTGCTGCCTTTGGTTGTGTATTCAAAGGGGCACCGCATAGGTGACAAAATCTGGATCCCTCAGCCAGAACGGTCTCACATTGCGGACATTGAGAGCCGCCCGCCCCAGTCATTCTGTCGTGCCGAGACGACCGTCTGAAAAATTCCACTTCAGCCCCAACAAAAACTTTATTTCTTTTTCGCAAAATTAACGGTTATTCCTTACAGTTCTTGCTTTCTTTCTTCCGTGCCTGCTACTTCCCCAGATCCGAGTCTTGCACGAATACTTCGCAGATAAGGGCAGGAGCGCATCATAATCTCACTTCGCATGCGCCCGTATCAAGCAAGAGAATTGATTGGTTAAGATAGAAAATGGGGAATCCACAAAATGATTTCTTAGAAGTATTTTAGAAAGATAATAGGAAGATTCCAGCTTGCGACTTCCTTCTGTCTATAAATAAAAATTACACAACACCATTCAGGGACGCCGGAAGCACTGCAGGGCGATAAGAAAATAGGCAAAACAAAGGCAAAATACATGAAAAACTGCTACTTTTCGCAAGGACAAGGAATTCTCCAGAGTCCCTGATCCAGGTGAATAAAAGTTCCTGAGGACTTACTTACGTCCTTTACCATTCTCGTAATTTTCAACCCGTTTTAATCGTTTAGATCAGCGGCCATTTTTGCCCGCGGGCCGGCTTGCAGCACGTTTTTATCCGGCCCGCCAAGCGCTTTATCTCAAAAAAATATTTTTGGCTTACACTTTGAAAATTTTGAATTCGAATTAGTTTTATTTTTAAACCCCCTGGATCCCTAGATCCGACTTCAAGTGCACTAAATCGACCTTAACGAATATTAATGTTGTAGCCTAAAGATGGCACAACTGTCTTCTGAATCAGGTAGAACAAAAGTGTCAGCTAGGCGTTGCCTGCAACTCTATTCAGGGACGGATTTAGCGGGGGGGGGGTGTTGGGGGTGCGACATCCCCCCAATAATTCTGTGTCTTTTGGTAAACATTGTTTCAAGACCGTCGTCGCAAAAAATTTCTGCTCGCTTCGCTCTCAGGAGACCCTCTATATCTCTACACGATGTTCAACATTTTCCTCTCGTTTTTGGATTTGTAAAAAAAAGTCCTCCACGTTCTTGAGACATTCCCAATAAAATATAAACTAAAATGCTATAGCAATCCAATCCATAAAAATACTCCAAGGAGAACGGACTTGGTTTAAAAATTTCGAATACTGTTTATTATGTCTAGATATTTGATAACAACTTTGGAAAATCACATCTTACACGTAGTTCTTCCTCGCCTTACCCAATTCAGGATATAAACATTAGAGGAATGGTGAAGGTAATAGACAATTGTAGAATATGGTCAGCCACAAAACGCTACACATGACATTGTATAAAGGGAAATTGCCACGTAAAAATTTCATAGCTTTTCCAAATGCATTTCCAAAATGGGTGTTTTCCCAAATTCTTAGAGGTCTGGTCAGCAAAAATTTTCTCCTCTTTGCCCTAATCAATCTTCCAACCCTGGCTACGCCACTGCTTTTTGTCGGCTTTACCTCAAAGTTGAAAACCAAATTTTAAAAATGGGCGTTTCCATCATTAACAAGTGATCTGAAGGGTGTGGCACCAAAATAAGTGTCTAATACTCCCCCCCCCCAATCATTGTTGCTTAAATCCGCCCCTGAACCTATTTACAGGTTTCTTAATAAAGTTTCAGGTACGTTTTGAACCTTTGGCAGGTGATGTTAATGAGAGAGGAATTCTGAAATATTTTGTAGAAATTTGAAAGACGATAGGGAATTGGTAAGAAATGAACGGTTGTTCCCCAGCCTTGTGAATTGCGTCATTTTCTTTTTAACATGCGGGCTATCATCTATTAGAGCATTTTTTTCAAGAAACATGGGATTCCTTAACCCAACAATGCTACAATATCAACACACACACTTCCTGTATTTTATTGACAACAAAACTATTTTTCTGCTTTGATGCTTGGCAATTTTTCTCCATGATAAAGTGTTTCTTGTGGTAATATATTTTCCCACTACCCTTATATACTGGCTGAAAGTATTTTTAGATTTTGATGAATAATGTTCACCTTATCTAAATGAAAAAATCCAAGAAGGTGTCCTCAGATTTTTATATAATGATCGATTCACCTCTTATAGTGACTTACTTGTGAATTCAGAAAATTTTACAATGCATGTTTCCCGTATGAGAGCAGTTTGCATTGAAATTTTCAAGACTTTGAAAATCTAAACCCGTCTTTCATGAAAAACCTTTTAAAATATAGATCCTCAACTTACTCATCAACAAATTCAAATGATTTACAACATTATAGAACAAACCAAATTTGGAATGGGCTACCAAACAAAATAAAATAGGCAGAAGATTTAAATATCTTCAAATGCTAGATAAAAAAGTGGAATGGTCCAAACTGTAAACGCAACGCATGTCAGCATGTATTTTACATTTTATCTTTTATATATCATTTTAAGTATAATACTGTAAAAATATTTATTCATGTTAATTTAAGTATTTATTCATCCATCCATATTTAGTAATTTATCAATTCGGATTAGTTTGCTTTGTACAAGTAAAATTGTATATAGTGCACTAGAATTAAACAATCAATGTAAAACAAGTAAATACACACACATTCAAATGCCACATCAAAGACCATTACATTACCAGCAAAGCCTAATTTTGATGGTAAATTATTGGCTGACATCCCTTAGGGAATTTGTTAAGCCACAAAGTTACACACTCAGATCTAAAACTCAAAATCTGTTTTATAGTTCATTAGTAGCTTGAGCAATTGCAGCAAGGGGTATCGTGGCAAATGAATTCTAGAGTGGAGAAGAAAGAAAGATTTTTTGACAAAATTTCTTTGATTTATTTTACTCAAATAGAAGCATTTGCAGAGTCAGGGCAGAAAGACTCTTAACTTTTGCCTTGGCTGGAAAGATAGTTAAAATGCATTTTTTTGTCTTGTCGCTGTTTCTTCATACTGACAGTGAATGTTCTCTCATCTGTAGCTTAAGACAAGGGTAGAAGAAGTTGATACCTGAAGCGACCACATGGTTGCTGTGGAAGGTGAAACTTTTTCATAACCTATTGCTTCAATTTGGCTCAAGAAATTGCAAGTATTTGAAGCAAATTTTGATGATCAAATTTTAT